AATTAAACACAGAAGAATTATAGTCCTTGAAAAAATACTAATTTTTAAATAACAAATTTTTTTCTTTATTTAGTTTTGAAAAATTTACTTTCCTCGGACGAAGAATATTTTTTTAAAAGCATTTGTGTTTCAGAAACAGGAATGAAGGTGTGATATTTTTGTGTTCCTGAAATTGTTTTAGATTCATTAAATCTTTTTTTAAGAACTCTTGCTTAAAAATCTCAGAAGTACAAAAAATTAAGAAAATTGTTCTCATATAGCAACAATTATTATCACGGTGCAAAAATTCGCAATATTGCGTATACTAATATTGCTTTTTATTTGTTTCTTATAAATAATAAAAATTATGCTAATGATAGATAAAAGCTATTAGAAGATTAAATTAAAAATATTTAGAACACATTTATTCAAATTATTTATTTAAAGATAATTATTGTATAAATAAATAAATATTTCAAATAAATTATTGTACAGGTTGTGATTTTTTATCAAAACAATGAAATTCGTGTGTGACGTAGGTTGAATGCGGGTTAGGATTCAACTTCATACTTCGTGTCAAAGTTTTCAAAAACAGATATTTTGAATCACTGTTATCCAAAAATTCTCACAAATGTCCATGATAAACCAAACGGAGTTTGAAACTAGAAAAACTAAGCTTTATTTTCATATATATTAAAATAAAATTGAAGGGGGGGTGTTTTGAGATATCATGAGTTTTATATTTCAAATCAAGATTTCTGTATGAAATTGTGAGAAAATTAAAAAAATGTTAAGACCAATCGAAAGATTATTAAATTCTCTTTCGAAATAGTGTATAACATTATAAGATTATTTTCTTTTTTATATAATAAAAATCTCTTGAAAAACGCTCTGCTAGCGATCGTCTTTTGAAGGTGGAACGAGTTGAAATAGAATGCCTCATATATATATATATAGTAGAGTGAAAATTTTTTTTTTTCACCTCTTTTTTAGATACAAAATTTTAATTTTCACTTAAATATTATATTTGGTAATAATAAAATTATTACTTTCAAACTAATTAAAATTTTGTTTCAACAAATAAATATTTATTTAGCTCTGGGACAAATTTTTTTATTTAATTTAATTATTAATAATATTTGGTTCGAATAAAAAATTTATCTGGGCGTAAAAATCTAATTTGTATTATTAGTAGTAATATTTTAATTATTAATTATATTATTATTATTTCGTAAATAAATAAATAAATAAAATTATTATTATAGTATAAAAATTAAATTAATTAAAAATTATTATTAGTGAATAATTAACATAAAATTATGATATTCATAGTTCCTTATATGCTTAATAAAAATTATTATGTACAAGTACATTTTCCTTGTGAATTTATTGCTTTATGGAATACTTCATTTCTTTTTAGACATTAGGTCAATATTTATCGTGACGACTAATTATGTACTTTAAAGCGGTTATTCCACCTTTGTTCTATATATGTACATATATATTAAATAAGTATAACACTTGAAATTTAGTTGAGCTTATATAATTTTCATATGCATATGCACATCAAACAAAACTAAATTACAATTTCAGAAATTTCTCAAATTTTAACTGCATCACTATATTATTATTATTATATTCTTTGGTATTCATTAACAACTGTTTGAAAATTCAATTACACTTCAAAATTAACATTATTAACAAATTATACACATTCAGATAAATTTCTAATTAGACATGAAAATTCAACTTTTAGTAATTGTAGAATTCAACAAAATTTATCGTACATATTTGTTCAAAAGTAAAAGTAAAAAGAAAAATAAAAGAAAAAAAGTTAAAATTATTCATTAGACATTGGTGAAGTTCACTATACGTTTATGATTAACGATTTAAAAAAAAAATTTCTGTGTAAATTATAATTTTTTGTCTATAAAAAGTTTTTGCAACACTTCTCGATTTAACAATATTTTTAAATGAAAATTTTGCAAGCAAAAAATTAATTATTATTATTCGAATGAAAAATATTTTTTTTTTCCAATCATTTTGATCATATAAATGTTGTCAGCTCCATCGACGTAAAATTTGTTGAATATTGAAACAATGTTTAATGAAAAAAAAACATTTTTTTAAATTTTGAATGTCTAAATTGAAATTAAAACATATTTGTAAAAAAAAGAAAAAAGTGGAATAACATTTAAATATTAACTAACAGAAATTCGAGAAAAAAAAGGTATTATATTTTTTCGGCACGTACGAAACTTTTTTTTACCTACGCAATTTATGTATAAAATCAAAAATACTTTAAAAATGTATATTTTAATATTCAAACATTCAATCAAAAAAAAAACATTTATTTTTGTACAATTTAAAATTTTGATTATTTTCCGCGTAAAAAATTTTCAATCGTTGAAAATATAAAAAAAAAAGACATTAAAATTTATATACATTTTTTTAAAAAATTCTTTAACAAAATAAAAATCTTTTAAATTATTTGAAAAAAAATTTACATCTACATATGTATATATAGGAAATATTCATGCTACAATATTTACAATAACAGTTATTCTTTTCTCCTGCGCGAGCAAAAATCGAAAGACGAAAAAAGAAGCGGAAAAAGAATGTAAAAGAAATAAATATAAAAAGACACAAAAAGGAGCCCCTTCGCAACTGGAGCAAATATCAAGAAAAAAAAAGTTCTATCTAGAAAAGAATTCATACAAAAAACAATAATAAAAATTGACTTTATATTTATACTATTATGACTGAAAATATATGAATGAAAATATATATGAATGAATGAATTTGCATTTATGATTTATCGATGGATAAAAGATCGTTTAACAATTGTGGTAAAGGGCCTATATCCTAAAGAAGCATCGAAACCGGAATCGTGGGTATCAGGTTTACTATATATATATATGTTTGATCAACTTACCAAGCAAGATGAAGCTTTATAATCCTCTTTTTTTTTAACTTGTCGTCGGCTTTTTTAGTCAAAAATAATTGCACATAAAAAATTTTCAAAACAATGACTTTATTTTCACTTTATTTGTTTTTCGTCACTTTTTCTTTTTCTCAAAAGAAAAGAATATTATTACTATACTACTCCACCTCGCCCAACACCGGCCCCTGGGGTCAACAAACAACGACACAATAGTTAACGTTTCGTATACTATACATGACTCTCGCCCTTTTTCACGTTTTCTGAATCCTATGCAGCAGGTGCATTTGATAATCTACACACACACACACACACACATACATACACAAGAGAGAAAGATAAATATAACAGAGAAACTTGTGTGATATTTAAAAAACACACACGCTCGTTTAATTTGAGAGTATAAGCACAAGTGTGCGTTTAGAGTAATGCGCTGTCACAGACGCATAGGGAATCAAACCGTCTTACTCGAACCGATGTTTACTACTGAATACCGCTACCGGGATCACCGGGTGTAGAAAACTACAGTACCAAAACAGAGATGGGTCGTTTTCACTTCACTGTTGGGTAGCAGCTTTTGTTTCAACCTTTTTTTTTTTTTTTGACATAAAAAAATATTCCCATATCTCGAATTTCAATGTTCTGTCATAAATTATTCTTCATAAATCAAACTCGACATAAATATCTCTCATATATAATGATTTGATAGAAATTTTACCAAAACTCATTACAGGCATAAAATTCATTAGAAATCAAATGATTTGACACAAAATTTGACATAAAGTTGAATCCACAATAGACAATTTTTTTTTTTTTTAATCGATGCGCACTTTTTTTTGCATTGGCAATCTGAAGAAAGCTATTTATAGGTTAAGAAAAAATTGTCTATTGTGGATTCAACATAAAACTCGACACAAAAATAAAAAATAATAATAATATAATAATATCGTTAATAATATCTTAATATCGTTTATAAATTTTTATTTGGCATAAATCGAACATGGCATAAAACTCATTTTGACACTTCAATATCGTTTACAAATTCTTATTTGGCATAAATCGAAATTGGCATAAATCTCATTGGACATAAAACTTTTTTGACATAAATATCGTTTATAAATTCTTATCTGACATAAATCGAAATTAGCATAAATCGAAATTGGCATAAATCGAAATTGGACATAGAAATTAATTTGACATAAATGTAGGTTATAAATTCTTATTTGGCATAAATTTTTTTCCGTTACAAAAAATCAAACTTATGGCATAAAATTCACCGGACAACAATCCCACTTGACATAAATATCGTTTGTTATCAATCTGCTTTTTTTTTTGCATAATTCTAATTTGACATAAATTTTCATTTGGCATAAAACTAACATAGCATAAATATGATATTTATGCCAAATTAATTTTATGCCAAATAAAAATTGTACTATAATATTTTTATGTCGAGTGAAATTTATGCTTTATGATTGTTATGTAATGGGAAATTTATTACAAATGTAACTATTTTATTGACAAATACAAATTATGTTATATAAATGAGATTTATATTTCAAATGATTTTATGTCAAACGAGATTTTTGCCAAATATTGAAAAAAATTTATAAGCCACAAATAATTTGATATTTGATAATATAATATATTTATATGCTCTTTTTTGAATTGTTTGAATTGAATTAATGAAATTTTACTATTTTAATTTTGAGAAGTTTACAAAAAGGAAAATTTAACTAATCTGTGAAATTTTATTATTAAATAATTTTCAGTTAATTTGTGTTGGTGAAAAAATTTGTTCATTATTGAGAAATAATTAAATTCGACGAATTTGTCAGTATAATTTTGATTGGATTCTTATTTAGAATTATAGATTTTTTTTACATTTACAATTATTTTTTTACAATTTGAAACAATTAAAATTAATCGAAAACTCATTAGTTTTTATTGTACTATAATTTGTTTATATTGAGAATAAATATTATATTATAAATAACTGATTTTTTAAAAAAATTTGATCCCCCTGTATATCTGCAACCTACCTTACACTTACGATAATTCACTGATGTTACATATATATGTGTACATCTGGTTGCCTTCTCGTTGCTCAACAAAGTCGTTTAGTTGTTGCCTAATTTGTAAATTAAAATGTTTTTTTGAAAAAAGTGCTACAATATCATTCAGTTTTTCATTATTTGATTTGATTAAAAAAGCGAAAATCATATTTTTAGATACGACAATTTAAAAAAATAATTCCGACTTGCGCTGTTAAAAAAAATTGTTTTCTATACTGTGTTAGTATATATGTTTAGTGAATCTCGTTGAATGTTGACAAATACCTGTCTTTGACAAACAAATGGCATAAATTTACAGAAATTAACATTAAAGTGTAATTCTCAAATTAATAATATGGCTGCACTTAGTGGTTTCGTTGATTTCTTTCAAAAAGGAAAGGTAAGTGAAAAAAATCATTGTAATTTGTTTTTCGAGCATGATAACATAACCTCTATATTGTTGAAAATTTTAATTTTTTTTACATAATATATTTCAATTTAAAGTATTTTTTTCTTGATTTTGTCTCTAGACATTCAGACCTAAAAAGAAATTTGCCCATGGTACATTAAGATATTCTTTACATAAACAAGCACAAGCTTCTCTTAATTCCGGTATTAATTTACGCGCCGTCGTTAAATTGCCACCTGGAGAAGATTTAAGCGATTGGATTGCTGTTCATGGTAAGATATTTATATAAATAAAAAAAAATAATAATAATTTCTTGATAGGATTTGCTTTTTTACTTTGTGTCTATGATAAAAATATTCATATTTCTTTTTATGACAAAGCAGAAAATGTTTTAATTTATTAATTTACCTACATAATTCCAAATATTTTTATCTCTTATAATTCGTTCTTCCCTCTTTTTTTTTTAAATTTCATGATATGTATAAAATCACAGGCCTCGAATTATACGACTTTTTTCAAAAATACGATATTTTTCGAATTATTTTAATAAAATGCAACGTTTTCTCGACTTTTTTTTACATTTTAATACAAAATTTTTAAACAAAATACGTCTTTTTTAGTATACAATGCAGATCTTCTTTATCTTCACTAAATTATTATTATTTTTAATAATTTTAATGAAATTCTTCATAAATTCAATTATCTAAAAATATTTTTTAATTAAAATTTTTATGAAATTTAATAATTGTTTATAATTTTAAAAAAATTAGCAAATAAAATTACTAAAAAATTTTAATTCAAAATCACTTGAAATTTAATTATTTGCAAAAATTTCAATTATTATTATTATTAATGATTTTTCTAATATTCTTCGAAAATTCAATTATCTGACAGTATTTTTCAATTAAAAACTTTTGGAATTCAATTTTTTTATGTGATTTCTAATAAATTCTTCATCAACAGAAATCACAAAAAAATTTCTCACTTATAATTATTGTCTGAAATTTAATACAATCTTTTGAAATTTAATTATTTTTATAAATATATTTTTTTAATAATATTCTTATAAAATAATTATTCTCATTACAGAATTAATAAAATTAATTTAATATCTAATAACATTAATTATTTAAAGTAAAATATTCATTAATCACGAAGCTGAAGTACGCAACGTTTATATAAACGATTTTTAAAGAAATAATTTTTTTAAATGATAAATTATATAAGTTTTTGCCTAAAAAATATTTTTTTATAATTTGTTGATTAATGAAAACTACAAGAAATATTTTTTAAGCAAAATATTATAGAATTTTTTATTTTAAAAAATTATTCCTTTAAAAATCGTTTATATAAACGTTGCGTACTTTAGCTTCGTCATTAATCAATTAAATTTTGTTAAAATAAAAAAATCGATTTTTTTTATGAGCCAAAAGTTTTGAACGTTCAAATGAACGAAATTTTTTTTTGCAACTTCTTTAAGTAAGATTTTTATTACAAAATTTTGTTTTAAATATCTAAAAAGAAATTATTATTTTAATAATTGTTTAATATACTGTTTTATTTTACATTGACATCATAATTTTTGATAATTTATAGATTTAAAAAAATATTTCGTTCATTTGAACGTTCAGAACATTTGGTTCATTTATTTTTTTGGAATATAAATTTAATTAACTAAAACGACTTTTTTGTGCCTTAAAGTCAATCCGAGGCCTAAAATCATTGAAAATGAAATTAAATAAGTTGAATAAAAATTCAGAAAAATTTAATAATTAAATAAAATTATTCAGAAAAATAAAAAATTTCGAGTAAATTATTATTACGTCATTTTGATTTATAGTGTAAATTTATTTATTTAATTAAAAATACTTTTTACAGGGGGAAATAAAAATAATGAATTAAACAGTTTTTTTTGGGGGGGGGGAAATAAAATATTTTAATTTTTATATGTAGGTATTTAATAATTAAATAATTAATTTTTATATTTCACAGTGGTCGATTTTTTCAATAGAATAAATCTCATATATGGAACAGTTTCTGAATATTGTGATTCTGCGTCATGTCCAACAATGAGTGGTGGGGCAAGATTTGAATATTTGTGGGCTGATGGTGAAAAATATAAAAAACCAACAGCCTTACCGGCACCACAATATGTTAATCTTCTAATGGACTGGACTGAAAATCAAATTAATAATGAAAATGTCTTCCCAGTGTCGACTGGTAAAAATTTTTTTTTCTTATTATTTTCAATACAAAAATATAAACGGTTATATGTGTAAAATTTTTAATACTTAAACGTAAATTTAAATATTTACTCACTTTTTTACTCCTTTCTTCTTTTTTTTTAGATGTACCATTTCCGAAAACTTTTATTCCACTGTGTCGAAAAATTTTGACCCGTCTATTCCGAGTGTTCGTTCATGTCTACATTCATCATTTTGATCGAATAGTCGCAATTGGAGCGGTAATTAATTTTCTATTTATTTCTTTTTTTAATAGTTTTAGTATAAAATTTCACATTTTTAATTATAAGCAAAATAATTAGAAATTTTAAATAAAAAATACCAAACAATTACTTAAACTATTAAGTAATTGTTTAAAAAATTTTAATTACCGTCAACCGGGGCTAATATACTCAAAAAAAATCCAGTATAATGTTTTTTTTTACAAAATTAAACAAAATAAAACAAAATACATCTTTTTTTTTGTATATAATGCAGATTTTCTTTATTTCAATTATTTAACAAATTTTTAACTAAAATTTTTCTCTAAATTAATTATTTTTAATAATTTTAATGAAATTCTTCACAAATTCAATTATATCATAAAATATTTTTCAATTAAAAATTTTAGAAAGTTTAAAAATTGTTTACAATTTAAAAAAAAATCAGCAAATAAAATTACTAAAAATATCTTATTTGAAAAAGAAAAATATTTTATTTTTTATTAATTAAAAGTTGTAGCTGAGTTAAATAGCCCCTTGGCGAGTAGAATAGCCCCTATTGACGATAGTTTCTTATTTCTATTAATTTTAAAACAATTGTCTTTTTTTCATACAGGAAGCTCATGTCAACACATGTTACAAGCATTTTTACTACTTTGTCACAGAATTTGAATTAATAAATCACAAAGAATTGGAACCATTAGCGGAAATGACTTCCAAAGTGTGTAAAGATACTACAGAAGTGACAAATTCAAGATAGTTTATTTTATTCAATCACTTTTATCATTGCAATGAAATTTATTATAGCAGTAAATGATTTTCTACTTGCTTCCTATGTAATTTGAAAATTATTCGAATTTTATTCGTATATAAGCCAATTACGACAATATTGAGAGGAAGAATTTCATTAAATTTTTTACAAAAGCATCGTAATTTATATAAAAATGGAAAATTAAATCCTATGTACATAAAAATTACTTTCAATTTTTTTTTTTTTTTTCATTAGCAATTTACTCCATTATGCATTAGATTCAATATTATCATTGTTGTTCTTTTTTTTAAAATAATATTTAACTTCTTGAAGTACTTACTAGATTTTAATTTAATTAATAATTACATTTTTATCTGCAAATAATGTAAAAATTAATTAAATTAGAATAAATAATTGTAAAAGTAATAATAGATGATAGAATTAATTTTTAGCATTTTTTTTTAAGTCTCGAATGATTTTAATATGAAATCAATTTATAGCTCATAATATGTATCGGTGTTTGTTAAAATATTTGTTAAATTTAGGAAATACGTTTTGTAAATGTTCTAGTCAACATTAAATTTTGTTCTATTTTTAGACAATTCTAAAATGATAAAACACATTCTTTTTTGTCATCTATTTTTTGGCAAAAAAAAAAAAAAGGAAAATTAGTTTGTTGCATAATATTTAATAATAAATTCATCACTGATTAATAAATTTTAATTTAAAATTTATTTATTTTTTATAGGTTTTCTCAATTTTAGAAATAATAAGACAAAGTAAATTAAAATTGTGTAATTATAATTTTTAATACAAAAAAAAGAAGTTACGCAACAATCTAATATACAATAAAAATTTGTACCTATACAAAAAAAAAACAGAAAATCAATAAAGCGATTTGATTTAATAAAAGATTTGTACATTTTTTAATAAAGATGACTTGAAAGAATTTTTTAATACTGATTTAATGATAGACAATTGTTTTTATTGCAAAAAAAAAAAAATTTATCCTTATCAAATTAACGTATAGATGAGTCAAATTTATTAAATTGATAAGCCAAATACAAATAGTGGAAAAACAATGAATGATTTAGTTTCTTTTTTACAACTCACATTGATGTATAATGCAAAAAAATAAAAATAATTTTACGAATTTTTTTTTTTTTTTGAAACAGATGCTTTATATATATATAACTTTTCTATTTTACATGAAAAATAGTAAAATTGCGAAATCATGATGTTTTAAGTTAAAAAAAAAAGAATTTTATAAATTACTCATGATTTATTCACAAGTTTACTATTGAACAGTATGAGTTTTTTGTTTTTTTTTTCTCTAAAATTATAATACATTAATGACTGTTGCTTTGAAAATTTATTTAGAGTCTTAACCAGTACATTGCGCCGCTGATAAGATTATAATCAGGAACAGCTTCGACTGGACCAATTGCTGCTAATGCTGGGCAATGATTGTAAATGTAATTCATTCCAACGTCTTGTATAGTTCTAGCTGTTACACTCTAAAATAAATAATTCGTAATTAAATTCAAAGTTTTCCATTAAATTACAATAAATTTTCACGAAAAAGTTGAGAGAAAAAATTTAAATATTTAACAGTTAAAAAATATAAAACAAAATTTGTAAAAATTAAAAAATATTGAAAAAAAAATTAGTTTTTATTAATTGGTTTTTTATTTATATCAATATGTGGAAAATTTGTAAAAATTAATTAATAATTAATATTATTTATTAGTAAATAAAAAAAAAACCTTTCGATTTTGGACGAACTTCCAGTTTTTACATTCTTTACATTTTCCTTGATTATAATCAAGTGAATAAAAATAATGATTTAAAATTAATAAAAAAAAAATAATAATAATAATAAAAAAATTATTAATATAATTAAAATATTAAAAAATTAATATTTGAGATAAAAATTAATTTTTAAACAAAATTCAAAAGAAAAAATTTGTAAATTATTATATTATTAAAAATCAGGAAAAACAGAAGAAATATTTTATACGAATATTGGAAAAAAACATTTTTCAATTTAAAAAAAATTATATTGTTTTAAAATTAATTTTTAATTGAAAGTTTCGCTTACAGTACAAAAAAAAATGAAATATGAAAACTTACCTCTATTCTTGCTTCTAATTCGTGAAGTGGAATTCGTCTTTCGTAGCAAAGCATTTGCCTACCAATATCTTCACAAATATTTGATGTTCCATCCAATTGTAAGAGCATATTTGTTTTTAAAATATTCTTTGCACGGGCAACTTCTTTTTCTGTGATGGATGTGCAAATTCTCATCCATTCTTTTAAAACTGCAAATGTCATATCTTCAGTTTGTTCATTTTCGCACACATAATACATTCCCCATAGTCCAGTGTCCTTAAAAAAAAAGAAGAAAATTAACAATCGTTAATTATTATTTTTAATCAGAAATTTTTTTTATTTAACATTTTTTAAATTTAAATTATTTGAAAAAACTATCTATATGATTCGAAAAAACAATTCTCCTCCATCAATATTATTGTTATAATAAAAATTATTACGAAGCTGAAGTACGCAACGTTTATATAAACGATTTTTAAAGAAATAATTTTTTAAAATGAAAAATTCTATAATTTTTTGCCGAAAAAATATTTTTTTATAATTTGTTGATTAATGGAAACTACAAGAAATATTTTTTAAGCAAAAAATTATAGAATTTTTCATTTTAAAAAATTATTTCTTTAAAAATCGTTTATATAAACGTTGCGTACTTCAGCTTCGTAAATTATTCGAGTTTTATAGTGTAATAAAAATTTTATAACGAAAAATTAAAACAAATTTCATTTATTTAATAAATAATAATAATAATTAATAATTTTTCATTGATTTATTTTAAAAAATACGCCAAAATCTTATGAGCCAAAAGTTCTGAACGTTCAAATGAATAAAATATTTTTTTCAATCTATAAATTATTAAAAATTATAATATTAATGTAAAATAAAACAGTAAATTAAACAAATATTAAATTAATAACTTTTTTTTTAGATATTTAAAACAATATTTTGTAATAAAATTCATACTTAATTCTTTTGAACGTTCAAAACTTTTGGCTCCTAAAATCTTTCTTTTGTCTGATTTAAGAAATTTATTCGAATTTAAAATTTTGGCATGGTTTTTAGTTTTAATGATTAAGAAAATTTTGTACAATAATTAAGTTTTACAGATTTATAAATTAAATTTTTGTTAATTAATTGAAGTGCAGACGATTTTAAATTTAAAATAAATTTTTTCCCTGTAGTTTTTTTTTAATTTCTGTCAATAATTCAATTTTAGGGTTTTTATTTGAAACTTTTTTAAATAATTGAATTTTTCAAGAAATATTATAACTATTAAAAATAATTTGATTTTTGTCCATTTTTATATTAATAAATTTTTTTTTTCTAATTTTTATTACAATTTTAGAAATAATTAAATTTTATAAGATTAAAATTTGACGAAGGTAGTTTGCTTCATTTAGAAAATATAAAATTTTTAAATTTATTACTTACAAAGATTATTTATAACATAAATAAATAAAATGTGAAAATTTTTCAAAAATTTTCAAATTTTGTTAAACATTTTTTTTTTTTTTTTTTAAATAAGAGATAAGTGATTGGACACCTTTTGTGCAATATTGAATTATCGTAATAATTAAATAGATTTTTGAAAATTATACATACCTTGTAACAAGTGTTAAAACTGTGGAAGCTGTGACACAAGTTTTTCTCGGTGACGGTTCTTGCTAAATTACTTGCATTGTTACCTCCACCACCTTGGCTACGATCCCAAGTACCAATAAGTGTATTGAATATCATGAGAGGAATGTTATCTGAATTTGCCCATCCAACACCTTGAACGGCAATGGCAACATGTGCAAGTGGTATGGAATCATCACGCACACGAATTTCCGATCCAGTGAATCGACAATTATTCAAAAAACTTGGTACATCATCATAATGAGGACCAGTCATTTTACCAAAGTGCTTCTCAGCCAAATCAACCAATTGTTGATGTTCAACACCTCCTGCACCAGCGAGCACAAATCTGTTAACAAAAATTTCAAATTACGACTTTTTGCCAAACAAAAAAAGCAATTTAAAAAAAAAAAATTTCTAAACTTAACATTTGTCTTTTCTTTACTTTAAATAAATAAATAAAATTATTTCTTTTTCCGCGACAATTAAACTAAAATTTTTGAAATAAAAATTGCCATTAAAAAAAATATTTGTGTTTCTATAAGTTTTTATTGAAATTTTATTTTAATTTCACTCTGTTTGGTCTTCTAAGAAAGCAGTAAATTCTATTCTCTATTATAATTACCTCGGTGGACCATAATGATTTTTAACGTAAGAAACAAGATCATTTCTCGAGATGGATTTAATATTTTTAGTTGGTCCTAGAATTGTTCTTCCCAATGGAGTGCCTTGAAAGGCAGTCGAGTGTAAATGATCGAAAACAACTTCCTGTAAATTTGTTTCAACATCCTGCATTTCTCTAAGAATCACACCTCGTTCACGTTCAATTTCAGCTTCACCCAATTTGGAATTTTGAATGATATCACTTAAAATTTCCACCATTTTTGGTACATCTTGCTTTAAACATCGGGCATAATAGACAGTTTGTTCTCTGCCTGTGTATGCATTCAAATGGGCTCCCATATTTTCAATTTCCAATTCGAGATCAATTTGCGAACGTTTCGCTGTTCCCTGATAATAAACGTTAAAAAGTTTTTTTTTTGTTAAAAATTAAGACATCAGTGAATAGACAATTGAAATGAAATAATATAAAAATATAATGAAAGCACTATAAAATAGATAAATAATTTCATTTCAGGCCTCGGATCGACTTTAAGGCACAAAAAATTGCTTCAACTAATTTAAATTGAAATTTGACATAAATAATTTTAAAGCGACGAAATTTTTTTTTTTTTTTTTAATTCAAACTTGGGTCAATTGAATCATTTATGTAGAAAAGATAAAAATTTGTAATTTCGTGTTCTGTAAATTAATATAAGTTTAGGAATGTTAAACAAATTATTTTTCAAAATTTCTGGCCATAAATCAATGTTTTTATATTGTAAATTTAATTATATTTTAAATATTACATCCGAAAATTTAATTAAATCATGAGAAAAAATTTTTTTAAATTTCATGCAATAATTAAATTTTATAAAAATTAAAATAATTTATCAATTACAGGCCTCGGATCGATTTAGTCGATTAATATTCAAAAAAAAGTCGATTTTTTTTTTATTTCAACAATTGGTTAATAAATATTTTACTTTAAATAACTAAAATTATTAGATATATTAAATTCATTTTATTAATTCTGTAATGAGAATAATTCTATAAAAATAACCAAGCTGAAGTACGCAACGTTTATGATAAACGATTTTTAAAGAAATAATTTTTTAAAATGAAAAATTCTATAATTTTTTGCCTAAAAAATATTTCTTGTAGTTTTCATTAATCAACAAATTATAAAAACATATTTTTTAAGCAAAAAATTATAGAATTTTTAATATTAAAAATTATTTCTTTAAAAATCGTTTATATATAAACGTTGCGTACTTCAGCTTCGCATAAAAATATTATCAAGAAAATTTATTTAGAATATTTCTGAATCGAACTATAATTGTAAGACAAATTTTCAGATAATAATTAAATTTTACAGAACTAAAAATAATTTATCAAATAATTTTAGATAATATTTTTAAAAAGTAATTGAATTTTCAAAGATTTACAATTTATATTTTTCAAATTAATTGAACTTCAAGTGATTTTAAATTTTAAATTTTTGAAGATTTCTCTAAAAAATTTATTAGAAACTGCAGACAAAAATACAATAATTTAAAAACTTTTACGAAGCTGAAGTACGCAACGTTTATATAAACGATTTTTAAAGAAATAATTTTTTAAAATGAAAAATTCTATAATTTTTTGTCTAAAAAATATTTCTTATAATTTTTATTAATCAACAAATTATAAAAAAATAATTTTTAGGCAAAAAATTATAGAATTTTTTATTTTAAAAAATTATTTCTTTAAAAATCGTTTATATAAACGTTGCGTACTTCAGCTTCGTAAAAGTTTTTAAATTATTGTATTTTTGTCTGCAGTTTCTAATAAATTTTTTAGTGAAATTATGAGCCAAAAGTTTTGAACGTTCAAATGAATGAAATTTTTTTTGCAACTTCTTTATGTACAAATTTTATTACAAAATATTGTTTTAAATATCTAAAAATAAGTTATTAATTTAATAATTGTTTAATTTACTGTTTTATTTTACATGGTCATCATAATTTTTAATACATAATTTATAGATTGAAAAAAATATTTTGTTCATTTGAACGTTCAGAAATTTTGGCTCATTTAAAATTATTAAATTTCAAAAAATTTTAGATGGGGTCATTCCATTATATTTCATCTGAAGTCGTTGCGGCTTATTTTTAGAAAAATCTGATAATTTGTAATAATGATATTTAATATCCGTACAATTCATTTTTGGCAAATTTTTTATAAAATTATTTGTATTTGCTTTGGAATTTTATTTTTTAAGTTGAGGTGCACGGAAAAAAGGTTATTTTGACAGCTTTGGAAATTTAATCAAAAAACACAAAAATAATTTAGATAGAATAAATTTTTTGTTTGATATATATTCAAAATAGTCCAATTTACTTATATTAATTGATTTCTATGTTAAAAAGTCCAAAATATTATATGAAAATTGATTTTTAAACTTGCCTGTCAAATGCCAAAATTCACCATATTTTTATTACATTTTTCTAGAAAGTTAATAAATATTTAAAAAATTATTACAGCTTAATATTAAGTACTTTCAATGTACTTTCATATGATGCGCTGACTTTTTAATATTATGTAGTAGAAATAGGAAAAATTTTACTTTGAATGTTGAACTTTCCAGGATTTTCGGTGATTTTGAACACTTGTATCTCCTCAGGTGCAAAATAAAAAAATCCAATTTTTGTCTTAATATTTAAGTTAGACCTTGTTTTCCATTCTGTCAAATTTTGGCGATGGATTTCGAAAACAAGGTCTAACTTAAATATTAAGACAAAAATTGGATTTTTTTATTTTGCACCTGAGGAGATACAAGTGTTCAAAATCACCGAAAATCCTGGAAAGTTCAACATTCAAAGTAAAATTTTTCCTATTTCTACTACATAATATTAAAAAGTCAGCGCATCATATGAAAGTACATTGAAAGTACTTAATATTAAGCTGTAATAATTTTTTAAATATTTATTAACTTTCTAGAAAAATGTAATAAAAATATGGTGAATTTTGGCATTTGACAGGCAAGTTTAAAAATCAATTTTCATATAATATTTTGGACTTTTTAACATAGAAATCAATTAATATAAGTAAATTGGACTATTTTGAATATATATCAAACAAAAAATTTATTCTATCTAAATTATTTTTGTGTTTTTTGATTAAATTTCCAAAGCTGTCAAAATAACCTTTTTTCCGTGCACCTCAACTTAAAAAATAAAATTCCAAAGCAAATACAAATAATTTTATAAAAAATTTGCCAAAAATGAATTGTACGGATATTAAATATCATTATTACAAATTATCAGATTTTTCTAAAAATAAGCCGCAACGACTTCAGATGAAATATAATGGAATGACCCGATGGAAAATTTTAAAAGCTTTTAAATTAAAATTTTTGATAATAATTCAATTTTAGTTGGTTTTAAATTAAAATTTTTGAAAATCATTAAATTTCAATTGATATTGAATTGAAATTATGGAAAAAAATTGAATTTTAGAAACTTTTAAATTGAAATTTTTGAAAATAATTGAATTTTAGTTGATTTTGAATTGAAATTTTAAAAATAATTGAATTTTATTGATTTTGAATTAGAATTCTAGAAAATAATTGAAATTTAGTACAGAACTAAAAATAATTAATCAAATAATTTTTTATAACATTCTTTAAAAGTAATTGAATTTTCAAAGATTTACAATTTTGATTTCTTAACATTAATTGAACTTCAAGTGATTTTTAATTTAAAATTTTTCATGATTTCTGTTACTAAAAAATTTATTAGAAATTGCAGACAAAAATCTTTGAAAATTCAATTACTTTTAAAGAATGTTATAAAAAATTATTTGATTAATTATTTTTAGTTCTGTTCTAAATTTCAATTGTTTTCTAAAATTTTAATTCAAAATCAATAAAATTCAATTATTTTTAAAATTTTCAATTTAAAATCAACTAAAATTAAAAAATAAAACAAATTATGGAAAAAATTGAATTTTAGTTGATTTTGAATCGAAATTTTTGAAAATAATTGAATTTTAGTTGAATTTAAATTGAAAATTTTAAAAATAATTGAATTTTATTGATTTTGAATTAAAATTTTAGAAAATAATTGAAATTTAGTACAGAACTAAAAATAATTAATCAAATAATTTTTGATAACATTTTTTAAATGTAATTGAATTTCTGTTGATGAAGAATTTATTCGAAATTGTAGACAAAAATTGAATTCCAAAAGTTTTTAATTGAAAAATGCTTTCAGATTATAAACAATTATTAAATTTCATAAACATTTTAATTGAAAAATAGTTTAAGATAATTGAATTTGTGAAGAATTTCATTAAAATTATTTAAAATAATTAATTTAGTATTAATAATAGCATTCTATATTAAAAAAGAAGTATTTTGTTTTTATAAATTTTGTAAAAAAAAAGTAGAAAAAGTTGCATTTTATTAAAATAAGTCGAAAAAGTCGTATTTTTGAAAAAAAGTCGGAAAAATTCGTATAATCTAACGCCTGTTATTTCATAAATAAAATAATAAACAAAAGATAAATAAATAAAACAATAAAATAAAAATACAATAACAGTGGAGAATTAAAAAAATTATAGAGAAAAATAAATTAAATACATTTATCATTAGCAAAGTAATAAAAATATAGAAAGCACAATAAAATAAATAAATAATTTTATTTCATAAATAAAATAATAATAAATAAAAATAAATGAAAAATAAATAAAAACAATTTAAAAAAATCACAATAAGACAGGAGAATTAAAAAAAATGAAAGAGAAAAGTAAATTGATTACATCTATTTGAAACGTACTTTGAAGGACATATGCTCCAGGAAGTGAGCAACTCCATTATTTTCGTCAGTTTCGTAACGACTCCCAGCATCAATCCAAATTCCTACGGTAGCAGTTGCTGCTCCACTATCTTCACTGGCTACTCTCATTCCATTATTGAGGGTTGTTAATTTAGTCGGTGGTTGATTTATCAGAATTTGCTGCAGAGATGCTTGCGATGATCTCCATCGTTTTGGAAACTTAAGAAATGCGAATCACATTTAAGAAACTTGATTTTTTTTTTTATAACATTTAACAAACTTGAAAAAACTCGAATCACATTTAAGAAACATATATATTGAAACTAACATTTCAAGGTATTTGTAAATTAAATATAAAAAAAAATTGAAAAAATTCGATTACAATTTGCCATATAAAAAATAGACGAGGTTAGGAGAAAAAACAATAGATTTTTCGGAGTCAATAATATCGAGGCGCAGCTAAGAGAGGTTAGAAAATATAATTCATACTCCACAAATTAATAATTTTGACATTTCATAATTGGAATTTAAAAATACAACTTCGTTATAAAAAAATAAAAGATTACTTCAATATTAGTTTTTAAATTCAAGAAAAATACTAATAAAAATTAATCACGTTACGTAAGGGAGGCTTTGATCGTGAGCAAAAAATGATGTGTCAAAAAAAAAAAAGATTCAAACGTAAAACCTCATAAAAAAGAAATTCTTCACTAATAAAATAATATTAAGTTTAAAATAATTAAATTTTCTACCTGAATGAGACTATTTTTATCCGAATAAGACCGCAAAGCGGTGCTGAACCTCAGTAAACGAGTCGCCATTTTTTCTGGGAAGAATAGCAGAAAATTTTTTGACGTGTGAGCTTGTTGCACTGCGCCTGCGTGTCTTTGAAGGTTTTTGGTGAGGCGCGGTATTTTTTAAATTTCTCCTTCTTTTTTCTTCTGGTTGGTATTTGAAATTTCCCCCCGTCATTTTGCGAACCAATCAAATTATTGGATTTCACGCAAGCGTAATAGTAATATTGAAATTGAGATTGCAATTACAAGTGATCCAAGTGATGAAAATAAATAATAAAAAAAATTGAAAAAATTATATAAAGTTATTTATAAAGTGATATATCGTTCTTTTTTTTAATCTCACAGAATGCTTTTATGCACTTTTGTGAATCAATTTATCACATTTGATTTTAGAACAAGAACAATTTAAAAAGATTTGTATATAGTGTTTTCTAACCTTAAAAGAAACGTCATTATTACTGCGTAAATATTTTCAAAATAGGTAACAATATTTAAAATATTATATTTAAATATCAAAAATACTTTATTTAATTTTTAACTAAATGTATAATTAAATATTTACACATAGACAAATGGTTTATAGTATTTTGATTAGTAAAAAAAAATTTGGGTGAGAATTTGTTTATCATTCAATTTTGTTGATTTTTTTTTTTTTTTTTTATAATTTTGCATAGAAAAAAATGGCGTCAAAGGACAATTCTTCTAACAATATTTCACCTTTACCTGAAAATAAATTACCAGAATGTTGGAAACAAGACGATAGAATGAATTCATTGTTTGCTGACTTTAGAAATCGATCTGTCAATCCACAAGATTGGAGTTCAAAATACAAATTTTGGCATGAAATTATTTTAGAACTATTGGACTATTCAAAAAGTTGTTGTTTTAGTATATCTGACTTAAATATTGCTTTCAAAAGAAATGGTCGTGTTCCAGTTTGTTTATCTACTGTCATTCAGGAAATGCACAGGTAATTTTATTTATATTTTAAATTATACTATTCAAATTGTGAGACACAAATCAGGAAAAAGTTTGGGGAAAACAAAAAAAATCAATTATTTATATCCATAATTCAATTGATTCAAATATGAATCTATTTAAATTTGAATTCATCTAAATTTTAGGCAACTTTTTTAAAAATATTTTTTACAAAATTTTCAAACAAAATATGTCCTTTTTAGTATAGAATGCTGATCTTCTTTAATTCAATTATTTAACAAATTTTTAACTAAAAATCCTTCACTAAATTAATTTTTTAATTAATTCTTCACAAATTCAATTATCTTAAACTATTTTTGAATTAAAAATTTTTTAAATTCAATTATTTTCAAAAATTTCTTTACCTTTTAAAAATTAATTATTTCTAGAATTTTCCAACTAAAACTTTCTGAAATTTAATAATTTTAACTATATAACTCTTTCGAAATTCAATTATTTTAAATAATTTTTATAATTTTCCTTCGAAAATTCAATTACCTAAAAACATTTTTCAAATTAAAAACTTTTAAATTTCAATTTTTGTCTTTAATTTCTAAAAAATTCTTTAGCAACAAAAATCACCGAAAATTTCCATCAAAAATCACTTGAAATTCAATTATTTTAAAAAATTGGAATTGTAAATCTTTGAAAATTCAATTTTTTTTAAAAAAAGTGTTATCTAAAATTATTTGATAAATTATTTTCAATTCTGTAAAATTTTATTATTGTTTAAAATTTAACAAAATCTTTTGAAATTCAATTATTTCTAAAAATTTCATCTGTAACTCTTCCACAATTCAATTATTTTTAATGATTTTTAAAAATATTCTTTAAATAATTCAATTATTTTAAAAAAATTCAAATATAAACTCTAGGATTGAATTGTTGTCAGAAATTAAGAAAAAAACTAACGCAGTTTAAATTTGCAGAAAATTTATTTCAAATTTAAAATCTTCTGTAAATCCAATTATTTTTAAAAAAATGTAATTTAAAAATCTGTAAAACTTTATTATTGTCCTAAGTTTTTTTTATCATTAAATTAAAAAGTATGACAAAATTTTTAATTCATATAAATTTATTTATATATAGAAATTAATTAATTTATTTCTTTGTTATAAAAAATTTTGTAAAATGGAACTTTAAGATTTTTTTTAGAAATTTGTTCTGCTTAATTAAAATTTTTTAAAATTTGTCTTAGTTCGATTCTGAAATATTCGAAATAAATTTTATTGATAATAATATTCTTATATAATTGTTTTTATTAGGAAATTAATAAAAAATTAATGTATTTTCAAATAAATGAATAAAATAAATTTAATATCTAATAACGTTAGTTATTTAAAGTAAAATATTTATTAACTAATTAAATTTAATTAAAATAAAAAATATCGACTAAAACTATTTTTTTTACGCCTTAAAGTCGATCCGAGGCCTAAAAATTTCAAATTAATTTAATTTTATTTAATTCAAATTTTAATCTATCCAAATTTCAATTCAATCTAAGTTTAATTTTAATTTCAAGTGATTAAAATTTCAATCAATTTTAATTTTTATTGACTATAATACAAATTTATTAATTAAAATTTTAATAAAATGCAAATTCAATTAATTGAAACTTAAAATTAATGAAATTTCATTCTATCTAAAGATTAGTCAATTTAAGTTTCAAATGACAGGAATTTTAATTAATCGAAATTTTAAGTTTCGAATAAATATGAATTTCAATTTTTCCAAATTTTGATTGACTTAGTTTTCAATTTATCCGAATTTTTTAAATGCTTCAATCATTGATGAAAAATTTCAATTAATCGAAATTTAAATAGATGATAAAAATGAGTTATTTTGAACTATAATTGTTTTTAATTATTAGTTTTTAATCATCTTTTTGTCACCTATTTGCTTAAATTTTTACTACACAGAATAATAATTTAAAAGAATTTTTATTTTAAAGAAAAAATATTCGAAAGAATTAATTTCTAGCCAATTTTTCCCAATTTATAATTTACAGATTTCTTAAAACGCCAAATTTTTATTTTAAAATACTTTTATTTATCCGAATAAATATCTTGCAGAATAATTTGATCGTAAATTTAAAAATATTAATCAATCATAATTTCGTTGATAATTTTTGATATGTTAATTTTTTAATTTACGCTCAAATTTTTCTGATAGATATTCGGTCAAATGCAAGTAATGTAAAATATAAATTCGGAATTAAGAAATCTTTAAAATATAAATTTATAAAAAATTTACTGTTAAATAATAATTCGAAGAAATAAAAAATTTTACTAAAGTAAATTCTAGGTAATGAAATTTTTTGAACATAAAAATACTTATAATATATATTAGTTAATATATTAGTAATATAAAATTTTTCAATTTTATATGACATAAATTTATTGAAATAAAAACATAAAAATCTAAAACAATGAATATTTTTAATCTTTATCTTTATTTAGAAATGGAGAAATTATTTTGGAACAAGATTTCATAAAAGAACCTTCGAGTACATGGACAGGTTGGGCAGTTGATGTATTAGTGAAAAAACCACTCATTTGGTCTTTTTCAAAAGCAAAAACCTATGTTTCCGAAGATGTTATAAGCATTCATGCAAAATACATTCATTTACCAACGATCAAAGATTTGGGAGAAATAATTCTCTCAACAATTGACAATGCTGACAATAATCAAGAAAATAATTTATATCCAATTTCAGAAATTGTTGAACGTTGCATTCAACAAACAAATAATAAACTTATAAGCGAGAAAAATATTCGATTAGCATTAATATGGTTAAAAAATACAAGAAAAGCAGCACTCAAAGGTAATTGTTTAGATTTAAAAGGTGAATTATTAGTAAAAATATCAACGCAAGGTGTAAAAAATATATCTGAAGTTGAAGAAGGTGTTTTTAAATTAAAAAAACAAGAGAGTTTACTTATCAAAAATATTGAACTATTGGAATTGGAAAAACGTGCATGCGTGGAAAAAGCAAAATCCTATGTTTCCACGGAATTTAGACATGCGGCAAAAAATTGTTTGCGAAAAAAACATGAACTTGAAAAATGTATTGAAAAACGTGGCGCATCATTGAGAAATGTACAAACATTATTGTCAAGAATTCACGATGCACATTCCGATGCAGAGGTATTGGATGTTTATAAAGTTGGTTGTAATATTCTCAAGAAATTCGAAGAAACTGGCTTAACTGAGGATAATGTTCGTGATACAATGGATAATCTTTCCGATGTATGTAAAAAATCGAATTTGTTTTCTAATATATTTTTTATCAATTTTTAATTTGCGATTTTATAAGAAAATTTCTTTTTTTTTTAGGCATTGGAAGATATGAAAGAAGTTCAGTCAGTTATGGCAGAACCTTCTATGCGCGATAATGAATCTGATACAGATCTTGAAAAAGAATTACAAGATTTACTGGATTCCTCGTTTGGAGATTCAGAAAAGGAAAAGAATTTAGAAACAAAAGATACGAGTTTAAATATTCCGGATTTAAAAGATTTGCCTGATTTATCAAGTTTGAATCTACTAGGTAATTAATAATTTTTTTTAATAATTAAAAATTAATTTCAAAATTAAAAAATTGCTTTCAATTTTCAGATTTGCCTGCCGCAAAAAAGCCAACACAAATATTGCCAACGATGTAGAAAATAAAATAGAATTACACGAAAAAATATAATATACTGTAAGTAAATTAAATTATTATTTTCCTAAATTTATTCAATTTTATAAAAATGGGACTGTATTATACTTAATATACGATAGAACAAATTATTTATAAAAGTTTTTTTTTACAAAAACAAAAATTAAGTAAAATTGTATATATATATATATATTCTATGATTATTATAAAGTAAAAATAAGGTGGGAAAATTTTTATTTCATTAAAAAAAAAAAAAAGGAAAAGAAAACTATTCTAGTAAAGTTCGTAAAATTTTACTGGTTCTTCTACATGACATTGTGGATAATTTTTATTGCTTCGTAAATTTTGAATAACATCCTCGATCCAATCTAAATTTCCACTTGCAACTTCTGTATATAAAGAATATGTGTAACTGTTACATGTTCTTTCGCCATTATCACCTTTTGCACCAATTCCAACACTCACAATTCCACGAAGAAACCATAATTCTTTATCTTTAAATACCAATCCACCGCCACTGTCACCGTCACACACGGAAGAACCTAAAACAAATGAATAAATAAATAGTAATAATTTCGAGAAAAAAATTGATTTTTTTAAATTACCAAAAACATTTTTTTTTTCTAAATGTATACTTGAATTTAAAAGAGAAAATCAATTACTCGGATTTTATTTAAAATTTTTTTTTTTTGCAAACTGTTTTTAATAAAATAAAAAAAAAAATGAAATTACCATTTGTATAGCCTGCACAAAATTTATCAGCTGTAATGAAACTTGCACTATCAGTTTCAGCAGCGGCAGTTTCACATTGTTGCTGTGAAATATAAGGAACAGAAATTGATCTCAAAACATAACTTGTCGAGCCCTCCTCCGTTCTTCCAAATCCCGGAACACGTCCCAAATTTCCGGTTTCTAATACTGGTTTATTTCCCAATCGTGCACGATAATCAAGACAAATTGGCATTAAGAGTCCAGTAAATGTAAAAGACTCTTTAAGTTCCAAAATTGCAATATCATTCGCATAAAGTCCCTGTAAACCTCGATATGTGCATCTAATGAAGATATTTTTCACCTTAAAAAAAAAAAAAAATTGCCACATTAGAATTTTTTCGCTATTAATTTTAAAGTGAATTTTATTTTCTTTGTTAATATCAACTTTATTAAATTTTATCTAAATTTAATTAAAAATTCTTTTTATAATCATTGTATAGATTTATTTTTCATCAAATAAAGAGGGAAAAATCAATGACTATTTTTCATCTGCATTGAAATACTTGGTATAAATAAATAAATAGGGAAAGAACTGTGACTAAAGAGATGATAATGAAAAAAAAAATACGTAATATACCTTTTTTCTTTGAACATAAGGGGAGGGAGCGTCATAATCTCGAAAAATATTTCCCGTTGCTACATAAAATCGTGAAGCATCGTACAGTCGACGTGATGATTCGTCATAAACACAATGGGCGGCAGTTATCAGTAAGTCTTCTTGAATAATTGATGCACCGCATATAAATTGTTTTTCACCACTTCCATAATCCTGTCTATACATTGTTGCATGCCATGGAAATTCTGATGGTTTTGCCAGTGTACCATTTACAATTAATTGTACAACATTTAAAGCAGCCTTACCACAATCTAAAAACAAAAATTTTTCTTTAAAAATCAAATAACTTGCTTTTTTTTTGTTCATTAATAATAATAATAAATCGTATACTCGTATCTATTTAACAGTAGAGATAATTCACAATACGGCATAAATAAAATATTTTAATTTTATAAATAATGAATTAGTGGTTAATTTACAATTTTATGTATTTCGAAATTTAAGTTTTCTAATTTTATTCGAAAATTCATATTTTATTAACAAATTCATATTTTATTAATATATCATTCCATTTTTTTTTTGATATTTTTCTAAATTTAATTTTTTCGATATATTTATCAAGCAAATTTTACTTCATTTTATTAATGTGTCAAAATAAATTTTTAATAAATTATATTAATTTATTTTTATGAATTTTTATTAATGAATTTTAATAAATTATATCAATTAATTTTAATAACTTATTTTAATTAATTTCGATAAATTATATTAATTAATTCCTTTGATTTTGTTGATTAACTTAAAAAAAATATTGTTCAATTAATTTAATACTGATAAACTAAGGTAATATTTGTGAATTAATTAATATAATTTACTATTGATTTTTAAAAACAACAATTTTTATTTACAAAAAATATTTCGTATGGCGAGCGAAGTATTTATAATGAACTTTTATAATTTTTTACACTTCAAACATTTTTTATATTACAAAATACATAATAAAAGTCATTTTATTATATTCATTGTTTGTGATTTACCTCTACTTGTTTTGGAATTTTTTTTTTCCAATTTTCTAATAAGTTACCGTCAAATTTTTTTTTCGAGAACTATAAAATTCATAAATATTTAACTAATAACGGTATCATAATTTTTTTTCGCATTTTTAAAGAAATCATCAGTCATTTATTTCACTTTTTTGTCAAAAATTGAGAAGCTCTTGAAATTCAAAATTTATCATTTTAAATTATAATTTGTTATTTAATACATATATAAATATAAAATTTGTTTGAATTTAGAAATTATATATTTATTCAAATTTTTTTTTATTTTAAGAATTCTATAATTTTATTTATTTTTAATTTGAAATTTGTATTTAGAAATTAAATTAACAATTGAAACGGAATTTAGAAATTTCTCAATTAATAGAACTTATTTTGTTTTTTATTAAAATATTTTTTGTCTCGCGTTTTTGTTTGTTAAATTTTAACAATGAAATTTTTTATGTGAATACTGTATAAAAAATAGAAAAACAGAAGAAAAAAAAAATCGTAACGAAAATATAACTATCATTATTCAAGGTAACTGTATCGGTAACAATGTAAAAAATTACTTTTCATAAAAATGTAACATTAACAATAAACAATTACATTTTTTTGTTGAAAGTAACAGTAAACTTACATTTTTAAGGTAACATAAACCTTAAAATTAAAATTTTGAAACAATAACCTCACACTTTCTTAGTAACAATTTTCAATAAAGTAACGGTAACATCATAGTTACGTAACTTTCGTAACATGTCAAACATTGATAATAATCTACTTAAAAAAGAACAAAAAAAAACAAAAAAAATGTATAAAATTTATAAATTTGTTTGAAAAATATTTTCTTAATCCTCATTATCACAAAATGATCGAACACCAATTGATGATTTATCAATATTATTAATTGGTTCGTCCTTAAAATAAATTCTATCAGGATCTAACTCGATATTTTTGGAAAGATTTACTTGTAGTTTCTCGATGTTTACTAAGTTTCCCTGTACGTAAATATTAATCGTAGACGGACCTGCTACGCATTCAATTGGATCTGGTGACCAGTGACCAGTTTCATTACAAATCACTCTCTCCTTTCTTATTGGTAAACTGTAACGATTTTGCTCCTGATGATAACTTGCACGACATCGTAAATCGGCTGATGTAAACGGAAGAACTGATTCTTCACATGGAACATGTTTATTGTTATGCACACAATAGGCTTCCATTGAAATTGACGACAAACCCGGGCATCGAATTTCTACATAGAAAAAAAAAAAAATTATTAAATTTTAAATTATATTTGAATCTTAAAATTATGCTAAAAAAAATAATAATTTAAAATTAATTTTATTCAAATATTAATTATGTAATTATTTGTTTAAAAATTATTTTAAAAATTATTTATTAAATTAATTACATTAGTAAATTTATCAAATTATTTAATTTATTAATTTTATTTTTTTTACTTATTAATTTATTAATTAATTTATTTAAATTTAATGAAAAAGAACAGAAATAATAGGAAATAGTCTAATTTGCATATATTAATTAAATATTAATTAATTAAATTTTTACAGCTGTGAAATTAATTTTTTTTCCGTGCATATCATCTTTAAGATTCAAATTCCGAGATAAATATTAGAAAAATTTATTATTTATGTAAAATTAAAATCAGTTTTTATTGAATATTTTGGATGTAATGAAGATTTAAATATCAATAATTTGTATTGAGAATTGATTCTCTTTGTGTATTTTCAATTAAAAATTTTAAAACATGACCTACAATTTTTTGCCTCTAAGGTCCCTTTCTTCAAAGCGCGTCATAATTTTATTTAATTAATATATTGATGAATTTATCACACGGTCGAGAATTATATAGATGTAAAAAAAATTATGAAAGAATGAATTTCATTTGGAACAAAATTTTGTCCGAGAATGATAAAAATTCGAAAATTTTGAAAATTAGAACCACCCTAATCTATAAATGAAGCATTCCATGGGAAATTTTCATTCAAAATTTCTTTTTGTCCGAAATATTTTTTTTGCAAAATCTATGAAAAAAAAGAAATTACGTATTTTTTTTTTTTTTTTTATTCGATAAAAATGAAGAAAATTATAATTTTGTAAAATTTAACATTTTCATTTTTTGAAATTTTTCAAATATTTGCTCAAAAATAACGTACCTATAACGGAAGCAACAAAAAAGGTTGAAATAAAATTTAAAAAGTCAGTTTTCTCAAAGAGAGACACTTTTGATTTTTTTTTTAATTTGAGAAAAAGTGAACAAAAAATCATAACTTCAGTTCATTTTTATCAAAAATAAAAAAATACGTATTTTCTTATTTTTTATACAGATTTCGAAAAACAAATTTTAAATGAAAATTTCCCGTGGAATGCCTATTTATTTATATTTAATTATTAATTTAATTTATATTTAATTAATACATACCAATGCATTTTGGAATATGTAACCATTTTCTATCGGGACCACAGAGAACATCTTTGTATCCTTCCATTCTAAATCCCGAATTACAATTGTAAATTAATTGTGTTCCTTTTTCTAATGCACGAACACCAGGACTTACATCGCAATGATCACCACTTGAACAATGACTTTTGTATAATTTATAATGACCATTTTGTGGTTGCGATGGTACTGGACATGTAATTTCAGTTGTTGGCCTCTTTGTAATTTCGACCGTTGGTCTTTGAGTAATAGGTCGTCTAGATGGTCGAGTTGGTGATGTTGGTCTTGTGGTAATTTTTGGTTTAGCAGTTGTTCCTTTAGCACACAAAGATGGATCCTCATCGGAACCATCAGCACAATTTACAGCACCATTACATCGTAAATCAAGATCAATGCATGCTCCATATGCACATCGGAAAACGTACGCATCACATCTAAAATTAATATTTCATATATTTTAATTAATAAATAATTATTTGTTATTTGCTTTTCTCGTTCAAATCGTTAATATTATAAAATGAAAAATAAAATTTTGAATTTCAATTAATTAGAATTAATATTATAATAATTTTTGAAATGAGAAGGCCTAATACGGTTAATAATTATTATTATTGATTAAAATTAATTAATGTAATTAAATTATTAATTATATCATTAAATGAGAGTAAATAAAATTACAAAAAAATTAATATTTCACTTACAATTTTAAGTATTATTGATTAAAAATTAATAATAACAGGGTTGCCACAAGTCAGTGAAGTAGGGGAAAATTTTATAAAATAATATTTATAGTTTAAAATACTATAAAAATTTCAGTTTAAGATAAACAATTCAAATTCATAATTAAGAGAAAAAATTCAAATCCAAAGAATTAAATGTGATGTAAAAAAAATTTTCATTGTCAAAATTCATTTCTGATTTCCAACAACAAATCGACACATTTTTTTTTAAATTATTATCACACAAATACGTTCAACATTTTTGTAAATGTATCAAATTAATTAAATTTTTTCAAGATTAACGGGTTAAAAATTTTAAGAAATAATTAAATTTCAAGTGATTTTAAATTGAATTTTTTTTTGTAAATTCATATAACAGAATTTTTTTATACAAATTTTAGACAATAATTAAATTTCAGAAAATTTGGGATTCAAAATTTTTTAAAATTAAATTAAAAAAAAAACTATTAAAAATTATTGATTTTGCGAAGAATTTTAGATAAAAATTTTAAAAAATACTTAAATTTTCGAATTGTTTCTATAATTAAGAATTTTTGAATTAATTAAATTTTAAAAGATTTGAAATTGAAATTTTTTGTAAATTTGAATTGAAGATTTTTTTTTTACAAATTTTTTCATTCATTTAATAGAAAAAAGAACAAAATTCGAAAATGTCAGGGAAAAACAAAAAATATTGTCAGGAAATCAGGGAAAATTTTATGGCAACCCAGATTAAAATAATATAATTATGAATGTATATCAATAAATAATGACTGATTATTATTAATTAATGAGAATAAATAAAATTTCAAAATTAATTAAAAATTAGTTGTAAAAAAATAGTGTAGAAAAAAAATGCAAAATAATGTAAAGGAGTAAAAATTAATAAATAAAATAAAAAAAAAAATTTTATTTAGGATTGTTTCTTTGATTTATTTTGATAAATTTGTCAAACTTACGGAAATGATCCACAGGCAATTGCAGTTTCATCCGATTGATCTCTACAGTCAACAGTTCCATCGCAAAGTGATGTACTGTCAATACATTGACCGCTTGTACATTTAAATTGACTTGAAAGACATTCTCCAAATGTACCATTATTTCTCGTGCACGATGATATTGTTTCATCACTATTGTCAGCACAATCTTTTATTCCATTACAAATAGAATCACCATCGACGCATGCACCATAATCACATTTAAAAACATAAGGACTGCATCTCATTGTTTTGCAAGCCTCTCTTGTTTCGTCTGATTTATCAGAACAATCAGTTAGTCCATCACAGAGACGATCTTGTGGAATACAATCTCCATTTTGGCATTTAAATTGAAAATTACTTGCAAAAAAAGAAAAATTAATATTTTCATTAATTTAATCAAGAATTGAAAAATCATTTTTTGCATCAAATAAATAAATAAAAATTACCTACTATTTTATTAATTAAAATTTTAATTATTTATTTAAAAAAATGGTTAAATTTTGTATAATTATTTATTAATTAAATTTACATAAAAAAAATTATTAATATTTTTAGGTGATTTAATCGTGTAAAAAAAAAAAAAAATTTATTATCAATCAACTTACCCACAAGATTTTCTATTGTCATTGGCTGGAGATGCTTTACCATTGATAGCCAAAAGTAATACTAAATTTAAATAAATTTATTTTTAATAAAATTATTTAATTACGATATTAATTTCCTTTTCGATAAAGATCAATTCATTAAAAAAAAAAAAAAATAATAATAATTAAACATATTTCAAGCAAACTAAAATATTTAAATAGTAAAACTTAAACATTTTAAGCAAAAACTAAAATAAATACCTAAATTTATTTCTTTATCAATTTTAAATCTTAGTTATTAATTTTTACAAAATAAAAATAATTGTAAAATTAGTTATTTAACTAATTTCTAAATAAGTCGAGATAAAAAATAAAATAACTAAAAATAAAAAAATTTATATAACAAATTTTTAAATTATTTTTAATTTATTATTATTATTTTTATTTGCTAGTTAATAGTGATAATTTTGTTTATTTATAAAATAAAATTTAAAAAAAAAATTTCTATAATAATTTTTCCTCGTTATTTAGAATTAATTAATTTTCCTACAATTATTTTAAACATATTTATTGAATTAATTTAACTTTATAAGTTTAAATATAATATATATATATATATATATATATACATATGAGAGTTCAAGGTTGAGATTCGCACACACATTCATTCAATGAACTTGTCATTATAACAACCGGTTTCTTGAGTTTAAAACTGTGTGTATGTATATTCAATTTTTTTTTTCTATTTTATTTTAATTAACCAGATTCCAGGTAAATATATTTAGGATTATTGCAATTATTCAAAGGGAAAATAATGCATACAAGTTATCTATATAAAATTATTTGTAAGAATATGAAAATATTTGTTTTTTTAAATTAATTTTGCATCATTGACCTATGAACTTAGCGATAGTAGGTACTTTACTCTGTTTTCTCATAATTATTCCATTTTCCTTAAAGTAATTCTTTTGTTTCTAGCATCATTTCGGAATTTCCCGCGAGCAAAATTTTACACCAACAACTTCATTGTTTAACAAAAAAAAAACCCCCCGTAAAAATTTCTGTTAAAATTAATTCTTGTGACAAGAAAAATTAATTTAAAAAAAAAATAAATCAATCAATTCAATATTTATATTAACGAATATTTCAAATTTTTTAATATTTAAATTTTATGTTTAAATTAAATATTCAAATTAAGTCAACGTATAATTAATAATTTGCATTGTGAAACAAAATTGTTTATTGGAAAAAATAAAATGAATATAATTAATAATTTTAATAGATTTTTTTTTTTTTTTTTGCAACTCACCGCAAAAGAAAATAGTTGGTCTATTATCCATTGAAAAAATTAATTGATTTTTGTGATTAACATTGAATGCTACTTCTTTGGTTCTTAAGTTGTCACTGGTTCTGAATCAGTGGAGATGTACGCGGATACAAAACATCAACTTGCCTCGAGAATATATACATACTGGGAATTATTTTCCTCCGTCACGCGTGCTTCTTCTATTATATATATATATATATATATATATATATATATATATATACGGAATTTTTATATTAACTTTTGCATCCTCATCTATATTCTAAGAAAAAAAAGGGAATTTTGCAATAGAAAGCTAAATAGAAATTAATAATAAATCCTATAAAAAATGTAATTAATTAAAAAAATAATAATATAAATAATAAATTAGTTAATATGTTATTATTAATGAAAAAAAATTCATTATTAATTTAAAATCAAATATGAAAAATAAATTAATTGGGAACTTGCGAAAAGAAGTTTGAAAAAAATTTATAGATATATCGCAAATATATATTTGCATTTGTCATACAATTTGTAATTTTTTCGCTTTCTCATAGAGAAATATTCATTTTTTTTTTTTTTTATGTTGTTGACGATTCATTTTTTTCAGTTATTTCATTATTTTCGTTATTTTTGTTACTTTCATTAATCTCATCGTCATTAATTTTCTTTTCATTATTTTCATTAGTCTGATTATTTTTGTTACATTCATTACTCGTGCCATTTCTATGTTCCTCACGTTTAGAGAATGTGTGATGAGGTAAACTACCCAACCATGTTAAAAATCTAAATTATTATTTTAAGGAAAATACAATATTCATTCGTTAATTGAAATTATCAAAACAAATTTCTTTATAAAAATTCTTTCAATGTTTCTAAAGAAATAAAAAATTTTTTTGATGGAAATTTAGTTCATTTTTTAAATTTAAATATAAATTTTTAATTTAAGGAACAAAAAAAAACATATTTTCGACGTTGCTGAATCGTTTAGGATCAACAATTAGAAAAAAAATTTTATTTATCACGGAAAATTGTAAAATTATTTACCAAAATTTTTTAAATATTAATTTAAATAAAAAAATATTAAAAAATTTTTAATTTAAAGAACAAAAATATATTTTCAAACAAATTTTTTTTCTACTTTTCTCAACAAATTACACGAATCAATTTTCAAATGAAATAATGAAAATTATAAAAGGATACGATTTTTCAGAAATCTCTGTTTGAACAATATGCTTGATAATATTGTCATTGAAAAATTTCTGAACTTCTTCTTCACATTCAAGCCAATCCAATGTTTCGTGAATTCCATCCTTTCCAAATTTATTATTATAATAGTCATAATGAACCTGTAAATAGATAATTGAATTGAATTTTTTTTAATTAAAATTTTTTTTTTCAATTAAAATAATTGAATTAAATTTTAAAAAGTAATATTCTTAAAAGTAATGAAAATTGCAAAATTTCAGTATTTGAAAAAAAAAAAAAAACAATTATCATATAAAGAAAATAATTGTTTTTTATAAAATATCAAAATAAATTACAATGTTAAGCACGAGTCCTAGACCAGGAACCATTGGAACATCCATTTTATCACCATTAAATGCAAGATCAAGAATATCTTCTGTAACAACATTTCTGACAATGCCAATTGTTAAACCAATCATTTTTCGAATTTGATGTAACATAAAACTTTGTCCTTTTATTTTCAATGTGATAAATTCTATACCTTCCATTAAAAATGGTTCAGAACATTCGAATTTTATGATAAATCTTCTCGCACGTGGATCCAAAGATTTTCTATACATAACAAAAAAAAAAATTATAATTTTTCCATTTTGTTTTCCTGTATATCCTATACTCAAAAATTCACTGTTGACAGGGAATTTCAGTCTGGATTTTCAAAAAATTTAAATCCCATAAACGAATTATTTCCATTAGGATTGCCACAGAATTTATATTATGATTTTTCCTGACTTGTGGCAACCATGAATTTATACAGCATTTAAAGTAAATTAATTTATAATTATTTTATAATTATTGAAAAACAAAAAAAAATTTGAAAATATAATATTCGATAAATATATAATTTATCGACTGTGAGAATGTTTTTTAAAAAATGTTGATAAACTTACACTTTTGATGTGAAATTGTAAAAATTATGTGATCCTTCAAATAATTGAAGAACTTTTCGTAATTTTTCTATTGATTCATTTGCAATTCGAAATTCAGTGTACGGTTTACCATTTATTGTCGATAATTCCTCTATTCTTTTTACAACATCTTCATCGGAAAATTGTTTATTCAATATTTCTGGACTTTCTTCAACAAATGCAATTGTTGGAAGTGTATATGAATATGTTCTCGCGTCACATTGTGATTTACTGTTAAAACCTTTTGTCACTCGTCTCAATCCAAATACACGAATATCATTTGGCAAAAATTTATTAATATCTTCCATTTTTGCATGTTCCGCTAAAGAAAGAAAATATCTCTTAATATTGTATTTTATTAAATTATCATAATTGTAATTGTACTAATTCTTTTAGTTACTCATTAACAGGCCTCGGATCGACTTTAAAGCACAAAAAAAGTCGTTTTAGTTGATTTATATTCAAAAAAAAAGTCGAAAAAGTCTAATTTTTTTATTTTAACAAAATTTAATTGGTTAATGAATATTTTACTTAACTAATATTAGAAGATTTTAAATTCATTTTATTAATTCTCTAATGAGAATAATTCTATAAAAATGTTATCAAGAAAATTTATTTTGTATATTTCAGAATCGAACTAATTGTAAGACAAATTTTCAAAATTTTCTTTGATTAGGACAAATTTCTAAAAAAAATTCTTAAAGTTCCATTATATAATTATAATTTATAATTTATAATTTTTTGAAGCCTGATTTAAGCAATTTATTCAATAAAAATTTTGTCATACTTTTTAGTTTTATGGTCAAAAAAAATTTCAGGCAATACTTAATCAAGTTTTACAGATTTTTAAATAATAATTTTTGACGAGTTGAAAGTTGAAATTTTTTAAAATAATTGAATTTTAAAAGATTTTGTTAATTTTCAAAGAATTAAATTTTACAGAATTAAAAATAATTTATCAAATAATTTTCAAAAACTTTTTTAAAAAGTAATTGAATTTTTAAAGATTTACAATTTAGATTTTTGAAATTAATTGAATTTTAGGTTTTTTTTAATTAAAAATTTTTAATTAAAAATTAAAATTTAATTAAATACAATAATTTGAAAACTTTTTAAGTGAAAAATGGTTTCAGATAGTTGAATTTTCGAAGAATATTTTTAAGAATCATTAAAAATAATTGAATATCAGGAGAATTATAATTGAAATTATTAAATTTTAAAAAATTTTACATGGAAAATTTTAGAAATAATAAAATTTTAGAAGCTTTTAAATTGAAATTTTTGAAAATAATTCAATTTCAATTTTAATTGATTTTAAATTCAAATTTTTGAAAAGAATTCAATTTTTAATTGATATTGATTTGAAATTTTGGAAAATAATTGAACTTTAGTTGATTTTGAATTGAAATTTTTGAAAACAATTGAATTTTAGTTGATTTTGAATTAAAATTTTTAAAAACAATTGAATTTCAATTAAAATTTTGGAAAATAATTGAATTTCAATTAAAATTTGTGAAAATAATTGAATTTTAGTTGATTTTGAATTGAAATTTTGGAAAATAATTGAATTTTAGTTGATTTTGAATTGAAATTTTTAAAAACAATTGAATTTCAATTAAAATTTGTGAAAATAATTGAATTTTAGTTGATTTTGAATTGAAATTTTGAAAAATAATTGAATTTTAGTTGATGTTGAATTGAAATTTTTGAAAATAATTGAATTTTAGTACAGAACTAAAAATAATTTATCAAATAATTTTTTAGAACATTTTTTAAAAGTAACTGAATTTTCAAAGATTTACAATTTTGATTATTGAAATTAATTGAACTTCAAGTGATTTTTAATTAAAAATTGTTGATGATTTCTGTTACTGAAAAATTTAATAGAAATTGCAGACAAAAATACAGTAATAGGAAAAAATGAAAAATGGTTTCAAATAGTTGAATTTTCGGAGAATATTATGAAAATCATTAAAAATAATTAAATTTCAAGAAAATTATAATTGAAATTAAAAAATTTCAAAAATTTTTAAATGTAATATTTTAGAAATAATTAAATTTTAGAAGCTTTTAAATTGAAATTTTTGAAAATAATTGAATTTCAAAAGATTGTGTTAAATTTCAGATAATAATTTCTCTTATCATAAGTGATATTTTTAGTGATTTCTGTTGATGAAGAATTTAAAATTAAAATTTTTTGGTAGTTTTATTTGCTAATTTTTTTAAAATTATAAACAATTATTAAATTTAATAAAAAATTTTAATTTAAGAATAATTTATGATAATTGATTTTATGAAGAATTTCATTAAAATTGTTAAAAATAATTAATTTAGTGAAGAATTTTAGTTAAAAATTTGTTAAATAAATGAAATAAAGAAGCTCTGCATTCTTTATTAAAAAACGTATTTTGTTTAAAAATATTATTAAAAAAATGTAAAAAAAAAAGTCGAAAAAGTCGCATTTTATTAAAATAAGTCGAAAAAAGTCGTATAATCCAAGGCCTGCATTAATTAACTAAAATATAGTGCGTTATTTTAAAATATTGTTATTTAATACAGAAATAAGTCTATGAATTACGAAACTGAAGTACGCAACGTTTATGATAAACGATTTTAAACGAACTAATTTTTTAATATAAAAAATTCTATAATTTTTTGCCTAAAAAATATTTCTTGTTGTTTTCAATAATCAACAAATTATAAAAAAATATTTTTTAAGCAAAAACTTATAGAATTTTTTATTTTAAAAAATTATTTCTTTAAAAATCGTTTATCATAAAAGTAAATTGTCAATTATTGTATTGTGACAAAAGAAAAAAAAATGAATTCTCACGTAATTTCAGAGAAACAACTTGTCTAGCTGCTGATACTCCTTTATCTGTCCTTGCTGCTCTTTGAAAATGAATAGTTTGTATTGTCTCAAAAGCTTCTGAATTAATAAGATCTGCTTTAAGTAATGCATCAATTAAAGATTCTTCAACTGTTGCCATACCAGGATTTCTTTGCATTCCATAATAATTTTTACCAAGATAACCCAACATTAATGCAAAATTACGTTTTTTTATTTTAACATCTTGTTCAACTTTTTGCTTTTTGGCCGTGTTTTCATCAATTCCAGACAATTTATTGTCTTCACTTTGAAGTCGTTTTTTACCTTCAATTATAATCTCTTGATTCTCGGCAATTGCATTTTCTACTTGTGCAGACATTTTTCTATAAACAATACTGCCTGGAAAATTATGACGAAATTAGGATGAGGGACCACTGAAATTAACAATATTTTTTTCCTGACATTTTTTAGAATTTAAAAAATGTTTTACGTTATTAAAATTAAAAAAGTAGTTTTATTAAAAAAATTATGTTTTTTAAAAAAAATTTTAAATCCATACGATTGATTGTTCAAAATCATAAGTGTAAAAAAAAACAATTGACAAATTATACACTTAATAAAATTGAAAAATAAATTAACACTTTAAAACAATGAAAATTTCACTGTTACCTAAAAATAATAATAAATGGAAATTACAGCCAAGAATAATTCTCAAAGAAATGGAAATTTAAAACATTTAAAAATTTATTTTATCAAAATTATTTCTTGATATTAAAAATTTATTACATCTTTAAAAATTAAAATTGTTTAACTTTAATTTGAAATTTAAGTTTAATTCTTCTAATTATAATATTTGATAAACATTTAAAAATTGTTTATATTTTTGGAAGACATAACCTCAAAGAAAGTAAAAGAAGAAAATTCATTAAACTTACATAAATTACAGTAATTCGTGAATATTCCAGACTGTTTGAAAATACGGAGCATTTATAAAATACTAAATTTTATAATAAATCTATTTACTTTATTTGTATAAAATAAAAATACAATTTTTTTTTTTTATTTAAAAAAGCAGCATAAACATAGTTAAAACTCCGAAATTCACGTGGAGGAGGTACAGGCGAACCTTTCATAAGACAACCTCTAATAAGACAAATTTCCCCTATCGTGTTCCCCTTCCCTAAAACTTTAGATATATATTGCGTCATGCGCAGTAGCGTCAAGCGGAGCATATGGCTAACAATGTAAACAGAAAATAACCTGCCTAAAAATGTGCAAAAAAACCCCTATCTGTGATCACAGTTATGTAGTTTATATTTAAAGTTTAATATTTCTGTAAGTGTAAAGACTGATTATGTGCAATAAGCAACAGAAGACTCACGTGCATCTTCCATTACAGGAGAAGATTAATATTATAAAAAGCCTCAATAATGGAAGTACAAAAAATAAGTTGAGAGAAATAGCTGAGCAATACCATATTTCACCATCGGTTGTTAGTAGATTGAAGAAAAATTCAGAAAGCCTTAAAGATGTTGAGAATTTAAGTCCAAAAGTCCTGCAAAAGAGGAAGGTCAAAAAACCAGTGCATAATGCTGATTTGGAGAAAGTTTTAATCAGGTGGTTTAACGAGAAACGTGCTGCGGGTGAACCAGTGAGTGGACCGCTGATTTGCGAAAAGGCTTTGGTGTTAAATGAACAATTAAACGGCTCGGAAAATTTTAAAGCTAGCAATGGCTGGCTGCATGCGTTTAAAAAAAGATATGGTATTAGACAGTTATCTATGAAAGGAGAAAAATTATCTGCGGATGTTGATGCTGCCATAAGTTTTGCCTTTTATTTTCAAAATTTAGTTGAAGAGGAAGGCTGCGATTTGAGTTTAATTTTTAATGCAGACGAAAGTGGAGTTTATTGGAAACGGCTGCCAGAAGTAACTCTAGCTGGAGCAAACGAGGATTATGATTGTCCAGGTAAAACACACTTTAATTTAACATTTTCACAGTTTTTCTAACTTTAATAAATTAATATAAAAAAATGTTGGTAGTTTTTAATCTTTTTGACTTGTAATTATATTGAAATTCGTGAATTGCAATAATTATAACCTATAAAACTGCAAAGTTGAATGTGATGATTTTTAAAAACTTACAAAACAATTCACACTTTTTAAATTTAGTTTAAATGGAAATTATAAACTCATTTAAAGTGAAATCTCCATGAAATCTCGACTCATTCCTAATTTATTAAACTAAAAAGATTAAGGATATATGTATCTTTAAACATCAAACTAAGTAGTTTTTAACAAGGAAACTAAAAATATATTTAAAATGTATTTCACTCAATTTTGAAAGATCCAGTTGTACAATTTTCCGAAAAAATTATTTTTACTTAAAATTTGTTGTTTATTAATAATTAAGTAACATTTTGTGTTTTTACTTGAAAGTTAGTCAACGGAATTATTGTAATTTGTATCCAATTTTTATAAACAATCGCTCATTTTAATCTCCAAAAGTTTCTCTACAAATTTATTTCTTGAATTTTGTTAAAAAAAAATTTGTTCAAAAGTTATAAAATAAATAAAATTTTTTTATTTAATATTTTGTTAATGAATCATTTATTAACAAAATTAAACCGCGAACTGAATTATAGAGAATCTTTCAGATATAGTAAAATGAGTTGCTATTTTTAATAAAAATTGGATAAAAATTAAAATTATTCACTAACTTTTAAGAAAAAACACAAAATGTTTATTAATTATTAATAGACAAAAAAATTTTTGCAATTTTCTCTGTAGTGACTCCAATACATATTTATAGTTACAATTTATTTTAATATTTTTTTTATGCAGGTTGGAAATTAAAAAAGGACCGGGTGACCGTTTTATTTTGTTCAAACGCAGATGGTTCTTTCACTCTACCATTACTAGTTATTGGAAAATCTGAAAGACCCCGTTGCTTTAATAATAATTATACTACGTCTTTACCAGTCACGTATACACATCAAGCCTCAGCTTGGATGAATGCAAAGATTTTTTTCAGTTGGTATAAAGATCAGTTTATTCCGTTAGTACAGGCCATGCAAGTGCAAACACAAAAATATGGAAAAGTATTGCTGTTACTCGATAATGCTAACTGCCATCCACCGAAAGAAATTCTAAATAATGTAAACGAAAATTTTAAAGTTGAATTTTTACCTCCCAACGTTACGTCACTCATCCAGCCAATGGATCAAGGCGTATTTGCAAAGGCAAAAACTCTCTATCGAAAGGATCTACTTAGATTGTTAATATTAAAAAATGACCACATTGCTGTTCAGGACTTTATGAAATCTTTTAACCTCAGAGACTGCTGTTGCATGCTTGCAAAGGCATTCCAATCCTTGACTCAGGAGAACTTACAAAATGCTTGGAATAAGCTCCGTGGAATTTCAAGAGTAATGGAAAAGAATAGTAATGATTCTGACAATTCAACAACAATTAGCCAAATGCATGCAATGGTCAACAAAATTAAAGGTAAATTATATCCTACGTTTTTATTCATTTATGTTCATAAAATGGAAATATATTTTTGCAATACTAATTTCTAAATTAGTTTTTTTTTTTCTAAATCAAAGTTTTCAAAATGGTGGATGATCAAAAATAGGTCTTGAAAATGCACTGCAATGTAATAAATGATTTATCATATAATTATTCAAAATAATACAACAATTCTTCTTATTCGTGAGGTTTTTGAGTCTCTAGTCAAGAATCGGATAGCAAAATTTAATTTTTCAAAATTCTGGATTTATGTGATAAATCACTGATTACATTGCAATGCATTTTTAAGACCTATTTTTGATCATCTACCATTTTAAAAATTTTGAATATTTAATTTTTTTTAAAAATGCCAACATAAAGTGTAGCTAAAAATAAAAGAATTTGTGACCTGAAAAATCTTTTGCTCAATAATTGAAAAAGTTATGAATTTTTTTTTTTTTTAAAAAAAGTGCATTTTCCCCGTGTACTTTCAATGGGAAATTTCGATTGATTACTGGCACTATGTATTGAAAACGAACTGGGGGGTGGTCCAAATAAAATTCGAAAGTCGACTTTTTTACGGACACTCTAATCCCACGTACATATTTTACACTCTCTTTATTCATCAACACTTGTATCATAAATGTTTGTTTATAGAGCAAAGTTTTTGTTATAAGATTATTATAATTAAAATTTACAATAACTTTCTTATTGTTGAATAGGTCTTGAAAAAGTTGATCGATCTGAGGTGAAAGAATGGTTATCTGAAGATCAGCACGAGCCTGGATGGAAACAACTCAGCGACTGCGAAATTATTGAAATTGTCACAGGAAAAAATCCTCAAACCATTGCGAAGGAAAAGTTACATGAGAGAAAAATCTTCCAATCAATAGAGCCTAACAGTATCAGTATTCCAAGTTCTGAAGATATTAACACCACAGTTCACATTTTACACAATTGGTGTAAACAGAAAAATGAATATACACTTTCGGATTATCGTCTCTTTCGGAAATGGGAGAATCTGACTATGAAAAAATCTCAAGAAGAAGTTTCCAAAAGTTCTGATGCTAACAATAGTGATATAATTCCAAAGCTATAATGTCAAAGAATATACGAATGTTATGAAATGTGTTCTTCATAAATAATTACATTAAAAATATTTATTTTCATTATATATTTAAAACGTTGCTTTATAATATTTTAAATTACATTATGTAAGAAAATTGTTGAAACTCAGATCTTTATTTTAATTCTAAATATATTATGAGACAAATAATAAAAATTACTTAATTCTCGTTACATTTGTACCCTATCTTTTTCATTTATAATAATTATACAAATTACATCATTATATAAATTCTTTTAAATACTTCTAGAATCGATTATCTGTTTCATTTTTTTTTTTTTTTTTGAATTACAACTATTACAATTCATTAATTTAATTTCTAATAAATAACTTTATTTTAGAGGTAGATGGTAATAATTTAAAAGATTAAAGCCAAATATTAAAGTTTGATATTTCCTTGTTAGATAATACTTTGCACACTTAAAAACTACTTATCATATCTCTTACCTGTAATAAAATAAATTCTAAAGAGGTAATTTATATTTTTCAAAAATTTTAAGCCCAATTAAATATCTTCTAAAATACTATGTATTTTTAAATCGAAAAAAACAAAATAACTGCAATATAAAACATAAATAAAATACTTAATAGAAATAAAAAAACAACCACTATTATGAATTGTCAAAACCTATCAAAACACAATAGCATAAATATTAGGCTAATTTTGGTTATGGAAAAAATGCAAGAAAGAAATTTATGATTACTTTCTGTAATTTTTCTACTATTTTTTATATTCATCTCTTTATTTCTTCTAACATAATTTTCAATAAACTCCAACATTATTTTGAAATAGACCGCCATGCGCAAACGGTCACTGCGCATCAATTTCTCCTCTTGCGAAAAACCTGCTTTAAGAGAACCCCCCACTAAAATTGTCTTATGAGGGCGCTTCCACAATCACATGCATTTTCATTTTGCTCTTTGCATTTTGCTCTTGCTTTCTGCGCGCGCAACCTACTTATCAGTCGTCAAAATTAATTAAGTAATTAATTACTAATTAATTATATGTAATTAAGTAGCAATAATATTATACATTAAACAAATTAATTGATTACTACTTAATTACATGTAATTAATTTGTAATTAATTACTTAAATAATTTTGACGACTGATAAACATGTTGCGCGCGCAGAAAGCAAGAGCAAAATGAAAATGCATGTGTTTGTGGAAGCGCCCTGAGAGGTTTCGCTGTAACACTAACACCAAGAAAAAAAAACCTATTTACTTATTATTGACGAATCAAAATATAATTCGAGAAGAATATTTCCTTTTATAATTAGTTGGAAAATATTGGATCATTTTTCCTCGAACCAATCAGAATAGTTTATGTGAAATTGTGTCACTGTGAATTCGGCTTTAGTTGTTCAGTGACGCGAATTTTTACTGAAAAAAAAGGTGAAAAAGCAGTGTCAGAAAAGAAAAAGTAATTGTCATGGCTTCGGAACGTTACAGTTTTTCTTTGACAACATTTAGGTAAATAAATAATATATATTATTATAAAAATGTTATTTTTTACATATATTTATTACTTTTTTTTTTTAAATATCATTTAAAATTTTATTTATTTATCATCGAACAAAGCGGTTCATTCTTACTTAACCTTAAAAGTTAAAAAGTTTTCTCAACGATAAAAACATTAAATTTTGTTTATCATTTACATATTTTCTGTTTATTAAAATTTTTATTTCTTCAAATAACATTTTTTTTTTAATCTTTTATTTATTAAACTGTTTATTAAAATAAGTGAATAATTTATAATTCATTGTTTCATGTATAATGACTTGTCATTTTTTCCTGTAAAATGCAATAATCCGCTATGAATTTTACATAATTATAAATGTAATTTTATCAACAAATAAAATAATATTGTTTATTGTTTCAAATGCAGTTTATTTGATTTAAATGAAAATTATTTGGTTCAAGTAAATATTTATTTGATAATAGTCAAGATTATTTTTGAATAAAAAAGTAATAAAAAATAAAATAATATTGTAAATATAATTTGCAATTTTTTTTTTTTATGAAAAAATTTAATATTTATTTCTTAATAATGTAATTTTTATATTTTTAATAATTATATATATCTAAAATGCATTAATTCATGAAAAAAAAATAAATCAACGTAACTTATCCAAATTTAAATTTTAATAATAACAAATAAATACGAAGCTGAAGTACGTAACGTTTATATAAACGATTTTTAAAGAAATAATTTCTTAAAATAAAAAATTCTATAATTTTTTACTTAAAAAATATTTTTTTATAATTTGTTGATTAATGAAAACTACAAAAAATATTTTTTAGGCAAAAAATTATAGAATTTTTCATTTTAAAAAATTGTTTATATAAACGTTGCGTACTTTAGCTTCGTAAATAAATTATTATTTTATAATTGTTTAATATATTATAAACCAAATTTGCTTCTGAGTTATTAAAAAAAATATTAATATTTTTATGTATTTTGTTAATATTTATTTTAACACCAAGTGCCATGTTTAAATATTTTAAAATAAAAATTTTATTTATTGAAAACTTTCGATTGGTATAATTACTTTAGTTGATGGTAAAGATTTATCAGAAATATGATAATAATTTTTTTAAATTATTTACAGTCCGTCAGGTAAATTGGTGCAAATTGAATATGCTCTCGCAGCAGTGGCAGCTGGAGCGCCCAGCGTTGGAATTAAAGCATCGAATGGAATTGTTCTTGCAACAGAAAATAAACATAAATCCATTCTTTATGACGAACATAGTGTGAATAAAGTTGAAATGATTACTAAACACATTGGCATGGTTTATAGTGGAATGGGTCCCGATTATCGTTTATTGGTTAAACAAGCACGTAAAATGGCACAAAAATATTATTTGGTCTATCAAGAAGAAATTCCCACTGCCCAACTTGTTCAACGTGTCGCTATGGTCATGCAAGAATACACGCAATCAGGGTAATTATATATAATTTAAATATTAAACATAAATTTTGAGAAAAAAAAGGGGCGGTACAAATTCAACACAAATAAACTCTACACAAAAAAAATACTGCACCGCTAACTGTACGCGAGTCAATTCTCAACAAAATTAAATAAAAATATATTCTTCACAATTAAATACTACATCGAAAAACCCTACACAATAAACTATTTACTAGAAAATTATCTTCATAAACTCTACACAAATAAACTCAACATATTAAGATTTAGAATTAGAAAAATGAAAAAAAAAATATTTTAATCCTACACAAATAAACTGTACACATTCAAAATTAAACATATTAAATGAAAATAATAAAATTCAAAACGAGAAAACTTTACACAAGAAAATACTCCACCGCTAACTGTACACGAGTAAATTCTCAATAAAATAAAATAAAAATATATTCTACACAATTAAATACTACATCGAAAAACCCTACACAATAAACTATTAACTAGAAAATTATCTCCATAAACTCAACACATTAAGATTTAGAATTAGAAAAATAAAAATATTTTTTTTATAATTCTACACAAATAAATATTACATTAGTAAATTCTACACAGCTATAAAAAATAATAAATTAAATTCGACACAATTAAATTCAACACATGAAAATAATCTTTCCTTTTGTGTCGAATTTAATTTATTATTTTTTATAGCTGTGTAGAATTTACTAATGTAATATTTATTTGTGTAGAATTATAAAAAAAATATTTTTATTTTTCTAATTCTAAATCTTAATGTGTTGAGTTTATTTGTGTTGAATTCGTACCGCCCCGAAAAAAACGATACATTATTTAATTAATAATATAAATAAATGAAAATTGATAAATTATTGATAATTAATCACTGAGTGGCCTCAGTGGAAATTGTCTTTAGAAAAATTTTAAAAAAAATTCTCTTTTACCAGTATTGGGCACATTTGAATTCAAAAATTTTTAGTAAAATCTCCGCCATTTTGTTATTTTGTAATATTTGTAAATTCATCACATTTTTTTAGTCTAGAATTCGCATTAGATATAAAAAAGAATAAAATTCGAAAATATCACTGATAAAACATAAAATATGATCTGAAAATCCGAGAAAATTATAATAAAAATTTTGTGGCAAACCTTGGTCAGGATTGAAGAAAAATTAGTTATGGCAAATTTTGAAAATAAAATTCTATGACTACTCTATTAATAAACTAAAAAATAATTTGTTGAAAATTTAAAAAAAAAAAATTTAAACTAAATATTAATTATTTGGAACTTTTTCAGAGGAGTAAGACCATTTGGTGTGTCTTTATTAATTTGCGGATGGGACAATGGAAGAGCAACACTTTTTCAATGTGATCCATCGGGTGCATATTTTGCATGGAAAGCAACTGCTATGGGAAAAAATTTTATCAATGGTAAAACATTTCTTGAGAAACGTTACAGTGAAGATTTAGAATTGGATGATGCCGTTCATACTGCAATTCTAACATTAAAAGAGGGATTTGAAGGTCAAATGACTGCTGACAATATTGAAGTTGGTATCTGTGACGCTAATGGTTTTCGAAGATTAGATCCATCCAATGTTAAGGATTATTTAGCAAATATCCCATAATTTTTTATTCTTTATGTCAATATTTTATCTTCTTTTACATTAAAATGAAATATCAAGTAAATTACATTTTCATTTCAATCCACTTTCATAGAAAATTTACAATAAAAGAAAATAACTGATAAAACTAATTATATAATAACAGGTTTCGGATTATACGACTTTTTTCGACTTATTTTAATAAAATGCGAATTTTTTTGCAAAATTTTTAAACAAAATAGGTCTTTTTTTAGTATAGAATGCAGATCATTTTCAGATCTTCTTTATTTCAATTATTTAAAAAAATTTTAACTAAAATTCTTCACAAATTCAATTATCTTAAATTATTCTTAAATTAAAATTTTTTGTGAAATTTAATAATTGTTTATAATTTTAAAAAAATTATCAAATAAAATTACCAAAAATTTTTAATTCAAAATCACTTGAAATTTAATTATTTGCAAAAATAACTTAAAAAGTTTTCAAATTATTGTATTTTTGCCTGCAATTTCTAATAATTTTTTTTAGTATCCAGGGTGTTCAGCGATCAGGGAAAAAGTCAGGGAATATTAGGGAATTTAATTAAATGTAAGGGAACTTTTTAAAAATTTGCCAAAAATTAAATTATGAATTTTTTAAATTTTTTGGCGCAAGAAAAAGTTTATAATGCTAATAAATAAAATGTTTTTTATTCTCTTAAAAATACTTTAATATTTAATACTTTTCATTTTTTTTAATATTAATAATTTATTAAAGAAAAGTTGGAAAAATTTAGGGAATTTATTTTGTACTTCTTACTGGACACCCTGGTAACAGAAATGATTAAAAAATTTTAATTAAAAATCACTTCAAGTTCAATTAATTTCGAAAATCTGAATTGTAAATCTTTGAAAATTCAATTACTTTTAAAAAATTAATGTTATCTAAAATTATTTGATAAATTATTTTTAGTTCTGTAAAATTTAATTATTGTCTGAAAATTAACAAAATCTTTTCATATCAATTATTTCTAAAAATTTCAACATTAACTCTTCCAAAATTATTATTATTTAAAAAAAAAATTTAATCTCTAAAAATTAAGTATTAATTATTTTTTGACCATCAAAACTAAAAACTATGACAAAATTTGATTGATAATGATAAATTTATTCATTCTTAGTAAATTCCAATAGTTTTTTTTTTATTTTTATAGTAAATTCTATGTTTTTTTTTGATAAAAAAAAAAATTATCAAAAACTTGATAATTATTTTGATAAAATATCAAAGGATAATAATAATAAATTCAAAATGAAGTAAATAAAAAAAATGTTTAACAATTTTTTTATCGACTTATATTGAATTTTTTTTTTTTTTTTTTGTAAAGAAATCAAAAATAAGTTTTAATTAAAATAATCTAATCTTTAATCTGAAAATTTGATTTCCGGTGCTTGAAAAATAAGAATTACGTAAAATACGCATTATTATGGGAAATAATTCTTTTAAATTCTTTAAAAAAAATATATTACACAATATTTTTGGAAGACATTTTTGTCCCCTCTCCTCGCACCGAATTTGATGAATTTAAATATAGTCAAACAAGCAATGTACGAAAGTGTATTGCTCTAGGCAGTTTTGTGAATAGTATAATGAATATTTATGATTATCGTATACATTAAATTTTAATGTAGCAGATTTCCAAACTCTAGTTTGAAATTGACTTTCATATCGACAACATTTTTTTTTTGTTATAGAAAAAAAGGAAATAAAAAAAATAAATTTAATTTTCAAAGTTTTGTGAAGATATTGATGAAATAAAATAATTTGAAAATTTTTCAATTTATCGAAAAAAAGAGTGTCATTTACATAAACTCATTCTCGTGTAGGTAATATATATATTTTTTTAAAACTAAAATCTGTTTTTATCAAATTTTCAAATTAAATTCAAAAACAAAATGTTTTTTTTTCGATATTTTTTTGTCATTGTGTAAATTATATCTACTTTGTAGAAGTAGTTATTGTTATTTTTACTATTATAAATTTACAGGTAGAAACTAAATACACTTCGGAAATTAAAAACAAAAAAAAAAATTGTGAAGATTAATCTGGTTAATTCCAGAAAATGAATTTGCAGCATTTAAAAATTTTACACTATTTATTGTTGTTATTATTATTTAATTACTCAGACAGTGTCAGTTTTCCACAGGATCTTTACGGTAATTTTTCAATTCAATACTATTGTCAATTTAATATGTTAATATAAAAATTATAAAATTAAATTTATAAAAATAATAATAAAATTTATTCCTTTCTTAAAATTGATTTAATTATTAATTTAAAAATAATAATAATTAAAATTTATTACAATATAAATAACTATAGTGAAAATCAATAATTTTTCTTTTTGACAATTCTTATTAAATATTTTATAGTCTTATTTAAAAATTTCCATTTCTAAACCCAAATTAATTTTAATAATAATAAAATAATAATAATAATATTAATGTTAGAACAAAAAAATTTCCTAGAAGGAGATACGTGTTATTTAGAAGGTGGAATACGAGGTGTTTGTAAGAATATACTTAATTGTATGGAAAAAATTAAAGAAACTAGAGAAGGCAAAAGAAATCATTTATCTAGTGATCATTGTAGTTTTAAAAATCGAGACGAAATTGTTTGTTGTCCTATAATTATTGATACATCAAATACTGAAAAATTGAATTATTTTAAACCACAAGAGGAAATTGATTGTTGTCCTTCAACAATCTCTAATACAATTAAACCTAGAATTGCAGACAAAGGTAAAATATTATAATTTTCAATTTTTTTTTTGGATTAAATTTATCATTGCAAAAACTAAAATTAATTTTTTGAAAACATTTTGTTTTTTTTGAAATGTGTTTTTTAAAGAGAAGTTTGAACAAAAAAATTATTTCACAAAACTATTTGAAATATTATTTTTTTTTTCAATGATTTATTAATTTTAATGCGAATTTAAATTATGATTTTAATTTCTTTATAACAATTGATTTGCAGTTTGTGTTGATTTGGAAAATGGCGGGAAAGTATTAGTTGCACCATATGTTGTGAATGGTATTGTAGCAAATTCAAATGAATTTCCATTTATGGTAGCTTTAGGATATGAAAAAGAGAATGCAATTAAATATCTATGCGGTGGTAGTTTGATTTCAACAAATTTTGTTCTAACTGCTGCTCATTGTATAATAAATATCAATAACAACCAACCAGTTGAGGTAAATATTTCTTTATTTTTAAAAAAAATAATTTTCAAGTACAATTAAAATAAAGAACTAGGGTAAAGTAAATTTTATGATATTTAATTGATATAATAATAAAATTCATTTAATTAATGAAAAAAAAATTCATATTATGAATTATCTAATTTTTCAAAAAATACACTTTGAATAAAATTTATATCTGTTTGAATGAAAATAAAATAAAATTTAATTTTTAACAGGTTCGAATGGGTTCGGAAAATTTAAATGATAATTCCGTCAATGTACAAAAAAGAAAAGTGGATAAAATGTATCCACATCCTGATTTTAATATTGGAACACATTATAATGATATTGCATTATTGAAATTAAAAGATTCAATTCACCTTACTGCAAATACAAAACCAACTTGTCTTCAGTCAAATAGTATTTTTAATTTGGATGCAAGTAAATTTTTTATTGTGGCTTCTGGTTTTGGAGCAACAGGTTTTGAAAATGAAGGCTCGGATATTTTAATGAAAACTGCAAATTTAAGGTGCGTTTAATAATTGTAAATAAAATTAATTATAATTACAGGATAGCCACAAGTCAGAAAAATTTTAATTATTGAAAAAATTTACAGAAAATGTCAATTTTTTTCACCTATTAAAAAATTTTTTTTTTTATCTATTTTACCTATATTTTGAAAATTTATTACTTTTTTCATTTTTCTAATACTTAATTCGATTAATTTCAAAAATAATTAAATTTACAAAGTAAAAAACATTGATTTAAGCTTTAATGTTGTTGAATAATTTAATAGTTTAAATTTAAAAAGAATTTTTTTAACATTTCTTGAGCTTATATTAATTTAGAGAACACATAAAATTACAAATATTCATCTTTTTTTTTATAAAAATATGATTCAATTGAACCAAGCTTGAATTTATCAAAAAAAATTTCATCGATTTAAAAATTATTTAGGGCAAATTTCAAAAAATATAAATTTAAATATTAATTGTAGCATTTATTGATTAAAATTGTAAATTTAAATTCATTCTAATTCTAATCAACTATTAATTCAATTAATTTAAAATTCAATTTATCAAAAATTTGAATCTTATCAATTTTTAATTCATCGATCCAAATTTTTTTTTTTTATTTGAAACAAAATATTGAGACCGCACAGTCGAAATTTAAATTTCAAGTGATCGAACTTTTAATCAATTCTAATTTTTATATTGGTCAAAATAAATTTATTAATTCAAGTTTCAAAATATTTGAATTTTTTAATTTACTCAAATTTTATATTGATTTAAGTTTCAATTTAATCGAATTTCAATTAATTCAAATTTTAAATTAATACTTTAAGAATTGCTTGCCTCAAGTTATAGCAATTTTTCCAACTTTTTTCAAAAATACGAATTTTTTTGACTTTTTTTACAAAATTTTTTAACACAGTACAAATTATTAACTAAAATTTTTCTCTAAATTAATTATTTTCAATAATTTTAATGAAATTTTTCAGAAATTCAATTATTTTAAACTATATTTCAATTAAAAATTTCATGAAATTCAATAACTTCAAAATTTAAAAAAAATCACCAAATAGAATTATAAAAAATTTCAATTTAAAATATTTTAAAATCACTAGAAATTCAATTATTTTTAAAAATTTCAATTTCAAATCTTCAAAAATTTTCTATCTAAAAGTTTCTAAAATTTAATATTTTCAAGTATAATTCTTACAAAATTCAATTATTTCAAATGATTTTTATAATATTCTTCGAATATTCAATTATCTGAAAGCATTTTTCAAATAAAAACTTTTGAAATTCAATTTTTGTCTGTAATTTCTAATAAATTTTTCAACAACAGAAATCACTAAAAATTTTAATTAAAAATTATTTGAAGTTCAATTGTATTTAAAAATATAAATTGTCAATCTTTGAATATTCAATTACATTTGAAAAATGTTATCTAAAATTATTAGATAAATTATTTTCAATTCCGACAAGAACCAACAATTTTGTATTGTCAAAAGAAATAAAATTCTATTCTATTCTATTTTCAATACTGTAAAATTTAATTATTGTCTTAAATTTAAAGAAATCTTTTGAAATTCAATTATTTCTAATAATTTCAGAGGTAACTCTTCCAAAATTCAGTTATTTTTAATATTTTTTAAAATATTCTTCAAAACTTGAATTATTTAAAAAGTTTCAAATAAAAACTGAAAAATTGAATTTTCAGAAATTAAAAAAAAAAAAACTACACAAGTTTAAAATTTGCAAAAAGTTTATTTCAAATTTAAAATCTTTTGTAATTCAATTATTTAAAAAAAAAATTAATTTAATATTCTGTAAAACTTAATTATTGTACAAAATTTTTTAGACCATTAAAACTGAAAACTATACAAAAATTTTAAATTCGAATAAATTGCTCAGACTTCAAAAAATTTTAAAAATGGAACTTTGAGAATTTTTTTTTTTTAAATTTGTCCTTAATTAAAATTTTGAAAATTTATTTTAGTTCGATTCTGAAATATTCGTAATAAAATTTGTCTGTCAGGGAAATTAAAAAATTTATTCTTGTGGCAACCCTGAATTAATTTTTAATTATTCGCAATAAATATATATATTAGATATGATAATTTGTAAATTTTATAATTTTCAGCTTAGTAAAAAATTCACAATGTAACACAAGGTACAAAGGACAAAGAAAATTACCTCGTGGAATTGATGATAGTATGCTTTGTTATATAGATCCCAAAAAGAAGAGTCGATCAGACACTTGTCCCGGTGACAGTGGTGGACCATTGATAATGGTTAATGATAATGATTATTCAATGAAACTTTTAGGTGTAACTTCATTTGGAGAATTTTGTGGTGGTTCTGCGCCTGGTGTTTATACGGCAATTTACAATTATTTAGATTGGATTGAATCCATCGCCTGGGGAAATTCATCTCCATTTTATTAAAAAAAAAAAAAAAAAAACAAAAACAAAAACAACTTTGGTAATTATTATTAATTGATTTCAAAAGTTAAATAGAAAAATAATTAATTAAGTTTAAACATTAATTAATATATTATATATATGATTTTTAAGATAAATAACATGATAAAAAACATTCAAAACAATATTATTATCTGCTATCAAGATATTAAAAAGGAAAAAAATGCTTTAGTAAAATTTAACTATATAATTATTTTCTTCAAGTATTTATAAGAATTATTTCATAAGTATTGTGTAAATAAAAATTGATGATTTTTTTTTAATTATATTTACTTTTTCTAATTTTTTACATATTTCTATTTATAATAATAATAAAAATAATAATAACAATTATTATTATTATTTTTTAATAATACCTAATTATATTTTTAAATTAATTAATTAACTTAATTTTTCTTAAATTATTTTTTTTATTACAAGTCTATATTATGAGAAGTCAAGAGGAAAAAAAATTCATTAATCTCTCATCTCATCTTATTTAAAAGAAAAAATATTTCCATACATATTAATAACAAATTATTTAAATTCTAAAATATTTAGAATTTTTTTGCAATTAAAATTTTTAAAAACATTAATTTTTTTGTAAAAAAAAAAAAATTTGTTCCTTAATTATTAATAAATAATATTAATTGACTACATTAAAAAAAAAAAATTTTAAACTTGAAAATTGAAATTCGTTAAAACGGACTGCGTAAAAATATATAAATAAATTAAAATATATTTTAAGTCCTTTTTTACACAAACTAATCAGACAATATTTTTTTTCGGCAAGTACCTATAATACATATAAATGTTTACTGAAAAAAATCACATTTTCTTCTTATCAATGACAATGTAAAATATTGTCAATACATATTAATTATATTTGTAATATTAAATTCATATATCATCCCCATATATTTTGTTCAAGCCAAGAAAGATATCCATAAACTTTTGTATAGACTCCTGGAATATTAATTCCACATAATTTTCCAATACTAGTAATTCCAATAACACTGTACATGCAATCGTGATCTCTATTATAAATTGAAAGTGGTCCTCCACTGTCTCCCTGAAAATCAAAATTATTAGTTTTTCTTTTTTTTTTTTTTTCATTAAATTTCACCTAATTGAAAATTAGGTTTTTTTAAAAAAAAGTTTTCAATTTAAATTAAAAATTAATATTTTATTATTCATTAGCTGAAAATTAATCATACTTTAAATATTGTTTGAGTAAAAATAGAAATTAAATATATAATTACTTGGCATGTATCTTTATTCACTTCTCCGGCACAAAGTTGCCAATTGTCTATAATTCCTCGATTAAATACAGTTCGATCGTTGCGATAACTAATATTACAAGTTTCAGTTGGAACCACAGTTAGAGTTACTTTTAGTAAATCGTCCGAACCATTTTCATCATCTGTTAAAGGAGACAAAAAATAAATCATGAAATTTTCTTTGTTTTGGAATCACAATTTATTTTACTACTTTTCTTATGATTTTGAACAATCAATCGTATATGAACGTATAAAGTTTTTCAAATTTTTAAATTAAAATTTTTTTTTTAAATAATTAAATTGCAGAAGATTTTAAATTTGAAATAAATTTTTTGCAAATTTTAAACTTGTGTAATTTCTTTTAATTTCTGACAATTCAATTTTTCAGTTTTTATTTGAAAATTTTTAAATAATTAAATTTTCGAAGAATACTTTTAAAATCATTAAAAATAATTGAATAATTACATTTCAAAAGATTTTGTTAAATTACAGACAAAAATTGAATTTCAAAAGTTTTTAATTAAAAAATGCTTTCAGATAATTGAATTTTCGAAGAATATTATAAAAATCATTTGAAATTATTGAATTTCGGAAGAATTATATTTAAAAATAATAAATTTGAGAATGTTTTAGGGAGAAAATTTTAGAAGTTTAAAAATTGAAATTTTTGAAAATAATTGAACTTCAAGTGATTTTGAATTGAAAATTTTGTTGACTTTTTAAAAAAAATTTAAGTTATTGAATATAATGAAATTTTTAATAAAAAATAGTTTAAGATAATTGAATTCTCGAAGATTATTTTAAAAATTGTTTAATAATTTAAACATTAAACTTAGAATTAATAATAATTTAATAATTATTGTTTTGGACAATATTTATTATTATTTCTTTTTTAAAATCTTTCATTAAAAAAAAAACTAAAAGAAATGAAAGTAGAAGACCTCGAAATTTATATAAAAAGACAGTATTATAAGTTTAAAATACTGGATGTCCTCTACTTTCATTACCTTCAATTTTTAAGTTTTTAATTATATATTCTTGTGCTTATTTTGTTAATTAAATTCAAATTTTCTCTTTTTTCATTAATTGTTGATAAGTTTTTTAAAAATTAATTTTATATAAAATAATAACATACCAGAATCTGTGAGACCCCATCCAGTGGCAATAACTTTTTGATGTGGAATATCTAAATTTAATGGTAAACAAGCGGGTCTTACATAAGCGTCAAAAATTATTTTTCTATTCATTTTAATGAGAGCAATATCGTGATATTGTGACGGTTGCTTATAATGTGGATATTTAATAATATTTGCAATTCTTCTTTCCTGTGGTTTGGCATCTTCATTTGTTTTCAATATATTTAAATCTCCAACTCTCACCCATTTTGGTTCACCCCTTTAAGAAAAGGAAAAACAAAATTTACTAATCTATTGTTAAAATAGAAAAAAATATATTTAATTAAATTTCAATTTTTTCTATATAGTTAAAAAATTTTTAAATTAAATATTTGAAAGGTAAAAAATAAAATATATTCAAAAGTTTAGGAATTTAATATATTTGTGAATAAAAAATTGAATATTAATAAAATTTAAATATTTGCAAAACAAAAAAAAAAAATTTACCAATTAACACTGTAAGTACAGTGAGCTGCTGTTAAAACGAATATTTCCGAAACTAATGTACCACCACATAGCCATTTAATTCCACCATCATCATCATCGAATCCAACGACAGCCATGTGGGGAAATTCTTTAGGATCTGCTTTAACACCTCCGACAATTAATTTCTTTGATTTTATACCACAGAGAGAAATATTCACAGGTTTTGGATCAATAGCTAAAGTTGGTGGTATCACCAATGCGTAGACATTTCTTGAATATTCCTCACATTCTATATTCAAAATAAATTGAAGAAAATTAATTAATTTGACCGGCAAAAAATTATACTTTAAATTGATTTTAAATAAAAAAATTTTTAGCAAATTTTATTTGATAATTTTTTTTTTAAATTATAATTATTAAATTTTATAAAAATTTGAATTGAAAAATAGTTTGAAAAATAATTGAATTTGTGAATAATTTTATTAAAATTATTAAAAATAATTAATTTAATGAAGAATTTTAGTTAAAAATTTGTTAAATAATGGAAATAAAAAAGATTTGAAAAAGATCTGCATTGTATATTAAAAAAATGTATTTTATTTAAAAATTTTGTAAAAAAAAAACAGTCAAAAAAGTCGCATTTTATTAAAATAAGTCGAAAAAAGTCGTATAATCCGAGGCCCGGTTACCACTAAACCAAATCAATTATAAAAATTCAACTTCTTTTATAATTTTTATTATTTTTTATCGGTAATTTTTTTGTAGGCTTTTTTCATGATTATGAACAATTAAACGTATGGATTTTTAAAAATTTTAATATTTTCAAAAAATTTCTAAAATTGTCAAAAAAAATTTTTTTTTAATTTTGATAATTCACAATAATGTTAGATCTCAAATAATGAAAGAAAAAAAAAATTGACACCCCATAACAATATTAATTTCGATGAGTTGAAATTTCACTGGTCCCTCCCCTTAATAAAGTATAATTTTGTATAAAAATTAAAAAAAAAAGTATTGCTAAAAGGGGTAAAAAAAATTATTTTTTAAAAATATAATTTATAATAAAAAAGCAGAGACTTACTTATGGCAGCGATTCGTTTTTGATTTCCATTATTAAGTGGCAATCCACCAGTTACCGTTCTTCTTGTCGTTCTTGTTGTTCTTGTAGTAGTAGTAGTAGTGGTAGTAGTTGAAGTTGTAGTTTGAATATTTCTATTATTAGGACAACATACAACTACATCATCACTATTAAGAAAACTGCATATTTTTTCTGGTCTCTTTCCTTTAACAAGATCTTGATAAACTGACGGACAATTCCTTAATATTGTACATTTTCCTGAAAATGTTCTTGCATCGCAATTATCGCCTGAAATTATAATTTAACATTATTAATTCATTTTTAGCATAAAATAAATTAACGTATTATAACTAAATTACTTCACTATCACAGTTAAATTGTATTCAAAAACAAAATAAAGTTTAAAAAAAACTGAATTTGCAAAATTTTATAAAAAATAAAAAAAAGAAATACAAATTTTTGAATTGAATAAAATGAAAAATTTAATTTACTATGATTCACTACTGGATTGAATTTTTTCTGAATGAAAATTTTCTAATTGCGATTTAATTTTAAATTGCGTGAAAAAAACAAAAATAGCGCGGGATTCCCTTAGAGGAAACAATTGTTTATTAATTAAAAAGAATAATTTAAATATTTAAAGAAAAATTATTTTTTATTCTGAGAAATTTATATGCGTATATAATATACAATTTCCCCTATTTGTGAATCATTATTCCATTATTATGGAAATTATGAATTTTTAATTATTTTTCAAATAATAATTATTGTTGAACTTTTTTTTCTAAATGACTAATTTAATTGTTATAAATTGTTATACAATTTATTATAAATTTATTTAAAATTATTAAAATTTCTGTAAATATAAAATTTATTTTCAATGAACTAATTTCAATTAACAATGCAAATTTTTTTTTTTTAAACAATAGAAAAATACTAATTTTTCTATTTTGAAATATTTATTTTTTGTCTTTTGTTTAAAAATAAAAAAATTTATTAAATAAAAAATAATAAATTGATACTTACCTTCAAATAAATCAAATTGTGAAAAACAATTTCTAAATAATAGTATTTCGAAAAAAATGACAATAACACTAGATGAAAAATACATTGTCTTTTATGACGCGACAAAATTTTGCTTGGTCTCACGCTTTGCAAGTAAACTGAATAAACTAAAAGGAATGAAGTTAGCTTTCATTCCTGATCTCCCACTCCTCGTGTTTTTTTTTTTTTTTTTTCATATTGCATGTGCCGGTTTCTTATTTTTTCCTCTTTTTGCATAAAGTGGAAATTTTTATTCAATGAACATACACACATACACAGTTTCTTTGATTCAACGAAATAATTCTTTATAAATTAAAAAACAAAAAATCCCCTAACTCTTGCATAAATTTATTAATCATCATACAAATCATAAAAATGAAAAAAAAACTACTTTGAAATTTAAGAAAAAAAATGGTTCATTTCTGTTTTCTTCCTTAAATTCCTATTTAGGTAATTAACTTTTTAAATAAAAAATATAATTTATTATAAAACTTTTAGTTATTTAATATTTAAATCAACAAAGGAATTACATTAAATATTTTTTAAAACTACAAAAAGAAAATTTTTTAAATATACGAAAGTAAATAAGAATAAAATTTTTTTTTTCTACTATAAAAAAAATATTTATTTTAGATTGGAATTTTCGAAGCCAGTTTTACTGTGTACAAAAATTTATGTATATATATATATATCTGTGTTAAATTAAAAAAGTATTTTGCTCTTAAAGAGACAATTTTTTGTGATTTGTATAATTATAATGTTCGCTTTGTGTACAAAACTTATTTAATCTAATGTGAATGATTATTTAAGCGTTATATTATTTATATTTATAAAGCTTACAAAATTTATTTGATAATTAGCATTTTAAAAAATGTGAAAACTATTCTTTCCCAAATATACTGTGTCTATAGAATCGTTATTATATGATAGAAATAATTAACCTGAGAAGCTCACTTATTTGTTTATAAAATTAGTTTAATACTAATTTTATATTTCGGCAACAACAAAAACAAAAAAAAAAAGAATGAAAAAGTTTATTTTTCATTATGCTGAGTCGTGAATATCAAGGCGGAAGATGTCATGTTGACAGTAAAAGTTATTTCCATATGATTTTAAGACAAATACTTGAGAGAAAGAATGAGGTGGATCATCATCGGCCTGTAATAGCATATTTTAATTAATTTATTTATTTATAAATTATAAATAAATTTAAAAATAAAGAGAATCATTTTGCTATGGATCAATCCATTATATATTATAATATATAAAATTTTATTAAATAATATTGTTAAAAATTTTCAAATTTCTAAAATAATTTTGTTTGTAAATAAATTATAAATATGTATGAAAAAATTATAATAAAAAATAGTTTAATAAAATTAATTTAAATTTATTAAAATAAAACGTCAGTGAAGTTTACAACTTTTATGATCAAAGATTAAAAAAAAAATATATATTTTTCACTCTAAAAAATAATAACTAATTTTTTGCTTAGAAAATTTTTTTTCAAAAAATTATTGATAAAGAAACGTTGCAACAATTTTTTTAGATTAAAAATAATAATAATTTGCATAGAAAAATATTTTTTCATTTCAATCGTTGATCATAAACGTTGTGAATTTCACCGACGTAAAATAAATAAGAAATGAGACTAAATTTTTTATTAAAAGAACAAAAAACAATTACTTTTTTATTTCTCGAACTTTGGAATTTTCAATTTATTAAATATCATAAGAATATTAATATTTGTTTTTTTTTTTTTAATATTTCAGGCCTCGAAGCGTTATCGATATTAAAAATTACGTACAAAAAAAAAGAAAAAATTAGTGATCAATTTAAGTACCAAAATTTCTAGTTTTTATTATTGTAAATTATTGATTTTAAAACTACAAATGAAATAATATACTTAAATGTTCTAAAAGAGTGAAAATTATGAACCATTAATTTATATAAAAGAAAAAATTAAGTTTTACAGCTTATTAAATGAATTATTTTTTTTTAAATAATAATAATTTAGAAAGAATATTATAAAAATCATTAAATATAATTGAATTTCAGGTGAGTTATAATTGAAATTATTAAATTTCAAAAAATTGTAGATAAAATAGTTTAGAATTAATTAAAATTTAGAATCTTTTTTAATGAAATTTTTGAAAATAATTGAATTTCAAAAGATTGTGTTAAATTTCAGATAATAATTATTATGAGAGAAATTTTTAGTGCTTTCTGTTGATGAAAAATTTATTAGAAATCACATACAAAAATTGAATACCAAAAGTTTTTAATTGAAAAATGCTTTCAGACAATTGAATTTTCGAAGAATATTATAAAAATCATTAAAAATAATTGAAATTTTTGCATATATAATTAAATTTCAAGTGATTTTGAATTAAAAATTTTTGGTAATTTTATTTGCTAATTTTTTGAAAATAATAAACAATTAAATAAAATTTCATAAAAATTTTAATTGAAAAATAGTTTAAGATAATTGAATTTGTGAAGAAATTCAATGAAATTATTAAAATCTGTTAAAAAGAATTAATTTAGTATTTAGTTTAGTATTCTTTAAAAATTTTGTAAAAAAATGTACAAAAAAAAGTCGAAAAAAGTCGGAAAAAGTAGAAAAAGTTTTATAATCCGAGGCCTGCAATAAAATTATATTTAAAATTAAATAGTATTATTTTTTCATTTTAAATGAAAATGAAAACAAGGGCTAGTTTAAAAAAAAAAAAATTATATATACCTTCAATCTTCCGACAACATTGATCAAAATACTACCATCAGGCATTGGTTGAGAATCAATAGTAGTTACAATTCGATTGATTCTATTAAACGATAAACTCTGAAAAAATGGAATTTCAAATTTCATTTTTTACTTATATATAATAAAAAAAATGTCCTAGAAATATAAATAAATATATGTATTAATAAATTAAAAACCGATTGAATATATCGTGTAATAAACGAATAAAATTAAAAAAAATAAATAAATGATGCAAAAAATGAATAAAAAAATAATAAATTGAAAAAAAAGTTTAGAAATATTCACGTCATGCTGACATTATAATTTTAATGAAAAAGAAAAAAATATAATAAAGAAATTTTTTTTGGCAAAATTTGTGAGATTTTTGCAAAAAAAATTTCTTTCATCGCCACATTCAAAAATATAACCTCACTTACATTAATTTTTTCCATAATTTTCGCAGAACCTTGAATTTGTGCACCTTCAAATGTCATGAGAGAATTAGTTGGCTGTGAAATTTGAAATGTTTCAGGTAAAAATTACAATTATAACTAAATAATAAATATATTGCGTTAAAATTAACTTACATCGTACATGTTCGTTAAATTTGGTCTCTTTGCAGGATCATCAAATTGATTATAATAATGTTGAACGAATTCATTGCTCAATTTTACATAATCTAAGTTTGTTGCCATTATTAAAACTTCTTTTTTTGGACAACTTAAAAGATTAATATTTCTAATTTCTCTTTAAAAAAAAATTAGAAGACTTTTGATTGTAGTATATTTATCTTTGAAAATTTATTTATTACACACGTGTGTCAAGCAGGCAGTGTGAAGTTGTTGATATATCGATTCGTTAGGAATCGATTGTTTCTACATCGATATTCGATACTTTTTTGTATAAAAGAAAAAGAAGAATTATTTTAGTAATTTATTATGTTTATATTTATTAACCATGAAATTACGCGTTCATGTTAACCAAATAATTAGAATTGAATACACGTAGTTTTGATTAATTATAATTTCTATTAAAAAAGTATTTTTCAAAATACCAGTAGGAAATTATTACCAATCAGAACAGGTTGCAGTTTCCCTCCATTTATTTGAAATTTAAATATATATTATAGGTAAAAATATTGATTTTTTTTTACTTTTAACAGTTTTAACTATTTTTAACAAAAATTTGTATTTTTTATTTTTTAAATAAATATGTATTTTTTTAAATTAAAGAATTTTTTTAAAATTTATTATGAAAAAGAAACAAAATTTGAAAATTTTATTATGGAAATTTTTTTTTAAAAAATCTTTCGTAAGGTGGATTCTGGTCGATAAATATAATTAAAAATTGTGTTAATTTTGAATGGTTGAAAAAATTCTATAAACAATACTAAAAATTAAAAAACTTATTTTCAGAAATTGCTTCTAACATTAACTTGAACTACTAGAGCTAATACAAAGGTTCCTCTTATAGGAAAGAAAAAGGAATTAAAAAATCTTTGAAAATGTTAATAAAATTAATAATATGGATTTTAAATATGTACATTTTACTAAACTGCATCAAAGGTAAAAAATTTCATTGGTTTCCATCGAAAATTTTTTTTTTGAAATTTAATAACTTCAATTATAACTCTAAGGAAATTCAATTATTTTTAACTATTTTAATAATATTCTTTGAAATTTCAACTATCTGAAACCATTTTTTAATTAAAAATGATTTTCAAATTATTGTATTTTGTCCGCATTTTCTAATAAATTTTTAGTGAAATCATCTAAAATTTTACTTACAAAACACTTAAAGTTTCAATTAATTTCAAAAATCTCAATTTGAATATTTATTTTCTTTTCAGGCAGTGAATTTATTTTTTAGATATCAAAATATGATTTAAAAATGTTGTTTCTAAAAAAATTAATTTTCATTTAATAGTAGAATTTTTTCCTTTTTATAATAGTATATTTATGTAATTTTTTTTTCATTTTGGAAGATAGGTAAAAGTAAATTTTTTTTTTAAATAATTATTTTTGTCCAATATGCACGATAAACGCTACATTCCATGCTTGGTATTGCGGATGGAAAGTAGAATTTTTCCGCACACTGTTATTTAGAACATATTCGCAATAAAATATTAATATTATATTAAAATTTATTTAATGCTATGAATTATTATTATAATTTGTTATTATTTACAAAATTTTCATTTTAAAGTTGAAAGCATTTTTTGCAAATTAATTTCTTCGGTATTAGTGAATAGAACGAAAGACTAGCGCCATCTTACATTCTCAGCAACAACTGCGGGAACGATTAGATTTCGATTCACATCCAACTTCACATTTCATCTGTGAACAGTGTTCATTATACTTGTAGATTCGCTTGTTTTATTTTATAATTAATATTTTCATTATCTTTAAAAATATTCATTACTTCTTATTTGTTTCTTATTCTTTAGAGGTATGTATTGCATTAGCATCTTGTTTATCGTGCAATTAGTTAAAATATATCGCGTGTGTAATTTGAGTGAAATTGATACCATCGGTTCGATCGTGCGGCAAACTGCACATGTTCAGAAATTGCCAACTTTTCATGTTTGTTACACAGTAGTTTGCTATTTTCATTTATTTATTTAATTTATTTAATAAATTGTTGTTCTAAATTTGATAAATCATCATTGATAAATTTCTAAATCATCATGTCGCAGTATCATAATTTATTTTGCAACTTTTTTTGTGTCACATTTTCTTCTTTTCTATACAGACGCCGTGATTGTCGGGTCACGTGACCGCCGCAATATTATTTTTTCGGATCATTTTTCTCGTAAAATACCTAATGGATTAAACTGGAATTTTGTGAAAAAGTGAAAAATATTATAAGGAATGGCAGTGAGATGCGAAAGTGTTGATAATTTTTAGAAAATTTTTTAGGTTAGGTTAAACGTCATTGATCGGATTTTCCAATAATTTTGAATTTTTTTAACAAATATCAATCACATAATTTTGTTGATAAATATAAAATAACATTTTTTTTGTTGACTTTTGCATTTTCTAAACTATTGGTTTTTCGAAATGGTGCTGCTTATATGAGTGATATAATTTTACAAAGATTTTTGAACCACAAGTTGAACTTTTTGTCACGTTTTATGGTTTTTAGTCACCAGAATACACCATTGATTTGTTATCGTGAGTTAATATTAAAAAAAAAAAAATATTTACAAAAGGCACATTAGATTTGTCTCAGTCGATTTTTTTCATTAATTTAAAAACTTTGTATTTCTTGTCATTCAAAAAAAAAAAAAAAAAAAAAACTAATCCTAAAATTAGATCAAAAACGAAGAAAAGTAGTAAATTGAATTTCTTTTAAAAAATGTTATCTAAAATTATTTAATAAACTATTTACAATTTTGTAAAATTTAATTATTGTTTTTAACAAATTCTTTTGAAATTCAATTATTTCTAAAAATTTCAACTGTTACTCTTCCAAAATTCAATTATTTGTATTAATTTTAATATTTCTCTAAAAATTTAATTATTTAAATAAGTTTCAAATAAAAACTACAACATTATAAATTTGCAGAAAATTTATTTTAAATTTCAAATCTTTTGCAAAATTTTTTTTGACCATTAAAACTAAAAATTGTTTAAATCAGACTTGAAAAAAATTTTTAAATGGAACTTTAAGAATTTTTTTACAAATTTGTCTTATTTTGATTCTAAAATATTCGAAAGAAATTTTCTTGATAATATTCTTAGAGCATTATTATTATAATTATTCTAATTATTATTTTTAAAATTTAAATAAAATAAAGAAGTGATTCAGAAATGATTATTTATGATATTTTGGAAATAAAATTAATTTGTTAGAATTTTCAAATCACAGAATTTCATTACTTAAAATTAATGTACCCTAAATCAAATTTTTATTTTTTTGAATTTTTATTTAACAGAAAAAAGTGATTATTATTTTTATATTAATTAATTGATATATTTATTTTTCAGTTGGCGCAATGGGATTTTGGAATAGGTCAATACGTCTTTTAATAGAAATATAAAAGCCAGCGAGAGAGAACGAAATTTTATTCACATTACACCTGGAACTATTATAGAAAAAGAGGTAATTTAAATAAATTTAGCATATATTAAATCTTAATTTTATTTCTCGTTATAATTAAATAATTAATAACAATAATTATTATTCTAAATTTCTGATTGTGATAGTTGGTAACAATAATAAATTATTACTAATAATTGCAATTAATTACAATAATTAACTTAGGATAAATTTCTTTTTTTTTTTTTTATAAATTTTGAGCCTTTTTAAGTTGCATTTTAATGAAAAACACCATTTTTAGTTGTAGAAAATTGTAATTTTTTTTAAAATAGGAAACGAATTAGGTAAAATTACTTAAAATTTGACAAATTAGGGCTTTAATTAGGACAAATGGAAATTTGTCTTATTACGAATAATCTGTAAGAAAGTTTTCGTTTACCTGATAATTTCTTTCAAACTTAGTTATTTATAAAACAATTATTTTCTTAAATATTTAGTTAAAAAATTATATCTCAAAGTCTTAATTCTGTAGAGCAATTTTTTGAAACACGGAAAGAAAATAATTATTTCAAATTTTGTAAGTGTATTTCAAATTTTATGAAATTATTTTCAAATTCTGGAAAATATGCAAAAAAGCATAATTTTCATGTAAAAAATTCTAAAATTTAGAAAAAATTTTATAAACCTAATATTGCAGGATTTAATAAAATATAATATTACTTACTAATGAATTAAATATGTTTTACCAATTTTTATAATAATTTATTTATTGTAAATTTCATAGAAAGTTATTAAGGATTATTTCTTTTATAAAATTTTCGCTTTTACAAAAAATACTTTTACAAAATTTGAATATTTATTTTCTTTTCGGGCAGTGAATTTATTTTTTAGATATCAAAATGCTTTAATAATTTTGATTCTAAAAAAATTCATTTTCATTTAATACTAGAATTTTTTATTTTTAATATAGTATATTTATGTAATTTTTTGTTCCATTTTTTAAGATAGGTAAAAGTAAATTTTTTTAAAAATAATTATTTTTGTCCAATATGCACGATAAACGCTACATTCCATGCTTTGTATAGCGGATGGAAAGTAGAATTTTTCTGCCCATTGTTATTTAGAACATATTCGCAGTAAAATATTAATATTATATTTAAATTTATTTAATGCTATGAATTATTATTATAATTTGTTATTATTTACAAAATTTTCATTTTAAAGTTGGAAGTATTTCTTGCAAATTAATTTCTTCGGTATTAATGTATAGAACGAAAGACTAGCGCCATCTTACATTCTCAGCAACAACTGCTGGAACGATTAGATTTCGATTCACATCCAACTTCACATTTCATCTGTGAACAGTGTTCAGTATACTTGTAGATTCGCTTGTTTTATTTACTAATTAATATTTTCATTATCTTTAAAAATGTTCATTACTTCTTATTCTTTAGAGGTATGTATTGCATTAGCATCTTGTTTATCGTGCAATTAGATAAAATACATCGCGTGTGTAATACGAGTGAAATTGATACCATCGGTTCGATCGTGCGGCAAACTGCACATGTTCAGAAATTGACAACTTTTCATGTTTGTTACACAGTAGTTTGTTGTTTTCATTTATTTATTGAATTTATTTAATAAATTGTTGTTCTAAATTTGATTACAATCATCATGTCGCAGTATCATAATTTATTTTGCAACTTTTTTTGTGTCACATTTTCTTCTTTTCTATACAGACGCCGTGATTGTCAGAGGTCACGTGACCGCCGCAATATTATTTTTTCTGATCATTTTTCTCGTAAAATACCTAATGGATTGAACTGGAATTTTGTGAAAAAGTGAAAAATATTATAAGGAATGGCAGTGAGATGCGAAAGTGTTGATAATTTTTAGAAAATTTGAGGTTAGGTTAAACGCCATTGATTGGATTTTTCAATAATTTCCAATTATTTTAATAAATATCAACTTTTTCGCTTCTTATCATATTTTAGACGTTTCCACAAAAATGCGATCAATGAACTTATCAATCACATAATTTTGTTAATAAATATATAAAATAACATTTTTTTGTAGACTTTTTGCATTTTCTGGCTTTCTGCAATGGTGCCGCTTATGTGAGTGATTTAATTTTGTGAATAGTTTTCGATTCTAAATTAGAAATACGTTATAGGGTAAGTGTACCAATTACGGCGAGTGCATTAATTACCGCGCGTTCATAAAAAATAACTATTATTATTATTATTATTATATTTAATATAACTTGCAAAATGATTAAAAAAAATAATTTTAATCTTTTTTTTCATACAATTATTTATAAAGATGAATATTTAAACAATTATTAATTTAATTATTTGAGATCGAATTTTTTTCCGCGCCGCAATTGAAACATTTTTAAGATTTCCATTGGCTTCAATTACGGCGGGTAAAGTATCTTCAAAATACACATAATTTTGGTCACCGAAATTGATACACCGAAACTAATATAAACGCGCCGCAGTAGAAAATTACGGTATCAGTTTTAATTTGTCATATTTGTTTAAATAATCGATTTTTATAAAGATAAATTTTTTTTTTAATATCTAAATAACATAAGTTTTTAGTTTAATAAGTCTTAAATTGAGTTTATACAATAGAAATGTCGAATTTTCTATTTCAAAGGTGTTTTGACTCGAATCGCGCCGCAATTAGTGCATTTACCCTATAATTTTTATAAAATAAGACACATAGTATTAAATTTTTTTTACATTCTCGGTGGTACAAAAAAAATTTTTTAAAAATGTTTTTTTATGATTAATATTTTTTAATATTAATTAATATAAATAATTAATTAATATAAATATAAAATTAATATTTTTTTAAATTTCTCACAAAATATTTGATTTTATATAATCAATAATCAACTGGGATTTCCGTTATTTTCTGCAATCGATTATACAATATTTTTATAAAAAAAAGTGAATCTTATAGTTATAGATATATTAAATCTTCTTATGTCTGAAATAAAATATTTCAACTATATGTGAAAAGTAATTACGCTTTTACAAACATTTTATTTATTTATTTATTTATTTATTAATTAATAATAATAATAATAATAATAATAATAATAATAATAATAAATGATTTAATATCAGGTTAGCCTCTAATCATGGAAAAGTAAGAGTAAAAATAATTTTTGTCAGGGAAATTTGGGAAATTAAACAAATTGACAAAAAAGTCAATTATATACTTCCTGTAAAAAGTTTCAACAATTTTTTCCTCTAGAAGGGATCATCGTTTATTACCGATTCACATTTTTTCATCTATTTAAAATTTTGTTACCTATTTCACCTATTTTAATAATTTATTAGCTTTTCACCTTTCTCATGAATCGATTTATTGCGAATATAATATTTAAAGAATAATTACATTTACAATGCGCAAAAAAATCGATTAAAGCTCAGGAATGTTTATAAAACAAATTTATTAATTATTATTACTGTTTCTGAACTCATATTAATTTAAAAAACACAAAATTATGGATATTTCTTTTTTATAAATTATTCAATTGACCTAAGCTTGAATTTATCAAAAATTTTCTTTGATTTAAAAATTATTAAGGTTAAATTTCAAAAAATTAAAATTAAAATTGTTTAAAGCATTTATTGACTAAAAATATACAAATTATAATCAATTTGAGTTTAAATTCTTTCTAATTTTAATCAACTATAAATTAAATCAATCCAAAATTTAAGTTTATCCAAAGTTGAATTTGTTGAAATTTTTAATTCATACGAATTTCAGTTTCAGTTTCATCGGGTTCTCTAGTGGTTTTTCTACATTAAATTAATTAAAGATAATTAAATTTAAAATATGAAGCTGAAGTACGCAACGTTTATGATAAACGATTTTTAAAGAAATAATTTTTTAAAATGAAAAAGTCTATAATTTTTTGCCTTAAAAATATTTCTTACAGTTTTAATTAATCAACAAATTATAAAAAAATATTTTTAGGCAAAAAATTATAGAATTTTTCATTTTAAAAAATTATTTCTTTAAAAATCGTTTATCATAAATGTTGCGTACTTCAACTTCGTTTCAAAATTACTTGAAATTCAATTATTTTCAAAAATTTAAATTTAAAACCTTTTAAAATGTTCCATCTAATGCTTTCTGAAATTTAATAAAAATAATTCAATTATGATTTTTGCGAAATTTAATTATTTTTAATGATTTTTATAATATTCTTCGAAAATTCAATTATAATCAACCATCCCTGTAAAATCGGTCAACGCGGAAAGGTGCAATGTTTTTCCAAGACAAAAAATAATTACATATTATGAAGAGTATAAGAAAGTAATCTTGCTTAGAGGCGTTACTGAGATCAAAGTAAATAAAATTCGAGAGGGACTAGCAGTGGGGGAAAAGCTTACTCGACAAACTGGGGAAGCGGCTTTACTGGGATGTTTGACTGTGTCTTAAGGGTATGTGGGCAGAGTACTTTTTTTTATGGTTTGAAACTTTCTCTGAAGTAAAAAAAGATTTTGGGTTAAAATTTTGGAGAAATGATTTTGTTTGGTGTAATGAATCTTGCTGTTCTACTCACTTACTATAACTTAACGTAATAATAATAAAATTAAAAAAAATCATCAAATAAAATTAAAGAAACTCAATTATTTTTAAAGAATTTTTTAATAATTCTTCGAAAACATTTAATTATCTAAAAGTTCAATATTATTTACAAAAATTTGAATTATAAATTTTTGGAAAATTTCTTCTAAAAAATGTTATCTAAAATTATTTAATAAACAATTTTCAATTCTGTAAAATTTAATTATTGTCTTTATCAAATTCTTTTGAAATTCAATTATTTCTAAAAGTTTTAACTGTAAGTCTTCCAAAATTCAATTATTTATATTAATTTTAATATTTCTTTAAAAATTTGATTATTTAAATAAGTTTCAAATAAAAACTACAACAGTTTAAATTAGCAGAAAATTTAATTTAAATTTCAAATCTTTTGCAAAAATTTTTTGACCATTAAAACTAAGAATTATGCAAAAATTTTAAATTCAAATAAATTGCTTAAATTAGACTTCAAAAAAAATTTTTAATGGAACTTTAAGAATTTTTTTACTTTGTTTTACTTAATTAAAATGTTGAAAATTTTGTCTTAGTTTGATTCTAAAATATTCGAAGTAAATTATTATTATTATTATTAGGGTCAGTCGGGGTAAATCCGAACGCTAATTATTTCAGCTTAATTAAAATTTTTAAAAATAAGTTCGATATGAGAATTTTTACAGCGCGGTGAAACTAGCGAGCCGCCAGCCGGCAGACAGCAGACAAAACCATAGGCGTCGACACTACACTAAACGCCACCACTAGCAAATTGGGCAGCAACGTTTAAACAAAAATAAAACACAGTTTTATGATTCACACATTACATTATGATACTACATGTACATATTTTAACATAAATATGATTAGTTAACAAACAATTTACACTTACATAATCAAACAATAATAATTAATGAAAAACTATTGTCTGCTAACAAACGGCTGGAGAAGCTGGCTATTAATTTTTCCAAAAAAAATTCTTACAAATAAAAAACTAAATTTTTAATTTTCTTGTTGGAATACCTTCTAGGAATGTTTATTAACAAGTTTTATATACGCAAGAATTTTTTTGGGAAAAATAAATAGCCAGCAGCCCCAGCCGCTTGTAGCAGACAGTCGTTTTTTTGATTTTTTTTTCACTAAAACCGACTCAAAAACTTTATTTTTTAATGAATTTTTGATTTTCTTGTTGGAAAATCTTCTCAGAATGTTTATTAACAAGTTTTATATACGCAAGAATTTTTTTGGGAAAAATAAATAGCCAGCAGCCCCAGCCGCTTGTAGCAGACAGTCGTTTTTTTGTTTTTTTTTTATTTTTTTTCACTAAAACCGACTCAAAAAATTTAATTTTCAATGAATTTTGGATTTTCTTGTTGGAAAATCTTCTAGGAATGTTTATTAACAAGTTTTATATAGGCAAGAATTTTTTTGAAAAAAATAAATAGCCAGCAGCCCCAGCCGCTTGTAGCAGACAGTCGTTTTTTTGATTTTTTTTTCACTAAAACCGACTCAAAAAATTTATTTTTCAATGAATTTTTGATTTTCTTGTTGGAAAATCTTCTCGGAATGTTTATTAACAAGTTTTATATACGCAAGAATTTTTTTGGGAAAAATAAATAGCCAGCAGCCCCAGCCGCTTGTAGCAGACAGTCGTTTTTTTGATTTTTTTTTCACTAAAACCGACTCAAAAAATTTATTTTTCAATGAATTTTTGATTTTCTTGTTGGAAAATCTTCTCGGAATGTTTATTAACAAGTTTTATATACGCAAGAATTTTTTTGGGAAAAATAAATAGCCAGCAGCCCCAGCCGCTTGTAGCAGACAGTCGTTTTTTTGTTTTTTTTTTATTTTTTTTCACTAAAACCGACTCAAAAAATTTAATTTTCAATGAATTTTGGATTTTCTTGTTGGAAAATCTTCTCGGAATGTTTATTAACAAGTTTCATATACGCAAGAATTTTTTTGGGAAAAATAAATAGCCAGCAGCCACAGCCGCTTGTAGCAGACAGTCGTTTTTTTGGTTTTTTTTATTTTTTTTCACTAAAACCGACTCAAAAAATTTAATTTTCAATGAATTTTGGATTTTCTTGTTGGAAAATCTTCTCGGAATGTTTATTAACAAGTTTTATATACGCAAGAATTTTTTTGGGAAAAATAAATAGCCAGCAGCCCCAGCCGCTTGTAGCAGACAGTCGTTTTTTTGATTTTTTTTTATTCTTTTTCACTAAAACCGACTCAAAAAATTTATTTTTCAATGAATTTTGGATTTTCTTGTTGGAAAATCTTCTAGGAATGTTTATTAACAAGTTTTATATAGGCAAGAATTTTTTTGAAAAAAATAAATAGCCAGCAGCCCCAGCCGCTTGTAGCAGACAGTCGTTTTTTTGTTTTTTTTTATTTTTTTTCACTAAAACCGACTCAAAAAATTTAATTTTCAATGAATTTTGGATTTTCTTGTTGGAAAATCTTCTCGGAATGTTTATTAACAAGTTTCATATACGCAAGAATTTTTTTGGGAAAAATAAATAGCCAGCAGCCCCAGCCGCTTGTAGCAGACAGTCGTTTTTTTGGTTTTTTTTATTTTTTTTCACTAAAACCGACTCAAAAAATTTATTTTTCAATGAATTTTTGATTTTCTTGTTGGAAAATCTTCTCGGAATGTTTATTAACAAGTTTTATATACGCAAGAATTTTTTTGGGAAAAATAAATAGCCAGCAGCCCCAGCCGCTTGTAGCAGACAGTCGTTTTTTTGGTTTTTTTTATTTTTTTTCACTAAAACCGACTCAAAAAATTTAATTTTCAATGAATTTTGGATTTTCTTGTTGGAAAATCTTCTCGGAATGTTTATTAACAAGTTTTATATACGCAAGAATGTTTTTGGGAAAAATAAATAGCCAGCAGCCCCAGCCGCTTGTAGCAGACAGTCGTTTTTTTGATTTTTTTTTCACTAAAACCGACTCAAAAAATTTATTTTTCAATGAATTTTTGATTTTCTTGTTGGAAAATCTTCTCGGAATGTTTATTAACAAGTTTTATATACGCAAGAATTTTTTTGAAAAAAATAAATAGCCAGCAGCCCCAGCCGCTTGTAGCAGACAGTCGTTTTTTTGGTTTTTTTTATTTTTTTTCACTAAAACCGACTCAAAAAATTTATTTTTCAATGAATTTTTGATTTTCTTGTTGGAAAATCTTCTCGGAATGTTTATTAACAAGTTTTATATACGCAAGAATTTTTTTGGGAAAAATAAATAGCCAGCAGCCCCAGCCGCTTGTAGCAGACAGTCGTTTTTTTGTTTTTTTTTTATTTTTTTTCACTAAAACCGACTCAAAAAATTTAATTTTCAATGAATTTTGGATTTTCTTGTTGGAAAATCTTCTCGGAATGTTTATTAACAAGTTTTATATACGCAAGAATTTTTTTGAAAAAAATAAATAGCCAGCAGCCCCAGCCGCTTGTAGCAGACAGTCGTTTTTTTGATTTTTTTTTCACTAAAACCGACTCAAAAAATTTATTTTTCAATGAATTTTTGATTTTCTTGTTGGAAAATCTTCTCGGAATGTTTATTAACAAGTTTTATATACGCAAGAATTTTTTTGGGAAAAATAAATAGCCAGCAGCCCCAGCCGCTTGTAGCAGACAGTCGTTTTTTTGTTTTTTTTTTATTTTTTTTCACTAAAACCGACTCAAAAAATTTATTTTTCAATGAATTTTTGATTTTCTTGTTGGAAAATCTTCTAGGAATGTTTATTAACAAGTTTTATATAGGCAAGAATTTTTTTGAAAAAAATAAATAGCCAGCAGCCCCAGCCGCTTGTAGCAGACAGTCGTTTTTTTGTTTTTTTTTTATTTTTTTTCACTAAAACCGACTCAAAAAATTTATTTTTCAATGAATTTTTGATTTTCTTGTTGGAAAATCTTCTCGGAATGTTTATTAACAAGTTTTATATACGCAAGAATTTTTTTGGGAAAAATAAATAGCCAGCAGCCCCAGCCGCTTGTAGCAGACAGTCGTTTTTTTGATTTTTTTTTCACTAAAACCGACTCAAAAAATTTATTTTTCAATGAATTTTTGATTTTCTTGTTGGAAAATCTTCTCGGAATGTTTATTAACAAGTTTTATATACGCAAGAATTTTTTTGGGAAAAATAAATAGCCAGCAGCCCCAGCCGCTTGCAGCAGACAGTCGTTTTTTTGTTTTTTTTTTATTTTTTTTCACTAAAACCGACTCAAAAAATTTAATTTTCAATGAATTTTGGATTTTCTTGTTGGAAAATCTTCTCGGAATGTTTATTAACAAGTTTCATATACGCAAGAATTTTTTTGGGAAAAATAAATAGCCAGCAGCCACAGCCGCTTGTAGCAGACAGTCGTTTTTTTGGTTTTTTTTATTTTTTTTCACTAAAACCGACTCAAAAAATTTAATTTTCAATGAATTTTGGATTTTCTTGTTGGAAAATCTTCTCGGAATGTTTATTAACAAGTTTTATATACGCAAGAATTTTTTTGGGAAAAATAAATAGCCAGCAGCCCCAGCCGCTTGTAGCAGACAGTCGTTTTTTTGATTTTTTTTTCACTATAACCGACTCAAAAAATTTATTTTTCAATGAATTTTTGATTTTCTTTTTGGAAAATCTTCTCGGAATGTTTATTAACAAGTTTTATATACGCAAGAATTTTTTTGAAAAAAATAAATAGCCAGCAGCCCCAGCCGCTTGTAGCAGACAGTCGTTTTTTTGATTTTTTTTTATTCTTTTTCACTAAAACCGACTCAAAAAATTTATTTTTCAATGAATTTTGGATTTTCTTGTTGGAAAATCTTCTAGGAATGTTTATTAACAAGTTTTATATACGCAAGAATTTTTTTGAAAAAAATAAATAGCCAGCAGCCCCAGCCGCTTGTAGCAGACAGTCGTTTTTTTTATTTTTTTTCACTAAAACCGACTCAAAAAATTTAATTTTCAATGAATTTTGGATTTTCTTGTTGGAAAATCTTCTCGGAATGTTTATTAACAAGTTTCATATACGCAAGAATTTTTTTGGGAAAAATAAATAGCCAGCAGCCCCAGCCGCTTGTAGCAGACAGTCGTTTTTTTTTCATTTTTTTCACTAAAATTGACTAAAAAAATTTATTTATTAATGTATTTTTATTTTTCTTTTTGGAAAACCTTCTTGGAATGTTTATTAGCAGGTTTTTTATTTGTAAAAATTTTTTTTGGAAAAATTTATAGCCAGCAGCTCCAATTTGCTAGTGGTGGCATTTAGTGTAGCGTCGACGCCTATGGTTTTGTCTGCTGTCTGCCGGCTGGCGGCTCGCTAGTTTCACCGCGCTAATTTTTACCTCAGATCCTCTTGAAGAGATTCTAAGTATTATCCCATTTTTCGTTTGTTAATTAGCAACAGCATAAACAAAGATAACAAGTATTGCAAAAAAGATTGAAAATCAAAGATGACACTCTTTCAGTATTTTGTCTCGTATTTGAAGAAAAATAAGCTAAAAATTCATTTTATTATTTATAATTGTTTGTTATGAATACTAGAACAGAAACTATATTTGATTTTTGCCTTCTGTAAAATTTTATTAATAATATCAGACCGTTCGTATTTACCCAAGAAAATTGGAAAACTGGGGTAAATCCGAACGGTATTTTTAATAATTTTTTTTTACATCAGAGCCACACAAAATTGTTTTTATTTCATTACACTATTATTTTAACATTATAAAAGTACATAGAAAAAAGTTTTTCTTTCTATACGTATCCTCGTTAGTAATTAATAAGCAGAAACTTAATCTCTGTTCTCTCGAAGGAGTGTTTTAATTTTTTTGCCAAATGGTTTGTTGAAAAAACTTTTTCAGGATCTTAATAAAATTTGGTATTCTACGGTTTTTGGGGTCGCTAATTACCAATTTGAAGTCAGTTTTTCAAAATTCAAAATGGCGGACGAGAATTAAAAAATTCATTGGATTTGCTCGAATATTGTTACTCGGGGGGTTTCAGGGTTAGCAAATTTGATCATTTTTAAAAATAAGTTTTAGGAAAGTCCGCCATTTTGAATTTAAAAAATTTGACTTTTATTTTTGTATTTACATTCAATCACTTCAAAATACTTTCTGTACCAAGTTATGCAAAAATCCGTTATGATTTGATAAAGTTATTGAAGGTTTTAATTGTGTAATGCATTTTAATTTTTAACCTGTTTGATTTTTGTATTTATATATGATGCATTATTACATAATAGGTTTATTATCGTATTTTTTTTGAGTTTTTATATAAGTTTAACAATTGCAATACTTTAAATTTATTTTCCCTAAGATTTTTCTGAAATACAGTGGCGTTCGTATTTACCCCCATATTTTAGGAAAGTTGCAAAGTATCGAGGTAAATACGAACGCTAAGTTTCCTGCGATTGTAATTTATCAAAAATTTTTTCTACCCCATAAAATTGTTATATGGAAGTAAAGTAACAACTTCATGCACCAGAATACCGGAAGTATTTTTTTTTTAAAGAAAAAACTTATGTTATTGTTGAAACTTACTAAAAGCGTTCGGATTTACCCCAGTTGACCCTATTATTATTATTATTAAAATTTAAATAAAATAAAGAAATCGATTTTTTCACCTTTTATGGTATTGTTCAATTAAAAAAATATTAAAAGGGACAGATCATTATTTTTCGACCAAGTTCGTTGCAGTCTAATTTTAAAAGAATTTAGAAATGATTGTTTATGATATCTGGGAAACAAAATTAATTTGTTAGAATTTTCATAACACATAATTTCATTACTTATAATTAATGAACCCTAAGTCAAATTTTCATTTCTTTGAATTTTTATTTAACAGAAAAAAGGAATTATTTTTGTATTAATTTATATTAATTATTTCATACATTTATTTTCAATTGGAGTAACAGGATTTTGGAATAGTTCAATACGTCCTTCCATATTTTATGTGTTTAATAAAAATAGAATTTTCGATGCACAACGAGAGCGGAAATTATTGGAAGTATCGATGGTCTGGCAATTGCTAAGAATTTGTGAATGTGGATGGAAAATTTCAATAGTCTTCGATTGAGTCAAATTTTAGATGAGTATTATTCTAATCGAGGAATTTCATTTAATAGAAATATAAAAGCCAGCGAGAAAGAACGAAATTTTATTCATATTACACCTGGAACTATCATAGAAAAAGAGGTAATTTAAATAATTTTAATTATTATTTGCCACACTTATTTTATACACATTAATTCAATTTTACAAAAGTAAATTGAGCCGCTGGATTCTAGAAGGGTACGTAAATTTTTTTTAATAAAAAACTTTCCATCTTTTTCCGATTTCGAAATATAAGAGAAAAACTGGTTTTTTGGAAACGTAAAATTTAATTGTTTTTTTTACTTCAACTCGCGCTAGCTCAGTCAATTTTACGAGTTTTCAATGAAACAAAAACGAAAATACGTGTTATTATACCCTATGAGTGACTAAAAAAGTTGTTTTGATTAAAAATAAATAAAGTTATTAATTTTTTATTGAGGCATTGCAAAAAACGTGAAGTGCAATTTTCTCAATGCGGGGAAGTTCGACAAATTTTCAGCAGCAACAAACATCCAGTGAGAAAGTTGTTCATTAAGGTCCAAAGAAGATTTCTGGAAAGTTACAATCCAATTGAACAATTAATAACAAAATGGCAAATGTTTAAACTTTCAAGTTGTGCGAGCGGCTGAAAGTTTGGCATGTGTTTGCTACGTAATAATACAATCGAGCTTATTATGGTAGCAAACACATGCCAAACTTTCAGCCTCTCGCGCAACTTGAAAGTTTAAACATTTGCCATTTTGTTATTAATTGTTCAATTGCATTGTAACTTTCCAGAAAACTTATTTGGATCTTAATGAACAACTTTCTCACTGGAAGTTTGTTGCTGCTGAAAATTAGTCGAACTTCTCCGCATTGAGAATATTGCACTTCACGAATTTCGCAATGTCTCATAAAAAAATTAATTTTTTTTATTTTTAAGGCTGTTATAGCGGAAATAGAATTAACATTAGTAATTTAATGAAACTTAGTCCACTATTAGATAAATGTTTGAAAATTATGTAGCTAAATTTTCCAGACCTCTAGGTTCTTGTGAAAAAAGTTATAAGCGTTTAAGTTTTTTAACAATTAACATTGTGTCTTATGGGAATTAAGTACTTTTTCATACATATTTATTCACCACAAAATAATTAACATTGGGAAATTGATGAAACTTTTTTTATACAAAACAGATATTTAATGATTAAATATCTGTTTAAAAAAGTGTTATTAGGTTCTTGTGGGAGCTGCAATAAATTAATTTTTAACAATATTTCACGTTTTATACGTTAAATTGAACAGATGTCAGAATGTCTGGCACACTTGATCATGCATATTATACGTTAATTATGCGCGCTAAATTTTAAAATGTTGATTCTGATAGCACGTATAAAATACGTTATATTAAAAAAGAAAATAAATGTTAATAAATAAAATTGATTATATATTTTTTAAAATTAAATTAAAGTTAATTAAATAGAGGGATAATTGTTTTATTAAAGTAAACAAGTCATATAGCAACCATTTGCAACTCGACTGACGTAATGTGGTGTTGCCAGACGTTTCACAGTACCGAGAAAGTCAAATCATAAAATAATGGTTTCTGTTTTGATTAGTTCAGTCAATCCCTATAACCTCCTTAATCAAAACAATATTTTTAGTCACTCGTAGTTTCCAAAAAACCAGTTTTTCTCTTATATTTCGAAATCGGAAAAAGATGGAAAGTTTTTTATTAAGAAAAAAAAGATGCGCAATCGAATTCTGTATAAGAATATGCTCGAAAAAATATTAAAATTCGAAAAATGAATTTTGAGTGTCCAGAGGACTTCGTTTTCCGGCCGAAAAAATTGACGTGCCCTTCTAGAATCCAGCGGCTCAATTTAGCAAATATTAAATTTTTATTTTATTTCTCGTTATAATAAAATAATTAATAATAACAATAATTATTATTCTAAAATTTCTGATTGAATTTTAGATTGTCGCGTGAAATTTATTCAATTATTATTTAATAATTTTTTTAGTTGTAAAATTATAAACAAGTGTTCTGAAAGTGATTTTTTCCTCTCATTTTCCTTGACATTTTAAAAAAAAGTAGACCTCAATCCGATTATTAGAACGGAAAATATTGCAATTTAAAATTTTTTGTTATTATTGCAAATCTCGTAAACTAACAAATATTTTAAGCTGAAATTTACGTTAAAGATTAGTCTTACTATATATAACAAAATTCCAAAGTTTCATTGCAATCGGTTAACCTTCTCCGAAAAAGTCAAAATCTCACCTGGAATCGCACTTTTATTAAAACAGAAAGTAGAAAAATAGGAAACGAATTAGGTAACGTTACTTAAAATTCGACAAATTACGACAATAATTAGAACACGTGGAAATTTGTCTTACTATGAATAATCTGTAAGAAAGTTTTCGTTTACCTGATAATTTCTTTCAAACTTAGTTATTTATAAAACAATTATTTTTTTAAATATTTAGTTAAAAAATTATATCTCAAAGTCTTAATTCTGTAGAGCAATTTTGAAACACGGAAAGAAAATAATTAGGGTCAGTTGGGGTTAATGGGGACAAAATCGTTATTTTTCACAAATTACGCAAGTTTCTTCCTTTAAGGGTATGTGGGCAAAGGACGTTTTTTTGTAGTTTTAAACTTACTCTGAAATAAAAAATGATTTTGGGTTAAAATTTTGGAGAAATGATTTCGTTTGGTACAAGGAATCTCGCTGTTCTATTCATTTACCATAACTTAACGCAAAAATAATAAAAATAAAGCAATGAATAGTAAAATAATGTATTATATCATAGTTCATTCAGCGGCCACTCGCTCGAATTGGCGCTGTTTACTGGAGCACTGACACACTCAAGCAACGTCTGTGTATGCGCCGCCATCTTTGTTTTTATTTTCGTTTAAAAATGTCACTTTTTAAACATAATTTTTTAATAATTTAACTCAAAATTATGTATTTTTCAAAGAACAGCGAGATTCCTTGTACCCTAATCTATCATCCCTCAAAATTTTAGACAAAAATCTTTTCTCATTTTAGGATGAAACGTATACTACCAAAACACATTTTCCCATACTAGGTCACGTGGGAGGTTCCCACATAACCTTAAAAGGTAATATTTGCGGATTTATTTTTTTTAAGTTGTTATTTACGTTCCCAGGATTAATTTTATGCAGCAGAAAAAAATTTAGATAAGCTTTAAACGCATGAAACTGACTGTCCCCATTTACCTCAAAATTTAGAAAATTTCATAAAATTTGGGGTAAATGGGGACAGCATAGTATCTAAGAAAGTTTTAGGAAAAAAGTTTCCTTAACTATATTACTGTACTAAGGGATGAAAAAACTTGAAAAAAATTTGTAGTAGATATATAATAGTTGAACCAATTGAAATTTTTTTTACTTTTTTTTTCATTTCAGTATTTTGTTTCGCATTTGAAAAAAAACAGACTTAAAAATCATACCAAATTTTTTTCTAATTCCTTATGACTCCCATAACAGAAATTCACTCGAATTTTTGATTTTTGTTAATTTGGTTAATAATGACAAGCTGTCTCCATTTACCCCAAAAAATTTGAAAATACAGGGTAAATGGGGACAGCTTGTTATTATTAACCAAATCGACAAAAATCAAAAATTCAAGTGAATTTCTGTTATAGAAGTCATAAGGAATAAGAAAAAAATTTGGTATGATTTTTAAGTCTGTTTTCTTTGAAATGCGAGACAAAATTCTGAAACAGTTTGACTTTGATTTTCAAGTTTTTATGCATTGAGCGATAACTTTTTTTATCTTGCTGCCAATTGTCAAGATAAAAGCTTGGTAAAACTCAAAACCTCTTGCAGGTGATCTGAGATAAAAATATTGACATTGAACTTAATTTTAAAACTGTAAATTAAGCTCCAAAACCTCTTGTCCCCATTTACCCCAACTGACCCCTATTTCAAATTTTGTGAAAGAATTTCAACTTTTATAAAATTACTTTCAAATCCTGGAAAATATGCTAAAAAGCATAATTTTCACATAAAAAATTCTAAAGTTTAGAAAAATGTTTATTAACCTAATATTACAGGATTTAATAAAATATAGTATTATTTACTAATGAATTAAATAAGTTATATCAATTTTAAATAATAATTTATTTTTTAGTATTCCTATTATAAAAAGGTCATACCCATAAGGCGTATCGCATTTTCGTGATAATCGTTAAATTTCAATTAGTCAAATATAATATTAAATTATAATATTATAATATATTAGCATAAAATATCATATTTTTATGTGTGCAAAGAAGCTCTTTTTAAAACGGTGTGTAAAGTGATTCACATTACGCACTGAAATTTACTTCACTCACCGAAATTTATCTCACATAATATAAGGATTGTTTTAGACCATACAAAACCACAAAATTAAAGAAAGAACTTTACTTTTAAATTTATACACTACTGCTTAATGATATTTTTCCTGATCTTCGATTGATTTTTTTTATTCTATACAATCGAAATTATTCTAATAAAGAGTTCAATCAATGTCTGAGCAGCTTTACTAAACGTGTTTTTGCTCGCTGATTATAAATTCGGAGTCTAAATTGACGATTGTGTAGTTCAAAGTCCAGGGTGTCCAGCGGTCAGGGAAGTCATGGAAAAGTCAGGGAAATTTTTTTGTCAGGGAAAAGTCAAGGAATGTCAGAAAATTTAATTAAGTCAGGGAACGTTTTAAAAATTTGTCAAAAATGAACATTTTTATGAATTTTTAAAATTTTTCATTTCAGGAAAAAGTTTATAATGCTAATAAATAAAACGTTTTTTATTATCTTAAAAATACTTTAATATTTGATACTTTTCATTTTTTTAATATTAAATATTTATTTAAAAAAAGTTAAAAAAGGTTAGAAAAAAGTCAGGGAATTTTTTTTGTACTTCTTGCTGTACATCCTGAAGTGGTTAAAATTTGCACAGAAGCGGATTCACAGACAAACCTGCAGAGAGCTACAATGGTGAATTGAATTGAATTAAATTATTAGGTAAATGGAAGGAAAAATAAAATTGTAGATTACATTGAGAGAAAAAATTAGTCGGGGTTACCATTTTTGAGATGACAATTTTTAGTTAGTAAACTATTCTGTTGCTAATTCATTACTTGTGGTTACTATTTTTTTTGGTTGGAATAACTATTTTCTTAGTTCGATTAACTAATTAGTATGTTGGAATAACTATTTAATTAGTTACCTCACTATCTAAATGGTAACAGTAACTAATATAAATTAGCAAAAATACTTTTACTAACGTAATGGTAATCGCAACTAATCGTTTCTCTCAGTGTAAAAGTTTCTCTTTTATCATTTACTTTTTCTATTATCAATTTTTTAAATTATAGAAAAAGTATCAAATACATACAATAATGACCATATATAATAATAATAGAATATATCAATAAATAATTTATGACCAATTATTATATAGAAGAATTGAATAAAATAAAATAAAAAGGTTAATGAAAGGAAAAGAAGTCTTGTTGTAGAATGGAGTTCGTTTTTTACTATTTATTTATTTTTAAATTTTATCATTATTTTAAATAATAAAATTACATTATAACAATGATTTTAAAATTTTTGTATACACGGAAAAAATTTTGGTGGACCGGTTGTACTGGTTAGTTTAAAAATTTTTCTACTTTAAAAATGGACATCAGTTATCCCGGTTTGGTGCAACAAATGTTCTCCACAGTTTTGCGTTACGCTTTTTAGTAAAACTAATTTCATGTCAGAACGGACAACAAAAATTGTCTTTAAGATAATTCTAGTCAAGCAAAACAGAAGAATTTTTTTTAGCAGTTTTCAAGGAAACATCTTTGTTGGTATAATGTACTTTTAGTTTGTACAAACATATTTCTATGATAACTAGAAGAAAATATTCCGGCTTTTTTGTTTTCTTAGATATAACTTATACACAATTTTTGTCTGCCTTTCTGAGGTGAAAACCCGGTAGAAATTCCCTCAGAGAACCAGTAAAAAATGTACTTTTAGTTTGTACAAACATATTTCCTTGATAACTAGAAGAAACTATTCCTGCTTTTTTGTTTTCTTAGATATAACTTGTACACAATTTTTGTCTGCCTATCTGAGGTGAAAACCCGGTAGAAATACCCTCAGAAAACCAGTAAAAAATGTACTTTTAGTTTGTACAAACATATTTCCTTGATAACTAGAAAGAAATATTCCAGCTTTTTTGTTTTCTTAGATATAACTTGTACACAATTTTTGTCTGCCTTTCTGAGGTGAAAACCCGGTAGAAATACCCTCAGAGAACCAGTGAAAAATATACTTTTCGTTTATACAAACATATTTCCTTGATAACTAGAAGAAACTATTCCTGCTTTTTTGTTTTCTTAGATATAACTTGTACACAATTTTTGTCTGGCTTTCTGAGGTGAAAACCCGGTAGAAATTACCTCAGAGATCCAGTGAAAAATATACTTTTAGTTTGTACAAATATATTTCTATGATAACTAGAAGAAAATATTCCGGCTTTTTTTTTCTTAGATATAACTTGTACACAATTTTTGTCTGGCTTTCTGAGGTGAAAACCCGGTAGAAATACCCTCAGAGAACCAGTGAAAAATGTACTTTTAGTTTGTACAAACATATTTCCTTGATAACTAGAAAAAAATATTCCTGCTTTTTTGTTTTCTTAGATATAACTTGTACACAATTTTTGTCTGGCTTTCTGAGGTGAAAACCCGGTAGAAATACCCTCAGAGAACCAGTGAAAAATGTACTTTTAGTTTGTACAAACATATTTGCTTGATAACTAGAAGAAAATATTCCTGCTTTTTTGTTTTCTTAGATATAACTTGTACACAATTTTTGTCTGGCTTTCTGAGGTGAAAACCCGGTAGAAATACCCTCAGAGAACCAGTGAAAAATGTACTTTTAGTTTGTACAAACATATTTCCTTGATAACTGGAAAAAAATATTTCTTCCTTCTCGTTCTCTTAGATTTAGCTTGTACACAATTTTTGTTTGGCTTTCTGAGGTGAAAACCCTGTAGAAATTCCCTCAGAGAACCAGTGAAAAATATACTTTTAGTTTGTACAAATATATTTCTATGATAACTAGAAGAAAATATTCCGGCTTTTTTTTTCTTAGATATAACTTTTACACAATTTTTGTCTGGCTTTCTGAGGTGAAAACCCGGTAGAAATACCCTCAGAGAACCAGTGAAAAATGTACTTTTAGTTTGTACAAACATATTTCCTTGATAACTGGAAAAAAATATTTCTTCCTTCTCGATCTCTTAGATTTAGCTTGTACACAATTTTGGTCTGCCTTGCTGAGGTGAAAACCCGATAGAAATTCCCTCAGAGAACCAGTAAAAAATGTACTTTTAGTTTGTACAAACATATTTCCTAGATAACTAGAAGAAACTATTCCTGCCCTCCCGTTCTCTTAGATATAGCTTGTACTCAATTTTTGTCTGGGTTTCTGAGGAGAAATCCCAGTAGAAATACCCTTAGAGAACGAGTGAAAAATGTACTTTTAGTTTGTACAAACATATTTCCTTGATAACTGGAAGAAAATATTCCGGCTTTTTTGTTTTCTTAGATATAACTTATACACAATTTTTGTCTGCCTTTCTGAGGTGAAAACCCGGTAGAAATACCCTCAGAGAACCAGTGAAAAATGTACTTTTAGTTTGTAGAAACATATTTCCTTGATAACTAGAAGAAAATATTCCGGCTTTTTTTTCTTACATATAACTTTTACACAATTTTTGTCTGGCTTTCTGAGGTGAAAACCCGGTAGAAATACCCTTAGAGAACCAGTGAAAAATATACTTTTAGTTTGTACAAACATATTTCTATGATAACTAGAAAAACTATTCCTGCTTTTTTGTTTTCTTAGATATAACTTGTACACAATTTTTGTATGGCTTTCTGAGGTGAACACCTAGTAGCAATACCCTCAGAGAACCTGTGAAAAATATACTGTTAGTTTGACAACGCTTTTTTTTCAAAACGGGAAAAAGTAATTGATTGGTAATTCAGTTTGTAATATTTCCTAAATTTTTTCAGGTCCTTGAAGAAGAACAAACAAAAATGTATATTAAAGTTATTTTTACAATAATGCAGTGCAAATAATAAAAAATTAGAAAACAGGTGTCTAATACTAAATTTTATCAGCTGGTAATTCAAGTATCGATAATTGACATGTTAAAAATTATGTCAAAATCAAAAGATAAAGGAAGCAGATATATTAAACTGAGCTAGTTAGAAAGTATTAAAACTATTGAAGATTTTTTTTTTTGGTGGACAAAACGTTAATGAGAGGGAATTAAAATTTCGCCGAAGGTAAAACTTCATTATTTCAATTTTGGTATTCTTTTTTTCATTTGTTATTTTTTTTCAATTAAAATTTTACAAATTATTCACCCTTTCTGTGGTGATAACACTGTAGAAATACCCTCAGAGAACCAGGGAAAAATGTACTTTTAGTTTGTACAAACATATTTCTATGATAACTAGAAGAAAATATTCCGGCTTTTTTGTTTTCTTAGATATAACTTATACACAATTTTTGTCTGCCTTTCTGAGGTGAAAACCCGGTAGAAATTCCCTCAGAGAACCAGTAAAAAATGTACTTTTAGTTTGTACAAACATATTTCCTTGATAACTAGAAGAAACTATTCCTGCTTTTTTGTTTTCTTAGATATAACTTGTACACAATTTTTGTCTGCCTATCTGAGGTGAAAACCCGGTAGAAATACCCTCAGAAAACCAGTAAAAAATGTACTTTTAGTTTGTACAAACATATTTCCTTGATAACTAGAAAGAAATATTCCAGCTTTTTTGTTTTCTTAGATATAACTTGTACACAATTTTTGTCTGCCTTTCTGAGGTGAAAACCCGGTAGAAATACCCTCAGAGAACCAGTGAAAAATATACTTTTCGTTTATACAAACATATTTCCTTGATAACTAGAAGAAACTATTCCTGCTTTTTTGTTTTCTTAGATATAACTTGTACACAATTTTTGTCTGGCTTTCTGAGGTGAAAACCCGGTAGAAATTACCTCAGAGATCCAGTGAAAAATATACTTTTAGTTTGTACAAATATATTTCTATGATAACTAGAAGAAAATATTCCGGCTTTTTTTTTCTTAGATATAACTTGTACACAATTTTTGTCTGGCTTTCTGAGGTGAAAACCCGGTAGAAATACCCTCAGAGAACCAGTGAAAAATGTACTTTTAGTTTGTACAAACATATTTCCTTGATAACTAGAAAAAAATATTCCTGCTTTTTTGTTTTCTTAGATATAACTTGTACACAATTTTTGTCTGGCTTTCTGAGGTGAAAACCCGGTAGAAATACCCTCAGAGAACCAGTGAAAAATGTACTTTTAGTTTGTACAAACATATTTGCTTGATAACTAGAAGAAAATATTCCTGCTTTTTTGTTTTCTTAGATATAACTTGTACACAATTTTTGTCTGGCTTTCTGAGGTGAAAACCCGGTAGAAATACCCTCAGAGAACCAGTGAAAAATGTACTTTTAGTTTGTACAAACATATTTCCTTGATAACTGGAAAAAAATATTTCTTCCTTCTCGTTCTCTTAGATTTAGCTTGTACACAATTTTTGTTTGGCTTTCTGAGGTGAAAACCCTGTAGAAATTCCCTCAGAGAACCAGTGAAAAATATACTTTTAGTTTGTACAAATATATTTCTATGATAACTAGAAGAAAATATTCCGGCTTTTTTTTTCTTAGATATAACTTTTACACAATTTTTGTCTGGCTTTCTGAGGTGAAAACCCGGTAGAAATACCCTCAGAGAACCAGTGAAAAATGTACTTTTAGTTTGTACAAACATATTTCCTTGATAACTGGAAAAAAATATTTCTTCCTTCTCGATCTCTTAGATTTAGCTTGTACACAATTTTGGTCTGCCTTGCTGAGGTGAAAACCCGATAGAAATTCCCTCAGAGAACCAGTAAAAAATGTACTTTTAGTTTGTACAAACATATTTCCTAGATAACTAGAAGAAACTATTCCTGCCCTCCCGTTCTCTTAGATATAGCTTGTACTCAATTTTTGTCTGGGTTTCTGAGGAGAAATCCCAGTAGAAATACCCTTAGAGAACGAGTGAAAAATGTACTTTTAGTTTGTACAAACATATTTTCTTGATAACTAGAAAAAAATATTCCTGCTTTTTTGTTTTCTTAGATATAACTTGTACACAATTTTTGTCTGGCTTTCTGAGGTGAAAACCCGGTAGAAATACCCTCAGAGAACCAGTGAAAAATGTACTTTTAGTTTGTACAAACATATTTCCTTGATAACTAGAAAAAAATATTCCTGCTTTTTTGTTTTCTTAGATATAACGTGTACACAATTTTTGTCTGGCTTTCTGAGGTGAAAACCCGGTAGAAATACCCTCAGAGAACCAGTGAAAAATGTACTTTTAGTTTGTACAAACATATTTGCTTGATAACTAGAAGAAACTATTCCTGCTTTTTTGTTTTCTTAGATATAACTTGTACACAATTTTTGTCTGGCTTTCTGAGGTGAAAACCCGGTAGAAATACCCTCAGAGAACCAGTGAAAAATGTACTTTTAGTTTGTACAAACAGATTTCCTTGATAACTAGAAAAAAATATTCCTGCTTTTTTGTTTTCTTAGATATAACTTGTACATTATTTTTGTCTGGCTTTCTGAGGTGAAAACCCGGTAGAAATTCCCTCAGAGAACTAGTGGAAAATATACTTTTAGTTTGTACAAACTTATTTCCTTGATAACTGGAAGAAAATATTCCGGCTTTTTTGTTTTCTTAGATATAACTTATACACAATTTTTGTCTGCCTTTCTGAGGTGAAAACCCGGTAGAAATACCCTCAGAGAACCAGTGAAAAATGTACTTTTAGTTTGTAGAAACATATTTCCTTGATAACTAGAAGAAAATATTCCGGCTTTTTTTTCTTACATATAACTTTTACACAATTTTTGTCTGGCTTTCTGAGGTGAAAACCCGGTAGAAATACCCTTAGAGAACCAGTGAAAAATATACTTTTAGTTTGTACAAACATATTTCTATGATAACTAGAAAAACTATTCCTGCTTTTTTGTTTTCTTAGATATAACTTGTACACAATTTTTGTATGGCTTTCTGAGGTGAACACCTAGTAGCAATACCCTCAGAGAACCTGTGAAAAATATACTGTTAGTTTGACAACGCTTTTTTTTCAAAACGGGAAAAAGTAATTGATTGGTAATTCAGTTTGTAATATTTCCTAAATTTTTTCAGGTCCTTGAAGAAGAACAAACAAAAATGTATATTAAAGTTATTTTTACAATAATGCAGTGCAAATAATAAAAAATTAGAAAACAGGTGTCTAATACTAAATTTTATCAGCTGGTAATTCAAGTATCGATAATTGACATGTTAAAAATTATGTCAAAATCAAAAGATAAAGGAAGCAGATATATTAAACTGAGCTAGTTAGAAAGTATTAAAACTATTGAAGATTTTTTTTTTTGGTGGACAAAACGTTAATGAGAGGGAATTAAAATTTCGCCGAAGGTAAAACTTCATTATTTCAATTTTGGTATTCTTTTTTTCATTTGTTATTTTTTTTCAATTAAAATTTTACAAATTATTCACCCTTTCTGTGGTGATAACACTGTAGAAATACCCTCAGAGAACCAGGGAAAAATGTACTTTTAGTTTGTACAAACATATTTCCTTGGTAACTAGAAGAAAGTATTCCTGCTTTTTTGTTTTCTTAGATATAACTTGTACACAATTTTTGTCTGCCTTTCTGAGGTGAAAACCCGGTAGAAATACCCTCAGAGAACCAGTGAAAAATGTACTTTTAGTTTGTACAAACATATTTCCCTGATAACTAGAAGAAACTATTCCAGCTTTTTTGTTTTCATAGATATAACTTGTACACAATTTTTGTCTGGCTTTCTGAGGTGAAAACCCGGTAGAAATTCCCTCACAGAACTAGTGAAAAATATACTTTTAGTTTGTACAAACATATTTCCCTGATAACTAGAAGAAAATATTCCGGCTTTTTTTTTCTTAGATATAACTTGTACATTATTTTTGTCTGGCTTTCTGAGGTGAAAACCCGGTAGAAATACCCTCAGAGAACAAAATAACCCTCAGTGAAAAATGTACTTTTAGTTTGTACAAACATATTTCCCTGATAACTAGAAGAAACTATTCCTGCTTTTTTGTTTTCTTAGATATAATTTGTACACAATTTTTTGTCTGGCTTTCTGAGGTAAAAACTCGGTAGAAATACCCTCAGAGAACCAGTGAAAAATGTACTTTTAGTTTGTACAAACATATTTTCTTGATAACTAGAAAAAAATATTCCTGCTTTTTTGTTTTCTTAGATATAACTTGTACACAATTTTTGTCTGGCTTTCTGAGGTGAAAACCCGGTAGAAATACCCTCAGAGAACCAGTGAAAAATGTACTTTTAGTTTGTACAAACATATTTCCTTGATAACTAGAAAAAAATATTCCTGCTTTTTTGTTTTCTTAGATATAACGTGTACACAATTTTTGTCTGGCTTTCTGAGGTGAAAACCCGGTAGAAATACCCTCAGAGAACCAGTGAAAAATGTACTTTTAGTTTGTACAAACATATTTGCTTGATAACTAGAAGAAACTATTCCTGCTTTTTTGTTTTCTTAGATATAACTTGTACACAATTTTTGTCTGGCTTTCTGAGGTGAAAACCCGGTAGAAATACCCTCAGAGAACCAGTGAAAAATGTACTTTTAGTTTGTACAAACATATTTCCTTGATAACTGGAAAAAAATATTTCTTCCTTCTCGTTCTCTTAGATTTAGCTTGTACACAATTTTTGTTTGGCTTTCTGAGGTGAAAACCCGGTAGATATTCCCTCAGAGAACCAGTGAAAAATATACTTTTAGTTTGTGCAAATATATTTCTATGATAACTAGAAGAAAATATTCCGGCTTTTTTTTTCTTAGATATAACTTTTACACAATTTTTGTCTGGCTTTCTGAGGTGAAAACCCGGTAGAAATACCCTTAGAGAACCAGTGAAAAATGTACTTTTAGTATGTACAAACAGATTTCCTTGATAACTAGAAAAAAATATTCCTTTTTTTGTTTTCTTAGATATAACTTGTACATTATTTTTGTCTGGCTTTCTGAGGTGAAAACCCCGTAGAAATACCCTCAGAGAACCAGTGAAAAATGTACTTTTAGTTTGTACAAACAGATTTCCTTGATAACTAGAAAAAAATATTCCTGCTTTTTTGTTTTCTTAGATATAACTTGTACATTATTTTTGTCTGGCTTTCTGAGGTGAAAACCCGGTAGAAATTCCCTCAGAGAACTAGTGGAAAATATACTTTTAGTTTGTACAAACTTATTTCCCTGATAACTAGAAAAAAATATTCCTGTTTTTTTGTTTTCTTAGATATAACTTGTACACAATTTTTGTCTGCCTTTCTAAGGTGAAACCCCGGTAGAAATACCCTCAGAGAGCCATTTAAAAATGTACTTTTAGTATGTACAAACATATTTCTTTGATAACTGCAAAAAAATATTTCTGCCTTCTCGTTCTTTTTGATATAGTTTGTACTCAATTTTGTCTGCCTTTCTGAGGTGAAATCCCGGTAGAAATACCTTTAGAGAACCAGTGAAAAATGTACTTTTAGTTTGTACAAACAGATTTCCTTGATAACTAGAAAAACTATTCCTGCTTTTTTGTTTTCTTAGATATAACTTGTACACAATTTTTGTATGGCTTTCTGAGGTGAACACCTAGTAGCAATACCCTCAGAGAACCTGTGAAAAATATACTGTTAGTTTGACAACGCTTTTTTTTCAAAACGGGAAAAAGTAATTGATTGGTAATTCAGTTTGTAATATTTCCTAAATTTTTTCAGGTCCTTGAAGAAGAACAAACAAAAATGTATATTAAAGTTATTTTTACAATAATGCAGTGCAAATAATAAAAAATTAGAAAACAGGTGTCTAATACTAAATTTTATCAGCTGGTAATTCAAGTATCGATAATTGACATGTTAAAAATTATGTCAAAATCAAAAGATAAAGGAAGCAGATATATTAAACTGAGCTAGTTAGAAAGTATTAAAACTATTGAAGATTTTTTTTTTTGGTGGACAAAACGTTAATGAGAGGGAATTAAAATTTCGCCGAAGGTAAAACTTCATTATTTCAATTTTGGTATTCTTTTTTTCATTTGTTATTTTTTTTCAATTAAAATTTTACAAATTATTCACCCTTTCTGTGGTGATAACACTGTAGAAATACCCTCAGAGAACCAGGGAAAAATGTACTTTTAGTTTGTACAAACATATTTCCTTGGTAACTAGAAGAAAGTATTCCTGCTTTTTTGTTTTCTTAGATATAACTTGTACACAATTTTTGTCTGCCTTTCTGAGGTGAAAACCCGGTAGAAATACCCTCAGAGAACCAGTGAAAAATGTACTTTTAGTTTGTACAAACATATTTCCCTGATAACTAGAAGAAACTATTCCAGCTTTTTTGTTTTCTTAGATATAATTTGTACACAATTTTTTGTCTGGCTTTCTGAGGTAAAAACTCGGTAGAAATACCCTCAGAGAACCAGTGAAAAATGTACTTTTAGTTTGTACAAACATATTTTCTTGATAACTAGAAAAAAATATTCCTGCTTTTTTGTTTTCTTAGATATAACTTGTACACAATTTTTGTCTGGCTTTCTGAGGTGAAAACCCGGTAGAAATACCCTCAGAGAACCAGTGAAAAATGTACTTTTAGTTTGTACAAACATATTTCCTTGATAACTAGAAAAAAATATTCCTGCTTTTTTGTTTTCTTAGATATAACGTGTACACAATTTTTGTCTGGCTTTCTGAGGTGAAAACCCGGTAGAAATACCCTCAGAGAACCAGTGAAAAATGTACTTTTAGTTTGTACAAACATATTTGCTTGATAACTAGAAGAAACTATTCCTGCTTTTTTGTTTTCTTAGATATAACTTGTACACAATTTTTGTCTGGCTTTCTGAGGTGAAAACCCGGTAGAAATACCCTCAGAGAACCAGTGAAAAATGTACTTTTAGTTTGTACAAACATATTTCCTTGATAACTGGAAAAAAATATTTCTTCCTTCTCGTTCTCTTAGATTTAGCTTGTACACAATTTTTGTTTGGCTTTCTGAGGTGAAAACCCGGTAGATATTCCCTCAGAGAACCAGTGAAAAATATACTTTTAGTTTGTGCAAATATATTTCTATGATAACTAGAAGAAAATATTCCGGCTTTTTTTTTCTTAGATATAACTTTTACACAATTTTTGTCTGGCTTTCTGAGGTGAAAACCCGGTAGAAATACCCTTAGAGAACCAGTGAAAAATGTACTTTTAGTATGTACAAACAGATTTCCTTGATAACTAGAAAAAAATATTCCTTTTTTTGTTTTCTTAGATATAACTTGTACATTATTTTTGTCTGGCTTTCTGAGGTGAAAACCCCGTAGAAATACCCTCAGAGAACCAGTGAAAAATGTACTTTTAGTTTGTACAAACATATTTCCTTGATAACTGGAAAAAAATATTTCTTCCTTCTCGTTCTCTTAGATTTAGCTTGTACACAATTTTTGTTTGGCTTTCTGAGGTGAAAACCCGGTAGAAATTCCCTCAGAGAACTAGTGAAAAATATACTTTTAGTTTGTACAAACATATTTCCCTGATAACTAGAAGAAAATATTCCGGCTTTTTTGTTTTCTTAGATATAACTTGTACATTATTTTTGTCTGGCTTTCAGAGGTGAAAACCCGGTAGAAATACCCTTAGAGAACCAGTGAAAAATGTACTTTTAGTATGTACAAACAGATTTCCTTGATAACTAGAAAAAAATATTCCTTTTTTTGTTTTCTTAGATATAACTTGTACATTATTTTTGTCTGGCTTTCTGAGGTGAAAACCCCGTAGAAATACCCTCAGAGAACCAGTGAAAAATGTACTTTTAGTTTGTACAAACATATTTCCTTGATAACTAGAAGAAAATATTCCGGCTTTTTTGTTTTCTTAGATATAACTTATACACAATTTTTGTCTGCCTTTCTGAGGTGAAAACCCGGTAGAAATTCCCTCAGAGAACCAGTAAAAAATGTACTTTTAGTTTGTACAAACATATTTCCTTGATAACTAGAAGAAACTATTCCTGCTTTTTTGTTTTCTTAGATATAACTTGTACACAATTTTTGTCTGCCTATCTGAGGTGAAAACCCGGTAGAAATACCCTCAGAAAACCAGTAAAAAATGTACTTTTAGTTTGTACAAACATATTTCCTTGATAACTAGAAAGAAATATTCCAGCTTTTTTGTTTTCTTAGATATAACTTGTACACAATTTTTGTCTGCCTTTCTGAGGTGAAAACCCGGTAGAAATACCCTCAGAGAACCAGTGAAAAATGTACTTTTAGTTTGTACAAACATATTTCCTTGATAACTAGAAGAAACTATTCCTGCTTTTTTGTTTTCTTAGATATAACTTGTACACAATTTTTGTCTGGCTTTCTGAGGTGAAAACCCGGTAGAAATTACCTCAGAGATCCAGTGAAAAATATACTTTTAGTTTGTACAAATATATTTCTATGATAACTAGAAGAAAATATTCCGGCTTTTTTTTTCTTAGATATAACTTGTACACAATTTTTGTCTGGCTTTCTGAGGTGAAAACCCGGTAGAAATACCCTCAGAGAACCAGTGAAAAATGTACTTTTAGTTTGTACAAACATATTTCCTTGATAACTAGAAAAAAATATTCCTGCTTTTTTGTTTTCTTAGATATAACTTGTACACAATTTTTGTCTGGCTTTCTGAGGTGAAAACCCGGTAGAAATACCCTCAGAGAACCAGTGAAAAATGTACTTTTAGTTTGTACAAACATATTTGCTTGATAACTAGAAGAAAATATTCCTGCTTTTTTGTTTTCTTAGATATAACTTGTACACAATTTTTGTCTGGCTTTCTGAGGTGAAAACCCGGTAGAAATACCCTCAGAGAACCAGTGAAAAATGTACTTTTAGTTTGTACAAACATATTTCCTTGATAACTGGAAAAAAATATTTCTTCCTTCTCGTTCTCTTAGATTTAGCTTGTACACAATTTTTGTTTGGCTTTCTGAGGTGAAAACCCTGTAGAAATTCCCTCAGAGAACCAGTGAAAAATATACTTTTAGTTTGTACAAATATATTTCTATGATAACTAGAAGAAAATATTCCGGCTTTTTTTTTCTTAGATATAACTTTTACACAATTTTTGTCTGGCTTTCTGAGGTGAAAACCCGGTAGAAATACCCTCAGAGAACCAGTGAAAAATGTACTTTTAGTTTGTACAAACATATTTCCTTGATAACTGGAAAAAAATATTTCTTCCTTCTCGATCTCTTAGATTTAGCTTGTACACAATTTTGGTCTGCCTTGCTGAGGTGAAAACCCGATAGAAATTCCCTCAGAGAACCAGTAAAACATGTACTTTTAGTTTGTACAAACATATTTCCTTGATAACTAGAAGAAACTATTCCTGCCCTCCCGTTCTCTTAGATATAGCTTGTACTCAATTTTTGTCTGGGTTTCTGAGGAGAAATCCCAGTAGAAATACCCTTAGAGAACGAGTGAAAAATGTACTTTTAGTTTGTACAAACATATTTCCTTGATAACTGGAAGAAAATATTCCGGCTTTTTTGTTTTCTTAGATATAACTTGTACACAATTTTTGTCTGCCTTTCTGAGGTGAAAACCCGGTAGAAATACCCTCAGAGAACCAGTGAAAAATGTACTTTTAGTTTGTACAAACATATTTCCTTGATAACTAGAAGAAAATATTCCGGCTTTTTTTTCTTACATATAACTTTTACACAATTTTTGTCTGGCTTTCTGAGGTGAAAACCCGGTAGAAATACCCTTAGAGAACCAGTGAAAAATGTACTTTTAGTATGTACAAACATATTTGAGGAGCAAATTTTCAAAACTTGATAAATCTATTTTTCAAAAAAATGGAGATAACCATAAATTTAATATTTTAAGGACCTCACAAATCGATCTGTCACTGTTAAATTTAAGGAAAAAAATTTATTAATTACAAATTTTTTATTTAAAAACTTATTGACATAACCAAGATGATTTACAATTTGTATGTTTTATATTAGAAAAAATTACCAGAACCTGTAAATCACTCAATTATGATAAAGTTCAATTAGAAACATAACGTCTTGAATATAAAAACATTGTTATAGAAATAAATTATTATAAATTTTTTATTTTAAAATTAACTCTAGTGGTTATGTGTGGAAAGTCATTTGTTTGAATTTCTCGAAATAAGAAAATATGGATTTATCAGGTTTTGAAAACTTGCTCCTCATTTCTATGATAACTAGAAGAAAATATTCCGGCTTTTTTGTTTTCTTAGATATAACTTGTACACAATTTTTGTTTGGCTTTCTGAGGTGAAAACCCGGTAGAAATTCCCTCAGAGAACCAGTGAAAAATGTACTGTTAGTTTGTACAACGCTTATTTCCTTCATAACTGGAAAAAGTAATTGATTGGTATTTCAGTTTGTATAACTTGTCCTACAATTTTTGTCTGGCTTTCTGAGGTGAAGAACCCGTAGACAATACCCTCAGAGAACCATGTATATTAAAGTTATTTTTACAATAATGCAGTGCAAATAATAAAAAATTAGAAACAGGTGTCTAATACTAAATTTTATCAGCTGGTAATTCAAGTATCGATAATTGACATGTTAAACAATTATTGTCAAAATCATAAGATAAAGGAAGCAGATATATTAAACTGAGCTAGTTAGAACAGTATAAAACTATTGAAGATTTTTGTTTTTGTGGACAAACGTTAATGAGAGGGAATTAAAATTTCCCGAAGGTAAAACTTCATTATTTCAATTTGGTATTCTTTTTTTCATTTGTTATTTTTTTCAATTAACTTTTACAAATTTTGTCTGCCTTTCTGTGGTGATAACCCTGTAGAAATACCCTCAGAGAACCAGTGAAAAATGTACTTTTAGTTTGTACAAACATATTTCCTTGGTAACTAGAAGAAAGTATTCCTGCTTTTTTGTTTTCTTAGATATAACTTGTACACAATTTTTGTCTGCCTTTCTGAGGTGAAAACCCGGTAGAAATACCCTCAGAGAACCAGTGAAAAATGTACTTTTAGTTTGTACAAACATATTTCCCTGATAACTAGAAGAAAATATTCCGCTTTTTTGTTTTCTTAGATATAACTTGTACACAATTTTTGTCTGGCTTTCTGAGGTGAAAACCCGGTAGAAATACCCTCAGAGAACCAGTGAAAAATGTACTTTTAGTTTGTACAAACATATTTCCTTGATAACTAGAAGAAAATATTCCGGCTTTTGTTTTCTTAGATATAACTTGTACACAATTTTTGTCTGGCTTTCTGAGGTGAAAACCCGGTAGAAATACCCTCAGAGAACCAGTGAAAAATGTACTTTTAGTTTGTACAAACATATTTCCCTGATAACTAGAAGAAAATATTCCTGCTTTTTTGTTTTCTTAGATATAACTTGTACACAATTTTTGTCTGGCTTTCTGAGGTGAAAACCCGGTAGAAATACCCTCAGAGAACCAGTGAAAAATGTACTTTTAGTTTGTACAAACATATTTTCTTGATAACTAGAAAAAAATATTCCTGCTTTTTTGTTTTCTTAGATATAACTTGTACACAATTTTTGTCTGGCTTTCTGAGGTGAAAACCCGGTAGAAATACCCTCAGAGAACCAGTGAAAAATGTACTTTTAGTTTGTACAAACATATTTCCTTGATAACTAGAAAAAAATATTCCTGCTTTTTTGTTTTCTTAGATATAACTTGTACACAATTTTTGTCTGGCTTTCTGAGGTGAAAACCCGGTAGAAATACCCTCAGAGAACCAGTGAAAAATGTACTTTTAGTTTGTACAAACATATTTCCTTGATAACTAGAAGAAACTATTCCTGCTTTTTTGTTTTCTTAGATATAACTTGTACACAATTTTTGTCTGGCTTTCTGAGGTGAAAACCCGGTAGAAATACCCTCAGAGAACCAGTGAAAAATGTACTTTTAGTTTGTACAAACATATTTCCTTGATAACTGGAAAAAAATATTTCTTCCTTCTCGTTCTCTTAGATTTAGCTTGTACACAATTTTTGTTTGGCTTTCTGAGGTGAAAACCCGGTAGAAATTCCCTCAGAGAACCAGTGAAAAATATACTTTTAGTTTGTACAAATATATTTCTATGATAACTAGAAGAAAATATTCCGGCTTTTTTTTTCTTAGATATAACTTTTACACAATTTTTGTCTGGCTTTCTGAGGTGAAAACCCGGTAGAAATACCCTCAGAGAACCAGTGAAAAATGTACTTTTAGTTTGTACAAACATATTTCCTTGATAACTAGAAAAAAATATTCCTGCTTTTTTGTTTTCTTAGATATAACTTGTACATTATTTTTGTCTGGCTTTCTGAGGTGAAAACCCGGTAGAAATACCCTTAGAGAACCAGTGAAAAATGTACTTTTAGTTTGTACAAATATATTTCTATGATAACTAGAAGAAAATATTCCGGCTTTTTTTTTCTTAGATATAACTTGTACACAATTTTTGTCTGGCTTTCTGAGGTGAAAACCCGGTAGAAATACCCTCAGAGAACCAGTGAAAAATGTACTTTTAGTTTGTACAAACATATTTCCCTGATAACTAGAAGAAAATATTCCGGCTTTTTTTTTCTTAGATATAACTTGTACATTATTTTTGTCTGGCTTTCTGAGGTGAAAACCCGGTAGAAATTCCCTCAGAGAACTAGTGGAAAATATACTTTTAGTTTGTACAAACTTATTTCCCTGATAACTAGAAAAAAATATTCCTGTTTTTTTGTTTTCTTAGATATAACTTGTACACAATTTTTGTCTGCCTTTCTGAGGTGAAACCCCGGTAGAAATACCCTCAGAGAGCCATTTAAAAATGTACTTTTAGTATGTACAAACATATTTCTTTGATAACTGCAAAAAAATATTTCTGCCTTCTCGTTCTTTTTGATATAGTTTGTACTCAATTTTGTCTGCCTTTCTGAGGTGAAATCCCGGTAGAAATACCTTTAGAGAACCAGTGAAAAATGTACTTTTAGTTTGTACAAACAGATTTCCTTGATAACTAGAAAAAACTATTCCTGCTTTTTTGTTTTCTTAGATATAACTTGTACACAATTTTTGTCTGGCTTTCTGAGGTGAAAACCCGGTAGAAATACCCTCAGAGAACCAGTGAAAAATGTACTTTTAGTTTGTACAAACATATTTCCTTGATAACTAGAAGAAAATATTCCTGCTTTTTTTTCTTAGATATAACTTGTACACAATTTTTGTCTTGCTTTCTGAGGTGAAAACCCGGTAGAAATACCCTCAGAGAACCAGTGAAAAATATACTGTTAGTTTGACAACGCTTTTTTTTCAAAACGGGAAAAAGTAATTGATTGGTAATTCAGTTTGTAATATTTCCTAAATTTTTTCAGGTCCTTGAAGAAGAACAAACAAAAATGTATATTAAAGTTATTTTTACAATAATGCAGTGCAAATAATAAAAAATTAGAAAACAGGTGTCTAATACTAAATTTTATCAGCTGGTAATTCAAGTATCGATAATTGACATGTTAAAAATTATGTCAAAATCAAAAGATAAATGAAGCAGATATATTAAACTGAGCTAGTTAGAAAGTATTAAAACTATTGAAGATTTTTTTTTTGGTGGACAAAACGTTAATGAGAGGGAATTAAAATTTCGCCGAAGGTAAAACTTCATTATTTCAATTTTGGTATTCTTTTTTTCATTTGTTATTTTTTTTCAATTAAAATTTTACAAATTATTCACCCTTTCTGTGGTGATAACACTGTAGAAATACCCTCAGAGAACCAGGGAAAAATGTACTTTTAGTTTGTACAAACATATTTCCTTGGTAACTAGAAGAAAGTATTCCTGCTTTTTTGTTTTCTTAGATATAACTTGTACACAATTTTTGTCTGCCTTTCTGAGGTGAAAACCCGGTAGAAATACCCTCAGAGAACCAGTGAAAAATGTACTTTTAGTTTGTACAAACATATTTCCATGATAACTAGAAGAAAATATTCCGGCTTTTTTGTTTTCTTAGATATAACTTGTACACAATTTTTGTCTGGCTTTCTGAGGTGAAAACCCGGTAGAAATACCCTCAGAGAACCAGTGAAAAATGTACTTTTAGTTTGTACAAACATATTTCCTTGATAACTAGAAAAAAATATTCTCTTCTTTTCGTTTTCTTAGATATAACTTGTACACAATTTTTGTCTGGCTTTCTGAGGTGAAAACCCGGTAGAAATACCCTCAGAGAACCAGTGAAAAATGTACTTTTAGTTTGTACAAACATATTTCCTTGATAACTAGAAGAAAATATTCCGGCTTTTTTTTTCTTAGATATAACTTTTACACAATTTTTGTCTGGCTTTCTGAGGTGAAAACCCGGTAGAAATACCCTCAGAGAACCAGTGAAAAATGTACTTTTAGTTTGTACAAACATATTTCCTTGATAACTGGAAAAAAATATTCCTGCTTCTTTGTTTTCTTAGATATAACTTTTACACAATTTTTGTCTGGCTTTCTGAGGTGAAAACCCGGTAGAAATACCCTCAGAGAACCAGTGAAAAATGTACTTTTAGTTTGTACAAACATATTTCCTTGATAACTAGAAAAAAATATTCCTGCTTTTTTGTTTTCTTAGATATAACTTGTACACAATTTTTGTCTGGCTTTCTGAGGTGAAAACCCGGTAGAAATACCCTCAGAGAACCAGTGAAAAATGTACTTTTAGTTTGTACAAACATATTTCCTTGATAACTAGAAGAAACTATTCCTGCTTTTTTGTTTTCTTAGATATAACTTGTACACAATTTTTGTCTGGCTTTCTGAGGTGAAAACCCGGTAGAAATACCCTCAGAGAACCAGTGAAAAATGTACTTTTAGTTTGTACAAACATATTTCCTTGATAACTGGAAAAAAATATTTCTTCCTTCTCGTTCTCTTAGATTTAGCTTGTACACAATTTTTGTTTGGCTTTCTGAGGTGAAAACCCGGTAGAAATTCCCTCAGAGAACCAGTGAAAAATATACTTTTAGTTTGTACAAATATATTTCTATGATAACTAGAAGAAAATATTCCGGCTTTTTTTTTCTTAGATATAACTTTTACACAATTTTTGTCTGGCTTTCTGAGGTGAAAACCCGGTAGAAATACCCTCAGAGAACCAGTGAAAAATGTACTTTTAGTTTGTACAAACATATTTCCTTGATAACTAGAAGAAAATATTCCTGCTTTTTTGTTTTCTTAGATATAACTTGTACACAATTTTTGTCTGGCTTTCTGAGGTGAAAACCCGGTAGAAATACCCTCAGAGAACCAGTGAAAAATGTACTTTTAGTTTGTACAAACATATTTCCTTGATAACTAGAAGAAAATATTCCGCTTTTTGTTTTCTTAGATATAACTTGTACACAATTTTTGTCTGGCTTTCTGAGGTGAAAACCCGGTAGAAATTCCCTCAGAGAACTAGTGAAAAATATACTTTTAGTTTGTACAAACATATTTCCCTGATAACTAGAAAAAAATATTCCTGCTTTTTTGTTTTCTTAGATATAACTTGTACACAATTTTTGTCTGCCTTTCTGAGGTGAAAACCCGGTAGAAATACCCTCAGAGAACCAGTGAAAAATGTACTTTTAGTTTGTACAAACATATTTCCCTGATAACTAGAAGAAAATATTCCGGCTTTTTTTTTCTTAGATATAACTTGTACATTATTTTTGTCTGGCTTTCTGAGGTGAAAACCCGGTAGAAATTCCCTCAGAGAACCAGTGGAAAATATACTTTTAGTTTGTACAAACTTATTTCCTGATAACTAGAAAAAAATATTCCTGTTTTTTTGTTTTCTTAGATATAACTTGTACACAATTTTTGTCTGCCTTTCTGAGGTGAAACCCGGTAGAAATACCCTCAGAGAGCCATTTAAAAATGTACTTTTAGTATGTACAAACATATTTCTTTGATAACTGCAAAAAAATATTTCTGCCTTCTCGTTCTTTTTGATATAGTTTGTACTCAATTTTGTCTGCCTTTCTGAGGTGAAATCCCGGTAGAAATACCTTTAGAGAACCAGTGAAAAATGTACTTTTAGTTTGTACAAACATATTTCCTTGATAACTAGAAAAAAATATTCCGGCTTTTTTGTTTTCTTAGATATAACTTGTACACAATTTTTGTCTGGCTTTCTGAGGTGAAAACCCGGTAGAAATACCCTCAGAGAACCAGTGAAAAATGTACTTTTAGTTTGTACAAACATATTTCCTTGATAACTAGAAGAAAATATTCCGGCTTTTTTTTCTTAGATATAACTTTTACACAATTTTTGTCTTGCTTTCTGAGGTGAAAACCCGGTAGAAATACCCTTAGAGAACCAGTGAAAAATATACTGTTAGTTTGACAACGCTTTTTTTTCAAAACGGGAAAAAGTAATTGATTGGTAATTCAGTTTGTAATATTTCCTAAATTTTTTCAGGTCCTTGAAGAAGAACAAACAAAAATGTATATTAAAGTTATTTTTACAATAATGCAGTGCAAATAATAAAAAATTGGAAAACCGGTGTCTAATACTAAATTTTATCAGCTGGTAATTCAAGTATCGATAATTGACATGTTAAAAATTATGTCAAAATCAAAAGATAAAGGAAGCAGATATATTAAACTGAGCTAGTTAGAAAGTATTAAAACTATTGAAGTTTTTTTTTTTTGGTGGACAAAACGTTAATGAGAGGGAATTAAAATTTCGCCGAAGGTAAAACTTCATTATTTCAATTTTGGTATTCTTTTTTTCATTTGTTATTTTTTTTCAATTAAAATTTTACAAATTATTCACCCTTTCTGTGGTGATAACTCTGTAGAAATACCCTCAGAGAACCAGGGAAAAATGTACTTTTAGTTTGTACAAACATATTTCCTTGGTAACTAGAAGAAAGTATTCCTGCTTTTTTGTTTTCTTAGATATAACTTGTACACAATTTTTGTCTGCCTTTCTGAGGTGAAAACCCGGTAGAAATACCCTCAGAGAACCAGTGAAAAATGTACTTTTAGTTTGTACAAACATATTTCCTTGATAACTAGAAAAAAATATTCCGGCTTTTTTGTTTTCTTAGATATAACTTGTACACAATTTTTGTCTGGCTTTCTGAGGTGAAAACCCGGTAGAAATACCCTTAGAGAACCAGTGAAAAATGTACTTTTAGTTTGTACAAACATATTTCCTTGATAACTGGAAAAAAATATTTCTTCCTTCTCGTTCTCTTAGATTTAGCTTGTACACAATTTTTGTTTGGCTTTCTGAGGTGAAAACCCGGTAGATATTCCCTCAGAGAACCAGTGAAAAATATACTTTTAGTTTGTACAAATATATTTCTATGATAACTAGAAGAAAATATTCCGGCTTTTTTTTTCTTAGATATAACTTTTACACAATTTTTGTCTGGCTTTCTGAGGTGAAAACCCGGTAGAAATACCCTCAGAGAACCAGTAAAAAAGGTACTTTTAGTTTGTACAAACATATTTCCTTGATAACTGGAAAAAAATATTTCTTCCTTCTCGTTCTCTTAGATTTAGCTTGTACACAATTTTTGTTTGGCTTTCTGAGGTGAAAACCCGGTAGAAATACCCTTAGAGAACCAGTGAAAAATGTACTTTTAGTTTGTACAAACAGATTTCCTTGATAACTAGAAAAAAATATTCCTGCTTTTTTGTTTTCTTAGATATAACTTGTACATTATTTTTGTCTGGCTTTCTGAGGTGAAAACCCGGTAGAAATACCCTCAGAGAACCAGTGAAAAATGTACTTTTAGTTTGTACAAACATATTTCCCTGATAACTAGAAGAAACTATTCCTGCTTTTTTGTTTTCTTAGATATAACTTGTACACAATTTTTGTCTGGCTTTCTGAGGTGAAAACCCGGTAGAAATACCCTCAGAGAACCAGTGAAAAATGTACTTTTAGTTTGTACAAACATATTTCCTTGATAACTGGAAAAAAATATTTCTTTCTTCTCGTTCTCTTAGATTTAGCTTGTACACAATTTTTGTTTGGCTTTCTGAGGTGAAAACCCGGTAGAAATTCCCTCAGAGAACCAGTGAAAAATATACTTTTAGTTTGTACAAATATATTTCTATGATAACTAGAAGAAAATATTCCGGCTTTTTTTTTCTTAGATATAACTTTTACACAATTTTTGTCTGGCTTTCTGAGGTGAAAACCCGGTAGAAATACCCTCAGAGAACCAGTGAAAAATGTACTTTTAGTTTGTACAAACATATTTCCCTGATAACTAGAAGAAACTATTCCTGCTTTTTTGTTTTCTTAGATATAACTTGTACACAATTTTTGTCTGGCTTTCTGAGGTGAAAACCCGGTAGAAATACCCTCAGAGAACCAGTGAAAAATGTACTTTTAGTTTGTACAAACATATTTCCTTGATAACTAGAAGAAAATATTCCGGCTTTTTTTTTCTTAGATATAACTTGTACATTATTTTTGTCTGGCTTTCTGAGGTGAAAACCCGGTAGAAATTCCCTCAGAGAACCAGTGAAAAATGTACTTTTAGTTTGTACAAACATATTTCCCTGATAACTAGAAAAAAATATTCCTGCTTTTTTGTTTTCTTAGATATAACTTGTACACAATTTTTGTCTGGCTTTCTGAGGTGAAAACCCGGTAGAAATACCCTCAGAGAACCAGTGAAAAATGTACTTTTAGTTTGTACAAACATATTTCCTTGATAACTAGAAGAAAATATTCCGGCTTTTTTTTTCTTAGATATAACTTGTACACAATTTTTGTCTGGCTTTCTGAGGTGAAAACCCGGTAGAAATTCCCTCAGAGAACCAGTGAAAAATGTACTTTTAGTTTGTACAAACATATTTCCTTGATAACTAGAAAAAAATATTCCTGCTTTTTTGTTTTCTTAGATATAACTTGTACACAATTTTTGTCTGGCTTTCTGAGGTGAAAACCCGGTAGAAATACCCTCAGAGAACCAGTGAAAAATGTACTTTTAGTTTGTACAAACATATTTCCTTGATAACTAGAAAAAAATATTTCTGCCTACTCGTTCTCTTAGATATGTTTGTATACAATTTTTGTCTGCCTTTCTGAGGTGAAAACCCGGTAGAAATACCCTCAGAGAACCAGTGAAAAATGTACTTTTAGTTTGTACAAACATATTTCCTTGATAACTAGAAAAAAATATTCCGGCTTTTTTGTTTTCTTAGATATAACTTGTACACAATTTTTGTCTGGCTTTCTGAGGTGAAAACCCGGTAGAAATACCCTCAGAGAACCAGTGAAAAATGTACTTTTAGTTTGTACAAACATATTTCTATGATAACTAGAAGAAAATATTCCGGCTTTTTTGTTTTCTTAGATATAACTTGTACACAATTTTTGTCTGGCTTTCTGAGGTGAAAACCCGGTAGAAATACCCTCAGAGAACCAGTGAAAAATATACTGTTAGTTTGACAACGCTTTTTTTTCAAAACGGGAAAAAGTAATTGATTGGTAATTCAGTTTGTAATATTTCCTAAATTTTTTCAGGTCCTTGAAGAAGAACAAACAAAAATGTATATTAAAGTTATTTTTACAATAATGCAGTGCAAATAATAAAAAATTGGAAAACAGGTGTCTAATACTAAATTTTATCAGCTGGTAATTCAAGTATCGATAATTGACATGTTAAAAATTATGTCAAAATCAAAAGATAAAGGAAGCAGATATATTAAACTGAGCTAGTTAGAAAGTATTATAACTATTGAAGTTTTTTTTTTTGGTGGTCAAAACGTTAATGAGAGGGAATTAAAATTTCGCCGAAGGTAAAACTTCATTATTTCAATTTTGGTATTCTTTTTTTCATTCGTTATTTTTTTTCAATTAAAATTTTACAAATTATTCACCCTTTCTGTGGTGATAACTCTGTAGAAATACCCTCAGAGAACCAGGGAAAAATGTACTTTTGTTTGTACAAACATATTTCCTTGATAACTAGAAGAAAATATTCCTGCTTTTTTGTTTTCTTAGATATAACTTGTACACAATTTTTGTCTGCCTTTCTGAGGTGAAAACCCGGTAGAAATACCCTCAGAGAACCAGTGAAAAATGTACTTTTAGTTTGTACAAACATATTTCCTTGATAACTAGAAAAAAATATTCCGGCTTTTTTGTTTTCTTAGATATAACTTGTACACAATTTTTGTCTGGCTTTCTGAGGTGAAAACCCGGTAGAAATACCCTCAGAGAACCAGTGAAAAATGTACTTTTAGTTTGTACAAACATATTTCCTTGATAACTGGAAAAAAATATTTCTT